TATTCGTCGAAGCACGTGGCACCGCCTCGATCTAAAGATGAGTCGCACGTAAATAGAACGTCCTGAAGGTCACGCGGGCGTAACACAATCATCGCGGAACCACTGAAGTGTTGTAAAAATGTAGGTGACAAACTGTGTCGGTGAAGTGTGGTAAAATTGTAGGTGACAAACTGTAACAAACTGTGTAGATGAAGTGTGGTAAAAATGTAGGTGACAAACTGTGTCGGTGAAGTGTGGTAAAATTGTAGGTGACAAACTGTGACAAACTGTGTAGATGAAGTGTGGTAAAAATGTAGGTGACAAACTGTGTCGGTGAAGTGTGGTAAAATTGTAGGTGACAAACTGTGACAAACTGTGTAGATGAAGTGTGGTTAAAAATGTAGGTGACAAACTGTGTCGGTGAAGTTTGGTAAAATTGTAGGTAACAAACTGTGACAAACTGTGTAGATGAAGTGTGGTAAAAATGTAGGTGACAAACCGTGTGGGCGGTTGAAAAGACGCGACAAAAAAGTCCTGCCTGGCCGGACGAAAGCTGGACAAAGGAAAGTTTCCTCAATAACGAGTGCATTGTAGCCTTGTGAAGGTGGAAAGTCTTAGCCACTACAATCACTTCGTAAGAAGTTCCAACAAACAATCGTCAGGTACCTCTAGGAGCATTTGATCAGCATCTACGAGAAGCCCTGGGCAAATCATTCTTATAAAGGGAGGACAGTCTTTTGCGGGAGATTATTGCTAACCCAGCTCGTCAAATAATTCTTGAAGACGTTCGAAAGCCGCAGAGGCAGTTGATAGATGCTCATAAAAATTATTCAAGTAAACATCGGCGGTATAACCTCCGTTAGTAAACACATGGATGACAGCCCGAGTCGTTCTCTGACAGATCAAGACAGGTGAACGCAGACCGAAGGGGCACCTAGTATCAAATAAAAAAAAACCGTCCCACTGAAAACCAAGATATTCATAGTCTTTTGGATCGATTGGAAATTGCCGGTACGTTCGTTTCGAGTCTTGAGAGAGATTTGTGTTTTAATAAAAAATTGTTTTCCGATTTCGTGTCCGTGTCATAGTCCATTTCTAAATCCGTACATTGCGATAAACCAACACTTTGAATGTCCAGTCATTGAAGGCCAGAAATGGGCATCTTTCGTTTCGGGCAGTGTAGCATAGGATGCCCGCTGAACTTGCAAAACCTGCACAAGTGATTTAAAGTGTTTCTCGCAGAGGAATCACAAGAACACGAGCATTTATAGCTCCAAGACTGGAAACTCTGTACTGAGAAGTTGTAGAGGGTGAAAGGAGTGACGGGTTAGACTTGGTGTTTGTCGCGCTTAAGTATGAATGCTTGAAAAATGTGGACGCCATTTCACGATATCAAAGGCGATCCCAGTCAAGGTGTCTCAGTTCGACCTGCCTGGCCAAAAAGGAATAAACAACACGAACACTTGCCTACGAATAGCTCTTTGCTTTGGTCCTGGGCACCTCAAGAACAACGGGCATATGCAAATTCCACTCTGCATTGTACGCTCGGATCATGGCCAAATATCCGGGGATAAAAGATGGTTAGTCTAACATATTAAAAACTGCGTTAGCTGACATACCTAATAAAAAGTCTTAAGGCCAATCAATGATTCGTTTCTTAGCCGAACTTTCTTTTACTGATGCACTCGTGGTTGCCGATCAAACTTGAGTTGGTGCTCGTGCAACAGTTTGGCCCAAACATAGAACTTCTAATTCTAAAGCCAGCTTTCCTTTGGTTCCTTAACCAACTCCAATTCTATTCTAAGTCGGTCTTGTCTGGCTGCGGATGGCGATGAATGTCCTGTAAAAGCAAATGGCCTCGCATCGGGATCGTTAATAGGATCGCAGAATTAATAAAGATGCTCGAATAGATCAGGCTGTGGTGACGGTGGAAATAGATAGTTGTCTTGTTGAGATTTTGACTTGGAGTTTTGCATAAATTTATGCGACATGACTAGTTAAGAGAGTGGAAAATAAAACACTAAGGTCGAGAGGGCGTTTGTTCCGGAGTGACATCAAAGCGTTGACTAGTTCGAAACTGGCTGAGCATTAGAGCGATCTGAAACCCGATACACTGGAACAGCTGAGACTAACTGATCAGGGGCGTGTTCTCTACAGTAATTACCCATCGTCACTAAGGGCGATCATTGTACGTTGCCGATCACCTTGGAGAGGAACGGGAGCAACGAGATCGGACTATCATTATCTGGGACCTTGTGGTGGGGAACATGTTTGTTCGTTCAAAGTCTCGAGCGTATGGGAAAATGTTATATGTAGTTGAATATTATTTTAAACGACATCGACTCAAAGCATTCTTCGAGTCGTCGTTTTCAAGGTTGCATCCTTGAGCAACGGACTTCGTGATGCTTTTAACTATATCTCTTTTTTCTTCCGATTACCTTTTTTAATTTATCTTCTTGATGGTGGATAATTTGTTCGCTTAAATTATTCAATAAAAAATTTAGGTCGTAGTGCTCGTTCAAGAGCAAAAGACCATTGTACCTGTTCACCTCGTCGTTTTGTGAACGTCTAGTTTCGGCGTGTAGCTTCGACATACGCCCGTTTTTGGTTGAGCTCACTGGTTTATGGTCAGTAAGACTCTATGTCAACGAGAGTGCAAGTAAGCATTAATAAGACCAACTTAACTGAGTAACACATCACGAACCGTGCCGGTCACTACAAAGTTCGCATGCGAAAGTTGGTTGGGAAGCTGACAGTCGCTGGTTTGATACCTCAAGGTGACTTCCTTCGATTACCGTATTTTTTTATTTCGAAAATTTGTTTTTCCTTCCCTTTTCCTTTTTCCTCTACCAAAATGTTATGTACAATAATTCCAACATTACGCAATGACAGGAGCCCATTACTTTGTAATGGGCTCCTGGCTATGGTGAATTTTTGCATAATAGGCCTCAAATTGTGTCAGGTAGGGAAAACCGGACCAATTTCTTTGTCCAATTTTACTTGTTGGCATTCACCGACAACTATACCTCATCTCAGAAAAATACTTTCCTTTGTAGCAATGACACAGATATCCCAAAGCCTGTCACCGAACATTGGCACAATACAAAACCTGCCTCTATGATTTGTTAGGTCCGAAAAGTAATCACAGTTTTGTGTAGAATTCTACAAACAACATTATAACAAACACTCGGATAGTGTTAGTTTATCATTCATTACCAGTATGCTCATGTCTCTCCTACTTTTTAATCCTTGGGAGCTTACCGGCAAGAAAAGAAGCCTCATCTAAGTTACTTGAGTAGCCTTAAGTATGCATGGATTTATGTACTGCGCATGTTTAACGATTCAAAAGCGCGGGAAACAAAAGATCAAAGGTTACGACCGGGAGGACGTGACATACAAATGTAGTGGTCATCACTTTGGTGACAATTTGAGCTTCTGTGATACTAGCCCGGTTCCAGCGATGGACTACTAGTTAGGAAATGTACTGGTTCCATAAATGGAAGGAAACAAAATATTGATCTGGTAAGTGAAAGTAAATCAATCATCTCTGATGTTGTGAGTCAAAATTCTAAAGGCAGTCGTTGGCGCATTTGCCTACAATTTAGAAAAAATTGCATGCTGGACGATCGTTTGTAATGCATAGCTTTGTTCTCTTTGCGGGACTTTGCTGGTGAGCAATGGATTAGAGATAAGCTCTTATGGATAGAAATATCTCTCAGAGAAATTGCGAAATCGTGGTAAGACTTCTTTAAAGCCACTGACGCGAAATACTGTACGTCAAATTGAAACTTGCTCAACAGACAAGCGAGCGTCGATGTTTGTTTCTGCTCACGTCAGCGAAACAATATCGTGCACAAGGGGTTTCTTGAAACCTCCTGGAAATTGAATACAAAATATAGATGTTTGTGCTAAGCGTCGTGATAATTTTCTCTATTTGCCCATCGTAAATCAGATCCGGGAGTGCGAACGACTCTTGTGATTTTAGATAATCTCCAAAATGAGACACAGTCGACCTTCGCTTTGTTTGAATCGTTTGAATTTAAGCTGATGTGCAACTCGTAGTTCAGAAAGTAATGAAGACCGGTAATAGCGACCACACGAGTGAATAAAACCATTTGTTTACTTACACTCTTTGAGCTTACGTGTATGCGGTGGCATGGTGTCCGGTCAATTCGTCACCACAACGAACTTGCCACCACGAAGAGTCAACTCGCGACCGGGGAGAATTGACTCATCTGCCACCACTTACAGCTGTAGAGTCAACTTGCCTCCGATGGCAAATTGACTCAGAGGTTTTGTGTAGTAATATGACATAATTTCAACAATTAAAAGCAAGAAGCAAGCTCTCAGCTATATGTTTTTTCCCTTTGGAAATTTTTTTAATTTCTCCAATTTTGAGGAGATTATTTCTACACCAAAATCATCCAATAAAAAATATAGGTCTCCGTGCTTCTTCAAGAGCTTAGGACCATGCTATTTGTTTACGGTGTCCATTGATTGAACAACAATACTATGTTTTCGGAATGTGCATGTACTTATTTGCCTGATTATGTGATATGTGCAGTTCAGGATGCACAGTGCAATCCTGAGGAATCACCTTAACAATGTTTGTCAACAAGTTGATTTGCCTCTGGTGGTGAGTTGAATCTCAGTGGTGGCAAGTTTGTAGTGGTGGTGAGTTGACTGTAATCAGGTTGCATTGCCCCCAGAGTTTGATGTTTGACTTGTGCCAGTTGTTAATTATTGTTCAGCTTTATACCCTAGGGCTTCAAATCATCACCTACAGCAAGGACATTTGCAGTGTATTTTCAGCTGAAGCTGAAGTGAGAGCAGTACTTACCTTTCATATGTATCTCTGGGCAAAACTGTCTGGTATCTTAACACAAATCAGATGACAGTCTCTAAACTTTCCCTCTCTGATGCACGTTATCCTTTCATTAGAGTACAGGTAGGAATATACTGAACAAGCATGTGAAAACAGGAGACAAAGAAGAGGACATTTGAAGTTGCTGAAAGAAAGAATGAATCCCTTACAAGTTAGACCTGAACTTCTTCGTGTTGTTGTGCAACCAACAGTTCCAGTGGCCTATACATCATTTGCACTGCCTCCAGTAAATATGTGTACATCCCCTGTACAGCATAGTAATGCCTTGTCTCCATTTTGCATGTCCCCTGCTGATGTTGCATTGGATGGAAAAACAACAACAGCAAAGACCAGAAGGGAACTTGAACATTTAGGCTCTACAAGACGTGCAACTGAATTGATTTTTGAGCTGGCAGCTCGGAAAAACGGAATCAGGATTGGTGTGGATCATAGAAGCAAAGGTACATGTGATTCTTGGTTTAAATTTGATATGAACTAAGGTTGGGGGAGAGGTAGTGGACTGCCTGGTGGTCTCTGTTTTCAGCCCCCTGCTTCCAGATTTGTTCTTGATTGCTCCAAGGTCAGCTTCTTAATGGAGCTTTGTTCATATTCTGAACTAGTCCTCTTGTTATTGCTCTGATAAAGGGCTAATGCTCAAAACATCAGCCTATAAACTTTTAACAATAGCTAATTTATGTTTTCAACATAGTTGTTAACACTAAATTACTTGTTAGTCCTCTTGTTGTCTGTTGGAATTTCATTTTATCAAATCCTCATTCATTGAGAGGTGAATTTTGTGGTATTACTTGATCAAGTAGTCTGATTTTTTGTATGAAATAAATCCTAAATGGGACTGTTGCAGGTCACAATGACAGTCACTTAAACAACTTGTGAGTAAATCATATTGTTTTGTTGTTGTTTGTTGGAGGAGTGATCCATGAAGATGACAACTTTTATCAACATATAATTTGGTTGTTTCATTTATATTACGAAAACACCCAAACATCTGAATTTAACACTTTCCTTTACATTTTTGACAAGGAAGCTTCTTCAGGACATATTCTGTTTCAATAACACTGTACCATAAGCTCAAATTTATCTCAATTTTAAACCAATTGAAACTAAATTATATCTGATATTACTAGACCAGAAATGTCTTAGGTAAAGTGTATTGGTATTTGTTCTTTGTCTAAAACAACCACATCAGCTTTACGAAATAAAAAACAACAAAAGAAGAATTAACTGAATTGGAAGAAGATTGTAAATTCCTCAGATTAACCTAACCATCTAACTCCCAGATCAAGTTTGCAATTCTCCTTACTGTCAACCATACAATTCTTATAATGTTAGTTCAGAGAATTTAGTATTAGATCAACTGATTATCCCCAAATTGATATTTTTCTTTCTTCTCAACACTTATCTGGTTGATATTGTATAGATATAGTAAAGAGAAATTCTGTCTTGGTCACTCACGGGAGTTGAAGGGTTAAGGGAACATGACATATGAGTGTTCACTGTGGTGAAAACACTGGTAATTAAGTATTATTGCTTGTCTTATGAAGTAGTTACTTCTGATGTGGATAATGAGGTTTCAAATTCATACTGATAGTCTTCTTAGATCAATGAGATCAATTAGATCTAAACCACCTATTTAAGTACCATACTCTGCTGTGATTGGCTGGTGTGGCACAGCACTTGTCTTGTTGTCTTTCTTAACAATTGGCATATACCCGTCAGGGAGTCCTTTACTGTTCCTGTGAATGTTGTGGCGGTGATGTCTTACACTGATCACCTCTTTCATGCACAAGAATGGGTGGTGTCTAGTGTTGTGGGTATGCTCTGCAATGGAAGAAGTCTGTATCCCAGCAGGTTGGATATCTCTTTCATGCTCCTTGATTGGTACTACACCTTTTGCTGTTCATTTACGCAAAATGTACATTCATTTACGTCAACAGTTGAAACTATACGGCAAATATACATTCATTAGCACTTCAATGAAATTCATGAACACGAACGAACTTTCAATAACGCTATTTGCATATGTATTAACATTCAATAGCATCAACGGATGCTAAGATGTTTAAATAATGAAGAAATTGAAGGATAATTACAAAACATTACATTACAGTACACTGTAATCGAACAATTTTGAAATTTCTTTAACCCTAGTTGATTGTTATTACTACACACATGTTTGTCAGTTCACGTTAATGATTGACCATATCGAATAAACGATTGTATGAAGGTGCAATTGAATGTACGTCTCTATGCAAATTGTATTATTGAATGTCTCTAATACGCAATTGATTGTCATACTATGCAATTGATTTTCTATTGGTATTAATGATCAACCATTACGCGAGATTGAAAGTATATTTGTTCTGTTTGATTGTCCAAAGGTGCAATTGTTCAATGCAATTGTTCAATGCAATTGTTAATGCTATTGAATGTTAATACATATGCAAATAGCGTTATTGAAAGTTCGTTCGCGTTCATGAATTTCATAGAAGTGCTAATGAATGTATATTTGCCGTATAGTTTCAACTGTTGACGTTAATGAATGTACATTTTGCGTAAATGAACAGCAAAAGGTGTAATCTCTCTTATGCAACCTTTTTGAAAACATTGTAGTGTGTGTGAATAAACAAAACTGATCTTCTTCCTTAAGAAAGGTGTTCAAGTAGATTTGAATTGCTTGAAGCAAAGATAAAAACTGAGTCACAAGGAATTGAACTTCATACCTTCTGATTTCTAAGTTGTAAGTGCTACCAACTGAGCTACACAAAACTGTCTCGTGAAGTGGAATTTTCACAGGTGGTATTGTTAAGAAGCACACTTCGAAAGTGGAGCTTGCACAATTTTTCCATAGAGTGATGTATTATTACTCATACAGTTATGTACATTGACAGTAAAGATTCTATCCTATGAAGCTTCCAGTAGATTAAATAGTTTACACACCTATAGGATTGTTGTTGGCCATCATTTACCTAAGTTGATAAGTTTACATCATTTTGCTGAGAATTCTTGTCTTTATGTTGGTTCTCAACCTTTAAGCTACGGTTGGACACATAGAGGACATTGGGGAAATATGTTTGGTTTTGTTACAGTCTGTCGTGGTTATGTGGGTTTTGACATTTTATGGATTTCTGTATTTTAGCCTGTACATATGTGAGTACAGGTGGACTCTTGCAAATCAGGATAGTGAGGAACTTGCAGTCAGAATTTTGAGCTGAAGCTCATATGACATTTTAATCCCATCTGCAGCACCCTAAATTGTAACAAATGCATTCAAGTTGGAGTTCAACTAGTTTTTTCCTTTACCTTTCTATTCATCTTGAAAATAATTTTCTTCTCAGCTGCATCAGGTGGGGAAGTCCAACAAGATGATTCTCTGGAAGACTTCAAAAAGATTGCACAACGAAACGGAATTACAGTTTGCCTACCAGGTAGGAGAAGAAAATGGTTTAGTAATATATTTTAAATGCACATATGTACAACAGAGTTGCAACAGAGTTACAATCCTCATAACTCGTTTTCAAAGGTTTTATCCCCAGCATGAACAATAAAAGAGTCCAGCATTCTCCAAAACCATTATACCATTAATGGTGCTTTGCTGCTTTGGATCCTTTTCAAGACATTCCATTTTCACTTGACTTTGCATCACTAAAATAAAATTTAATGAAAATTTTTAACAGAGTAGAAAAACAAATTTTGTCATCAGAAAAATATTCTCTAGTAAATATTATATAATTTAAAATCAAATTTAATTATTAGACTTTACTCTAAATGAGACATTGAGAGTGAAAGGGTGTAACGTTTGATTAATTTCTCTGAACTAGTACCCCATATATATCACACTTAACTAATTTTCTATTTATCGTAAGCTTTATATTTAAATCGATATGTATATATCCATTTGATTACGCAGTGTAATTAGATTGGATCCACATCAGGATTTCTTTTATTTTTTTACTTATGCACTTTACTAGATGAAGAATGTTTGTGTGGAACTAGTCTCCATGGAAAAAAGACAATGGCATCAAATGTCATTTACAGAGTGTACATGTTTGTTATTAATGCACATGATGGTAACTGACTTTGTACTGCAGAATCTGTAGACTACCTGTTACACATATAAATTGCTTTTGCAATGAAATCGTTACATTAAATTTCTTCTCTGTGTTATCTGTAGGTTCAAAGGTTAAAAAAGACAGTGACAGTGCCTATTCACAGGTTGCTGGGACTAATCCAACAGACGATTCAGTTACCAGACATTGTGAAGGGATGTGTATGTCAACATCTCACATCTCATCTCTATGGGAAAGTGGTTCACCTTCCCCAGTCGGCAACTTTTTTGAACCGAACAATAATCACAATGATGTTACATGTTTTGAGGAAAAAGGAGTGATAGGGAATGAAGTTAGACATGAGTCATCTGCCACCACTAACACACTTGATCTTTTCAAGATCAAAGCAGCTGCGAGTGGCATCAGAGTTCAATATGTCACCGAGTTGAATGAAAGCCAAAAGCCTGAACTTACCCAGTTGGGAAAGCAATGTTCCGAGAACTCTGAAACAGTGTTGGGAATGGGTGATTTAGATACATGTGTATCAGCAGACAGCGACAGTGCCACTACTAATGTGGAGCATGCCAATGAAGCTGAGAGCTATGCCACTATATTGCAGTATATGGATGAAAATACTAGACCAGAGCGAGAAATTTTCGGTGAGGACAGTGAAAACAAATCAAAAATTCACAAGTATGACGAAAAAGCACGCTCATCAGAAGTGAGTGAAGAGATGGAAGCAACAACTACGTGCAGCGAGGAAGGCACAGCCTCTGATGGAGGTACAAACAATGTAAGGGAAGACCAACATGATAATGAAGATGTTTTGAGTTCTTTGCAGGAAGATGCAGAAGTTGTTGTATTTCAAGAAATCGCGCACCACAAAGGAATCAAAGTCGGAAACTCGTTACGTACAACTCGTTTATCCACCATCTCTTGTGAATCGGATGTGGTAGAAAGTATAGAGGCAGATGGGTCAGAATTTTTGGAATTCACTGAAGATGCCCAGATTGCAAAATTTCAAGAAATGGCGCGGTTAAATGGAATTAGAGTGGGTGGTAAAAGACAGGAATCGCCTTTCTATTCAGACGGTAAGGAATCGTTTACATCAACACATGCTAAAGAAAATGACTGCTGGTCAGGGACACCATACTTTTTCGGGGAGCACTGCCAAATTGTAAGTTTTCAAGAATTCGGGCGTGTCAAAGATATCAAAGTAACTGGGAAATTTCCAGACAGTTCATCCTGTTCTTCTTTGTCACCTGCAAGTAGTGAAGATAATTTATGTTATCCATGCAGAGAAGGCAGTCCACTGATACCTTCAGCATGTAGGACGGCGGACACATTTGAGGAGCTAGCTAAGAGGAATGGCATCAAAATTGGGAAGGTAGTCACTACCGCTGCATCAGTGGATGCTCTTAGGCCCCCGCGTAGTAGTGAAACTTGCTCCTCTGACAAGTCGCTAAAGAGAGAACCTACAGCTGTTTTTACCCGTGAAGCTAGCGCTCAAACGGAAGTAAATACAACAGATTACTGCAGTCAGACTTGCGAAAAAGACCTTGGTCTTTTCAAACGTACCACAGGGGTACAAGTAGATGCTGTCAGGGAAGCATTTGAACAGGAATTTAAGGAATGGAAACTTGATGACAATGCTGCTGGCAATGATGAAGAGCTGTGTTACAAAGAACTGTACCTAACAGAACGGAATGCTTGTGAAGCACTCAAAGATAGCCTCCAGAATGAGAAGGATGTGTCAGCCAATACTAAACATTACTACAAAAGAGTCATGGGGGAACTCAAGGAGGAACTAAAGAGCCAGACAGAGGAAATTGAGGTAGTCCATGGTACTTAAAGATTATTGTTTATTTTTGCGATTGGAAAACGTGTTGTTTTCGAAATACATGCGATAAAAGTTTCGTTTCGAAAGACGAATCGATCCTGGTCTAATCGGTGTTTGCGATTCATGCGGTATTTCCTTTAGATTGCATTTCTGACTCATCCATTTCATAAGTAACCATTCGGTAATGAAACACGAAGTGCATTTTTACCAGGGATACAAGTATGGAAAGAGCTTAACAGTAGCTGACCACTTATATTTTCCAAGCAGCAAAAACACAAAAATGCTTTCGATAGCCTGTTCATGTTAAGAAATGTCCGATATTTCTAATTTTCGGGAAGCGTCGCAACCATAAGCGATCGAATAACCATGTATTTTATTTTGTCACACTACGTTCAATCGATTGAAAGTTGCCCACACCACCTCGTATTTTTGTGGTTCCTGATGACGCCCTTTCATTCTCTTCACTTCCCAGCCAAGTGACGTCAATTTCTTTAAGAGAAAGTCTAAAAATTCACTGCTACCTCTCCTTTCGTGATGTTTCTCCATCCCTTGCCAATGCACAGCATGGGTGCCAAGATTGTCTCAACACCGCAGGATAGGTGTCGTTGCTACGAATGGCGCAAATATCTATAAACTCCTGTTCTGTAAGGTTTCGCGGGAAAACCAGCAAGACAAATATGGCGATTATGACCATCTACATTGCGCTATTGGGTTCTCTGATGAATTCTGCCAAAGATTTTGCCACTTTTTGCAAATGAATAAGTGCAGCTAAATCGTGTCATGTCACTGCAACAGTATTATCTCGGGAAAGATTTATTCTTACGATCTGAAATTGGCAGACTAAACTACATACGATGAGGAAAATTTACAGCACAGTCCGCCACGGTCAGCCACGAATTGACCGAATATGAAGGTATTGGATCTCAACCTAAATTTAATAATGACATAATTTGGATAAATTTGTCAAAGTAAAGTATTATATGGCGGACTGCGCTGAAAATCTTTGTTGCCTTAATTTTTGTGCATGTAGCAAACCATTCCTAATAACATTCAATTGGCTCGGATTTAGAGAAGTTCTTCCTCAGAGTGCCCTTTGGGACACACGCCTCAATTCCATGAAATTCCTCAAATTCAATGACACTGAGCTAAATTAAAGTATTTTTCTCTCGGATTGATTATATGTAAAATCATATGTTAAAATTTAAGTCATTGCAACAAATCTGTCATGAGATATTTTATTCCCAAAAATTGTCGAAAAGTCCCCAAATTAGTGTCCAGTACCACCTTGAAAAGGTTGTAGAGAAGGATACAGCATTCAGGTGTACATGAATGTGTGCGCACCATTGTCGTGACTACCTAATACTGCTTGCCCGAGGATTTTGGTAGTGACATACCATCACCAAAAAGCCATTCGATGTCATTTACGTACTTGTACTGTCTTAAGGTTTTAACAGCAGCCTAAATTCTTGAAAAGACCATTTGTGTTGAGTATAGGAACCACTAATGATGAATAAACAGGGTAAGTTGCTAAAGAAACTTCGGTGCTGCGTCGGTTGGGGATTATAACAAGATAATTTTGGTTTTATCAACTAAGTTGGCAATATTAATTGACCACCGAAAAGAGTTTCAAAGCTGGCGTTTCGAGCGTCAGCCCTTCGTCGGAGCGATTGGCGTTATTCGCTCGAAACCTCGGGTATGAAATTAACATAATCAAATCAGTTGATAAAACCAAAATTACCTATTCATAATGTAGTATGGTTGATCAGCCTTTCGTATATTTGAATTGGTAGTTCTCGACGAATTCCCTTTGTGTGACGTGCATAAAGGACTTGTTCAAGAGAACTCTCCCCTTGTATGGACCTCGTTTTCGTATTAAATATACTTATGTGAATTCCATAAATTGATTCAAACTGTTCCTTTTTCTTTTCTTTCCCTGTGCAAAAGCTCTAGTACTTATATTCATTTCCGGTGGGTAGCGTTCCATCTCAAAATATGCGCGTATCTGGAAGCTTTTTTAGCTACCAGTATAACTGCAGTATTATATATTTTCCAACCCTTAGGAATGCGCATTATTCATAATATTCATTGTGGGTAGGCAACACGCAGAAGTAAAGTAACGAATCGTATTTTGACACTAAGCAGTATGTTTTTTGCTCTCCCCGTGAAAATTAATAGCGGAGCTCGCAGAGCGTGGCCCCATAATTACACAAAATAGTAGTAACCCATCAAGCCGAAAAAATTTGGATGTACGACCGTACGACCGTACAAGGTGCTACTTTTAACATGCGTGGTCAACTGTACCGCAGTAGTACTGTTCAGTAGTCCAGTGGTCAGTGCACTGGGCTCCGAGTCGGACGACCCGGGTTCTAGTCCTGGCCGGGGCAAGGCGTTGAGACGTGCGGGAAAAGAAAAATGCGAGCTCCGCTTTTAGGCTTGGCTAATATGTTATTTCCCTTTTTAAGGAGAGTGAGCTTCGGGATGCGGGAAAGGGCGGGGCTCCCGATGGTGCTCACAGCAAATGTAAAGTGGTGGCTCTTGGAAGACAAAAACAACAAAAAAAGTGAATTTCAAATAAACAGCTTTGAAATCGATTGCTTCGCTCTGGAGAGGTGATTGCTTTCAGGGGCTAGCGACCAACCAGCAATGTCCGCGTGTTGATAGGTGACGCCAAAGGCAAAAGCTTGCGCTTTGTAGAAAGATCGAGACATTAGAGAGAACTTTTTAGAGTAGTTTGATGCACGAGAGCAACTTTTTTGGGTGTCGAAAGTAACATAGGATTGTTCTGGTTCCAATCGTCACTTGGTTACCCGTGTTTCCCGCCCTTGAGCCGGTTTATTTGTTTTCACTTTGAGTTCCTTTAGTATTTTTCTTTGTTCTGATTGGCTGCGGTGATTACTTTGCTGTTGGTTTTGCTCCGAGGAAATTATCTTTACGAAATGATTTATTTGACCGCTTGTGTGGGATTCAATGATCAAGAACATCGTTAACCTAGAAAACTTTACTTTTATCATCAATTTTCCCATTATTTATTGGAAAGTTGTAAACTGATAAGTGCTTAAACTGTTTGATATTGCTTTGTCATAAATATTTTTAATAAGTTACAACTAAAGTTGTATCCACCTAATTTCCAGAAACTAGAAAAGGATCTAAAGACGGTGAAGAAACAGAAAGAAACAGAAGCTAAGAGAACGACGAAGGATTTAAAGTCAAAGGAGGAGGAACTAAAGTCCACTAAAGGCGCTCTTCAGCTAAAGGAAGTCGCCATTGAAGGCCTGAGATCGATAATAAAAGATCAATCTGAAAAGCTCAAGACTGTAGAGGAACAACTCGAGGAGACGAAAACTTTGTTTTCCAGTATGAGGGAGAATAGCGAGTGCAGTACATGGTAAGTACTCAGAAAAACAATGCTCTATGAAAACAATTCAATATCAAACTTTTTTTCCTATTGCACTTATGTGAACCCAAGAAAGAAAATACTCATGCAAAATCTCAAGTCTTTTGAACACTATCTTAATAATCTGTTTAGTAGTGCTGAACTCTCCATACGTAACTTTCCAATAATTTGGTATTATCAACTGAGTTGATAATGTGAATTGGCCACAACGTGAAAATTTTCGTGATGGGAACTAAGGATGTTCATGGTTATTGGTACAGCGTATCCTTATCGCCCACCCTGAAGGTATGACTGCTGGCGTCAGCTGGTAATAATGTGTTTTAACTATATTCTTGGAATGAATGCAATATAAACCCGCTTCCTCTACTGATTTTTTTTCTCGTCTTGCCATAACCTATCGTAAAACTGCCTGGCTGAATTCAGATTTAGAGTTTATTTCATTTTTTTATTTTTTTTTTTAGTTTTTATTCTTTTTTTGTAAATCTCATTTACATCTTTGATATTTGCCCTCAAAATAGCGCCACTCACCGTAAAGCTGTAAGTCACAGCTCGCAAAAAGAAGCTTTGAATGATCAGATTGACGATGGATGGAAACTTTACACTAGTAAAAAATCAAGAAGCACTTTGCTTAAACAAATATGTGGGAAAAAAGGAGATGGAAATCCACCCTCTGTTGGATCGGACGAAATGTGCGTCAGCAACGAGGTGAGTCTACTATCGTCATTCAGACAAAGAAATGGTGATGGCACCCGGCTGCACGGTGGAGAAACTACTGTGCAAGCTTTGAATTATGCGAACTGTGGGATGGCTACGCCAGAGAATAGGGAAACTGTAGCGCCAACAGAGCAAGAGACAAGAATCCAAGAAGTTATTCAAACACCCTCTCCTCAGGATATCTCAGTTTTCCAAAATGTAGAATCCTCTACAACTCAACCGGAAAACAACTTGTTGTTGTCTCATGTTTCGCCAAAAGCAGGGAATGTAAATGAAGGATATGCAACAAAGCAATCTGCTGAGGCTGAGGACCAACGTGCAGCACAAAAATCGTCTTCCTCAGATGGTCGCAATCCTATCTTACCTACTAACATAGCAGTGCCAAACTTAACAGGTCAACATCAAACACTTCAGCAGTTCCTTCCTATTCAGCCTCAGCCTTTTTCTGGTCCCCCCACGCACATTATAGCCCAGTACCTGGCAGGCCTTGTGGTTCAACCCAAAATTACCTTAGAAAATAATTTGCCTGATAGTTGTAAACCGCTGCGACCTCCTCCTGGCCTCTGTACCGAACCTGTACCAGCGAAGGATCAGCAACAACTCTCGCCTCCAGCTCGTCCAGCTGGAAAATTCTCTTCGTTTGAGAAGCTGATGGAGAGGCTTCATAAAAAGTTTCCAGATAAGAGCAGGTGAACTAGTTTAGGTGTTGAGCGAGAGCTGTGTACACCGCTTGTATAGGAAGCGCTTGGGAATGCGGAAGTAGGTGACATTAAATGTCAGCGACTCGCGTCTTTGTAACTTGGCGCTTTCTTGGTAAACCTCACATACATGCAGGTCCACATAGTTATTGCAACAGCTTTTCTTCTTGCTCTAATTAGTTCATGAAGACTACATATGAAACATGCGCTTTAGAGCCTTGATGGTGATTTATGACTGAAGCTGGACTGCAAGAATTTTGAACAGGTTCTTGAGTAAAATAGATATTTGTACTTCGATAATGTTACTACCTATCTCGTTTCACTGTTGTTTGACCCTCGAAGCACTCATGTCAAAAATGGTCCTGCTGTTTATTTGACATGCGATTTTCTTTTTGCAGACAAGAATTGATTGTTTACCTAAGGAAAGCAAAAGCGGCTGCTGGAGTCGCTGGGTTCAGAGGCAAACATATAGCTCATGTGATAAAGTGTGTCGAGGAAGTAATTGAGGTGAGTTCCTTATCCTTCCTCTATGCCTCATTGACATATCCATCTTAAAAAGAATGTTTCACTGTTTTTAGCACTTGATACCCTTACGTCAGCGTGTTTATTCTCCATACCGTTCTGAATACATTTCCTGAGGTGCGCTTTCTCACCGTTACAGAAGAAAATTCCCACTTCAACACACTTCAAAGCATGCGGTCCACTCTGTCAATGCTACGCATGATTGTTTCGCTACCGCTGACCAACGTACTGTAGACGTGTTCACAGGAACAAACATATTTCGGTAGCCAGACTGACCACAAATCGAAATCAGAACTGGCTGTAAACTCGTGCCCAGACCAACGCACCACAGAAAGCCCATCAAGATTAGTGTTGCAAGCCATAGCAACTGTCAACTTTTACCATTGCGTTGTTACGTGACCCTTTGTCAAGAATGCAGGTCATCTGATAGACTGAGAGCAAATGAAAAAGTGGTATCGGTGGTTCGAATTTCTAAGAGCATGCCTCTCCGTGAAGGTTTAAACCCATCCGCCTTTGATATTTACTCTTAAACTTCCTGTACTTTAATTTGGTCCACGTTTGTATTTGGAGTGAATCTTTTTTTTCCTTTCTTTCAGGAAAAACCAGACTTGAAGGGTGCTAAATAATTGGTGTTGGATGTTGTGTTCAACCTGTCCAAGTTGCTGACAACTTGTCCATCGCTCAACAAGCGTCAAGAACATCAAGGGATCTTGTTGAACGAGAAATTACTGTTGATCGTTTAGTAGTTACTTATCTGTTTCCGTTATCTTCTTGCTCAGAGACAAGATGAATCCAACAAAGACAATTAATGTGAAGTTTTTTCTTTCGGAGGCCTCATCTGTTTGTTTTTTTCTTGTTCCATTATATGCACGCTTCTATGGATGAAGGGACCTTTCTCTGCTAATAGCCTGTCATAGTATGCTGTAGGTTTGCTCGATCCCGCGAGTCTGAAAATTTGATGTGCTACGAATAACGTTTGCCAGAGATGTGCAGGAATGGGTAGATTCGTACCCTCTTATTAACTTATTTATGCCGGATACTGCCGAAAATTTGCAATGCTCATCACGTACATTTACAAAACTAATGACTGTTGTGTTTGACTGACCGGTAGCTGTAGTACTTCAGCCTATTTATATAGTCTCTACAATTTCGTTTTCCTTTTTTTTTTTTTTTTTTCGATGAATGTATATATTTTGATTAAATACCAACTGATATTATTTGTAATTGAGTATGTGCCAGATTGTCGACTGAGAAGTTTTAATGTTTCACGGTTTATGATGTGTGACTTGAGGTCTGTCTCAATCTTCTCTAGTCATAAACATCCTTTTTGACCTTCGGAAATAAGACTTTTATTTTGAATATTCCGGTTTAGCGTCCATTAGTGGCGTGTTCATCTACTGTCAACAGAAATGAGTTCATGTAAACATGGAAGTGAAGGCACAGCGGATGTTGCTGACGTAATATTCTGGCCGTGCGTGGTTCCGTCCACTTCTCTAATCTATAGAAATTGTCTGTATTTCTATTTTTGCCTCCGTATTATTGTGCTTCAAATGCAAGGAGGTGAAGTCATGTCTTGCAATAGTAAGCGCATTTCTTATTGATGAACGAGTTGATCGGCATGGTAGTTTGAGTATTTTTATCGACCGGAAGTCTATGACGCGGCTGCCTTCGTGTTTGTTTTCTCTCTAGTACTTCTGGCGCGGACATCATGATTTTACATTTCCAGTTGAGAAAGCTACAACTTAAATACCACTTTTACAACGAGTAAATCACAAGCAAACATCATTTGGCAGTCTCCCCTCTGCTGAGGCTAAGGGACTTTTATTTTGCGGCCTTAATTCAAGCTGAAATATGGTTAATTAGTGTTGTTGCCGCTAACGCTTTACGTAGTCTTTTGATACACCATGACATCAGGATGCATATTCTCCATTCTATTCTCTATACATTTCTTAAGGTGCTGACAACGAGAAGCCTCTGTAATTGGTGATCATTTCCTTTGTTCTCGTGACCTTAACGTGTGATTTACGGGTGAAATTGTGAGGAGAAATTAGATGCTTGTCACTCTTCGAGGTCAAGGGATAAAGTGAAAAAAAGTGCGTGGAACGTATGCTCTGCATGGGTTCTTTTGATGCGCCCCAAAGGCAGAGGTGGCCTGATATAAACAAGTCTAATATTACGTCACTGTCCTTTTATTAACGAGGAATTAAATTTCCCCCTGGAGCAGAAATGTGATAACGATCTTGTAAATCAGGAAGCTCCTTTTAATTATCGTGTTGGTTTTATTTGCGATGTCTCTAGGACTCTATGAGAAATCTAAGAAGCTTATGACAATCAGGCAAATCATGTATACCCTTGGTTTGACTTAGTGTCATTGTTGGGGAACAATATGTGGAAGTTGAAAATCTTTCGACCGAATAACGTCTACAAATTGTAGCAGATGCGTTACATCAGAGACCAGGCCGGTTGATTATGGAAATTTCCTTGATTTAAAAATAATATTTGCCTTTTGTTTAAGAGCTAGAGTCAAGATAAAGGGTGGTCAAGTATTTTGACCTCACTTGCCTCAAGCTAGTGCAACATCCTGGAAACTCCGAAAACGTCAAAACAAGCATGCAGCACAGGGCTCCCAGGGAGAGGCTATTAAACGTTATGTTATTAATACAAGGCTCATTTGTACTTGATTTTGATATTGGATTTAATACTTGAAAAATATTAAATCTCGTGATGGAAAACATAAATAGATGTGTGGAGGTGCACGCTTGACTGTTTGGATTGAACATTCATGGATGACTGAAAATTTGAAAACAAACTTATATGTGGAATTTTTTTTTGTATGTCTGATATCATATCCTTATCGGCTTATCATAAGTGAATACTCTGACACTGACTCAACTTTCCAAAAATAGATGAGTTTGTCTAAAGGTATAAATCAAACTTTCTTAACTTCAGTTTTCTTTAGCTTCGTGTTCTGAACTTAGCAAACTTCCGATAAAAGTGATAGCTTTTTCCACAACTCATGGACGCCATGGGGAAACTGTTTGAAGAAGACAGTGGTGAGTGAACCTCTACCCTTGTCTCTTTTTTAAATTTGTCGTGTTAGTTGCTCTTTTTACACTATACATGACTGTGTTTGATGATTCAAGAGCAAGTCTTACCCCGCTTGTAATAGGGATGTTATAACGCTAATCATACTTTGAAATAAATTTAAAGATAGCGCCGTTAATTTTTTGCAGGCCCCGAATAGACCTCACTCATTTGACCGCCACCTAAAGATGACTTGGAGCCTTACGCTTTTGCTGCATACCATAATTTTTCTGCTATTGATAGAAGCTTCAAATGGCCATGACGAAAGTAAAACGTCAACAGACATGATGCAATGCCTGAGAAAACTCTATCCATCTTCATTCAAGACCAGACAAGGCAATCCAGTACCAAAAAAACAGGTAAACTGTTCTATCATGCCACACACTGGGGCCCAGCACCAGTTTGACGTAAGCACTGCATTAGACCCTCGCATAAAAAATGACAGATTGTTGTTCTTGACTGTACATATACAGTGCCGCGAACCGACGGAAATCGTTTTTAATAATTCGCACAACGTGGCCGACAACTTTACAATGTTGACTTTGATCATCAGTGGACCGTGTCACGTCTCAATGAAAAATCTTGCCTTGTGGTCAAACGTGACTGATTTTCACGGACTTGGCTTTAAAGAAGGAAAAAATGGACGTTTTCCAAAACTTTTAAAGGATTATGCATTTGAAAGTGAAATTCAAAGTCTGGCAAGCTTGAGAGCCTTATCGCTTGATAGCAATTTCACCCTAGCTATATTGGATGCACTCTCCGAAATTACGGGTGTAAGGTCGAAAATGGCAGAACTCGCGTTGACAAATCTCTCACTCAAAAGAATGCCAGAGAAACTACAAACAGTAATGCCTGGACTACAAACACTCGACCTACGATTTAATAAATTGACCCAGCCACCCATCTTTCCCTGGAATAATACCGCTTTAAAGTTTCCTCATGGTTTAATAGGAGCGAAAGGGTTAAAGGTAAAGACACTTGGAGGTAGTGACGTCGATGCGGACAATTATGTGCGTAGTTTAAGACTAGATGGCAATATCATTCAAGATTTATCGTTGCACGAGTTCCACGGATTTCTGCACAAACTTTCACTTACCAGAAATGGTTTGCAAACAATTGGAGCGACAAGCTTTCAGAATTTGAGCGGAATTCAGGCGATCGATATCAGTAAGAACAATATTCAAGAACTCCCATCCCAGTTGTTCCATGGCTTAAACTCTCTGACCGAAATTCAGCTGCATGAGAATAACTTATCTGTTGTTCCGGCGGAATTATTCAGAGGCTCAGAAAATATCATGAAAATTACTTTGGGACATAACAAGATCAGGAAAATCGCTGGTGGACTGTTTAACTCCTCCAAAAGACTTCTGATTCTACATTTAGAAGGGAACAGAATCAAAACAATCGAAGAAGGTGCTTTTTCAAATAGTTTACGAGAGGTTTACCTTCAAAATAACGTTCTCTCCTACTTTCCCATTTCTTTATTTCGCCTTCAAAATGTGTCAAAAATAGATCTCTCTTTTAACGCGTTAACCTTTCAAGATCTTATCAATCTTGTAGAAAATTTAGATTTTGAGACAGACAACGTCTCGTTCCAGGAAACTCAGCCTAAACTACTTGATTTGAAAAACAACAACTTTACGTCGTTGAGCATGCAAGGCGTAAAGGAACCTGATGCATTGAAGCTTTCTCGTTTCTTGGAAATTTACGAGGTCAATTTAGAGGGTAATCCTCTCATATGCGATTGTAGTATAATAGCTATCAAGCGCAAGATAGAACTCCTCTCTAAAAATAATCCTGGCTCGAAAATGCGCTTCAGATCTTGGAAATGTGCTTGGCCCGAACAAATGAGGGACAAAACCATCCTTGAAACTAACGCAAATGATTTGATTAAGCAAAATGAACCGAAACAGTGCCCTGAGAAATGCTCGTGTTTTGAGAGATGTTCAGATCAAACTGTTGTCATTGATTGCCAAGGAAGGAAACTCGACATAATGCCAAAAACACTGCCAAGTAGTGATTCAATTCAGCTCAACTTACGAAACAACTACATCCGAGATATACCAAGACATCCTTATTTGAAAAACCTTACAGCTTTGTATTTGACGCATAACGAGATCCAACGATTAAATGAAGTGGTAGTAGACAGCTTCGAAAGGATCAGGATTCTCCATATGGATTCAAACAATTTGACAACACTTCCTAGAAACATCGAGAATCTTTTTCTCGCTAATCTTGCGTTACATGATAATAATTTTGATTGTAATTGTTCAACGAAGTGGATGAAAAACTGGCTGCAGAATCTTAACGATAATGGTCAGGTTGAGAGAGTCGAAAATATTCTTTGTAAGTCGGACAGTTCCATGGAGGAGAAAGCAGTTTACATATTGCCTGACGAGAGATTTGGCTGCAATGGAACGGTGGGTCAGAGTGTTAGATCAACTAACACTCCGAATCCTACTTCCTCAGTCATCACTAGTGCTGTCCTTGGAACTTTATTGGCCATATCCATAATCATTTCTATTCTCGTGCATGTTTACCGAAGAGAACTCAAAGCAATCATTAACACCCACCTAAACCGGTGGCCGTTTGGGGGCAAAAATGACTCGGATTCAACGAAGATATACGATGCGTTTGTATCCTACAGCGAAAATGACCGCCACTGGGTTGTGAATATACTACAAGAACGACTAGAAAAACGTCATCCAATTTTTAAACTGTGCATTCACCACCGGGACTTTGAAATCGGTACACCAATAGTCAAAAACATTTTGAACAGCGTGGAAAAGAGTAACCGTATGCTCATAGTGTTATCTCGCACCTTCTTACAGAGTGAGTGGTGTATGTTAGAGTTTCGTACAGCGCACCACAAAGTGCTGGAGGATCGCCTTAAACTGATCGTTATTCTGTTTGATGATGTGACTTTGGATGAGCTGGATGGAGAAATAAAGCTGTACTTACGCACCAACACCTACCTCAGCATCAAAGACAAATGGTTCTGGGAGAAGTTGATTCATGCCATGCAGAGTAACAAAAAAGAGAAATTCCGGAAACCTCTCTTGTAAGCAGAATAATGTCCACATAATCACCCTGTCACTCCCGGGAGTGACGAAGAAAAATACTTTTTACGTCAGAGTAACAATACATCATAAGAAGGAAGATGATAAGAAGGAGAGAAACACAATACAAGATATCGTTTGAGTTTACACCAAATTCACAGAGCTGAAATTGAATACATGTATATCAGACAGCGTAGAGAATTATATTTACCTCTTTGGAGTGAAAGGGTTAACGAACTTTATATTTTTAAAGGAAATCCATCTCGTGGATGTATGTCTTTTTACGTTCTATTGTAGGAGCAGTTAGCGTTTTAGGGGCTAAAACATTGTCCCGTGTTTCTCAAACAGGGTTGACAGCCATTCGATTCATTTGAGACTACCGGCTCAGTGATTGTATAAGTAATATCACAATCACTTTCAAAACTGGCATGACTCACTGCGTGATATTTTTTTACCCAATATTAATAGAGGAAAGTACATTTTCGATTAGAATGAAGTATACGATGGAAAAGTTATGACCGTGCGCCAAACTGTACAGAACAACTTCAAAACATCTGGCCCCGGTTGTTCGAAAGCCGATTAGCGCTGACACACGATTAAATGTCTTTCGTTTGGCTTCCACTTTCATGTGCATTCTCACTTGCCGCCATTTTAATGTTTCCCTCCAATTTTATTTTTAGCGTGTAGCCGCGTAGCTCTTAATAACCGGTTTGACTGGTTTAATCTCAGCTTAATCGTGGGATGGTTAATCAAAGGATAAATCTGCTTCCAGGAACGTTATTTTACTCCAAGATTAGCTATCCTAGGGGTAATAAATTTAATCGTCGATTAACCTCTAATTGAGGTATAATTTCATCGGCTTTCGAACAACTGGGGCCTGCTTCTTAAATGGCGGCAAGAGCTTCGATTTATTTGAACATTTATCTTATAGTTCCCCTCAAATTTGTGATGTTTTAGAGAAATTGTATTCTTTGATACATTCTATGTCGATATTGTAAATATTTTATGTAATATATTATGTATTATGTATTCTGTTCCAGGACACAGAAATAGATTGTCGGAGTTTATCCTTGATTGTACATATTTGTCAATTTTCTAATTCAGTCGGTTTTTACATATATTTTCTTGTATTCAATTGCTGATCGCACATTATTTTGCAAACAATTAGCAGTAATGTCGCAATCTGGTTGGCCAATTTGCCGTTTTCGATAAGAGTACAGACAACGTTGCTATCGTCAACGTGTTACGTAATGTTCACGAACTGGATAAATCGTTTTATTTGATGTCGATATTGTGGTAAAAAATGAATTGACAGTGGTTTAGCGTGGTCTATCCTCTTATCGACAAAGAGGTTCGTCATCACAGCGGTTAAGATTTGTTGCACACCCACTCGGCTGCGCCTCGTGAGTCCACAACATTAGGGACCTTTAGCAGTTAGGACGGCAACGCCAAGGAAGAAAATGAATGCATATTTTCAGTTGGAATTTCGCGAATGAATGGATGTGTTTATCATCTCCTACGGCGCCACAAGTTAACCTCAGCATAACGTATGAGAGCGGCGCTGAATTCATATGGAAACTTAAATAATCTGCATTCGGGGTTTCCTTTCTCGGACCACGCGAATTTTGATTATTTCACATTGTTATTTTGCAGAGGACGGCTAAGAAATGTACACAGTTTTAAAACGCACGCGCTGAGCTATTGTTCTGCTCATTGGATCTTTGGTTTTTCCACGTCCTCGTCGCAGTCGTAGTTTGCTAAAGGTCCCTATTGACGACTGTGATGACGAATATGGTTGTCGATAAGAGGGCAGACCACGCTAAACCACTATTGATTTATTCAATTGTCCGGCCCAACGAGTATGCAGCGTGTTCACCTGATATCATATCGAAAAATCTATACAATTAAACTTGGGCTCCGTCTACGGTGAAACCGGTTAATTTCACATACAAAACGGAGTTTTTGAAAACACTTTCCAAACCTGATACATGTAAATGTCAGCCGTTTGCGTTAATTGTAGACGGAAAGTCAATCGATTGCTAAAGGCACGGACCCGACGTTTTTTAATTTCTATGTACTATGAAATTCATCTCCAAATTTTTCCAGCGGATCGGTTTCATAATTGAAACATAAACAAATTCAACTTTTGGTGTGATTTTAGTTTATGGTTTATTCAGTGGCAGATACTTGTTCATATAGAGTGAAACGTAGAAATGCGTCTCTATTTCTAACTCGACCCAGTTTGTCTTCCTAATCGAGTCGTAATGGTTAGGGAGACAGCGATCAACCTTGGAATCTTTCTCCCTCAATTCATTATCGAGCCGCGCGCGTTGTGAAGACGATTGGGGACGAGTTAAATAAATTCTAATTAAAGTCTGTCCACATCTTTGTGCTCATTTTATTTTATGCTAGAGGTGAATCTCTTTCCTCATCCATAAGAAAGAGAGAGGACAGAAGAGAGGTTTAGGAGCCCTTCCCGTTTGAAGACGAATACGTAAGCGATTGCATTGCGATAAGTCACATACATTCCTTTTACAACCTTTGCGATCTGGATGTTAATGCTTTTGTAGAGATTTAAGGCAACCGTTTATACTCAGGATACCCATGACTCTATTTTAGTTCCTGGTAAGGCTATTACTCCCTGACCTAATTAACGTTTAGCGATATTAAGCATGCACTTTCACCTTTGTATGATTTGTTGGTTAATTTTTTGGCCATTTGAAGGACGGTGATCAACCCCTTAAAATCCTCTCAACAAACTCAGAATCTCTCAGCCACCTTTTTGCAGCCGGTAAAAAATCTCCGAACCGTTCGTTACTTTTTATAAGACAACCCACCGGTCCCTTTTCGGGCTATGCACTTTTAAGAAAAGCATTTTGCGTTGTTTCGTTAATAAACAATCCTTCTGTAAGAGACATACATGTCATTTTCCGGCTGGTGGTCCTTTATGAAGATTGTGTTAAACGAAAGTTTTTTTGCTTTTTGTATTCGTCGTCGTGCCATTAAATCAGAGTTTCTGCCATTTACAAACCGTTGGAGCTCTATAACGGTTTGTAAATAACGAGCAATATCAGGTGCATCCATTTCTTCATAAAAAGGCTCTAGATGAATTGGTTAAAGTGACTATGTCAGTCATCTCGGTCCATAAAAAAGCAAAGAAAGACTTTGTCCAACATCCAGTCATCGTAACCCGACGCTTGGTCAATATATAAACATATATAATGAATCTAATTGCAAAATTTTCCGACTAATGATCATTTCAATGTCAACTTTTGTGCGAATGTTCGTCCAGAAACTACTTATAAGGAATTCTCCACTAAAATTAACTCTATTGTTGTCAAGTTGTGCGCCGCGAGAAGCACAAGATTGCGCGTCATCACAGTGCCGTGCGACAAACAAACATGGCTTTACATGGTCAGTTTAAAAATTCTCCAACAGTGACCTTCCTTTCCAATTATAAGTCAGTTGAGTTTAAGTTGCGTCGATAAATCCCTGATGGAATAGCGAATTAGGAACACAGGGTTTCTTTTTTATTATTTTCACTGATTCATTGAAAAAGAGGTAACTCATCAAAGATGACGTCACAAGGTTAAACGGTTAACAAGGACAGCAATACAACTGTCTTATCGTGTCCTTTACTGCTTGTCTCACTTCCTTTATCTTCCAACAATAAAGAAATGGATTCAGAGCCGAATTAGAGAAGACGATCAATCCTGCTACATCCCATGCGAAGTAATGTAAATGAGTTCGTTGTCCAGTAATTGCGAGTGTAGCTGAAATTATGCCAAATGGAAGATAACAACCAAGTAATGTTGAATGCACCCACAGTGCACTAGACACTGTCTCTTTGTATCTTGCGATATTCAAACTTCCCCTTTCTGCAACTCTCCCTCCCCTCCCACTGACCTCTTCCCCTGTTTCCTCCTTCACTCCTTTTCCTTTTAGGCATTCTCTTTTTCCACGTCCCATTCTCCCTTCCTTTCCTCGATATACCATAATAATATTCTGTACGTGTACTTTGGTCTGTCGATGTTGAAGTCTTTTGTAAATGTTCCAGTAGCAGAAAGTAGAAATTGCTAATAAAAAAGTCATCCCTATGCTGGAGATGATTACGGCAAGATGTATGTCGTAGACGAAAATTACTGCAGCCATAAAACTTGCAATCCAAGAGGAAAGAACAAAACTTCTAACTCTCATTATTGTGACCACCCTTCTGTATCTCAGTCTCATCGTCAGGGCCAGAAGTCTGTCCACACTTATTGCAGTCAGTGTTGCAAGAGACACCCCACAGAACGTTCCCGCTACTGCATTAGCAATCATTTCTGTGATGAGACAAAATTTCGAATGCTCTTGAGAAAGAAATAATATGAAGTTAATGGGCTCCGAGATGATACCAACACAGAGATCGGTACATGCAAGGGAAATGAACAGAAGCTTTGATGGCGGATGAAGGGTTGACTCCTTCCGAAGGGCAACGAGGATCAAAGAATTTCCCACAACTGCAGTGAGTGACACAATAATATGTAATGACATGATGAACACTTTCTGATAAATTTCCTGATGAATTCCAGTGGTGCAAGAAAACTCTTGAACATTGGTGTTGTTTTTATCTTTGGTTATGTTCATCATTTTGATATCAACCACTTGTATTTTAATTCCAAGCCTCTGATGATCGACTTTTTGCCATTACCCTCACATCATATTTCTGAAAAGGAAATCAATGATTACGTTTCACTTTCAAAAACAAGTCATTTTCCTCTTTTGTAGAAAAAACTTCTCGTTTTGATCGTCCCGTTTCATTTGAATTACACCGAGAGAGCTGGATGGTAGAGCTGGATGGTAGAGCTGGATGGTAGAGCTGGATGGTAGAGCTGGATGGTAGAGCTGGATGGTAGAGCTGGATGGTAGAGCTGGATGGTAGAGCTGGATGGTAGAGCTGGATGGTAGAGCTGGATGGGAGATCAGTTTAATCTAAAGATGTGTGTACCCAATGGTTTCTCCCCCAAACGCGTCGTTCAACAGACGGAGCAAGGAAACCACACCGGGTTTCATGGATCTCTTCAATAGTTACAAATCTAGGTATAATTTTTTTTGTCATGTAAATTATCCTTTATTGAGCAAGCTTGTTCGGTCAAGATGGCTGAATATTGGCCTTTCTCTCGTTCTTGTTTCTTCTTTTCCTTTTTAATGTACCTCAATTCCATCTGAGTTCATCAAAACGCAAAAGCAGAACTTGGCCAATATCGAACCATCCTATTCAAAACTTGAACAAATCTACGAGTAATATTGCCTTTATTCATAATTTTCAATTGACAAGACTTAAACTACAAGCTAGCTAGTTCCTCGAATTCAGTTGGTCTGTCTATGGGTGCAAAATTTTGAGGAAACATCGCCTATATATAACTCTATCACGAAGTCGAGTCATCCAAAGTTACTCTGTCCGGAGCATGGTCTTCGCTTCCGTAATTCAGTGTACAACCTACTTTTCCTACTTCACCTTCGCCCTTACTTCAAGGTTCCTTCAATTTGTTTGTGACAAATGAGGTGTAATCCTTCTTTTTACTTTTCTCATGAAATCAAAAACAATTTGAACATACCTCAAACATGTTACAAGTAATTCGTCAATAGCCTTCCTTTAGCTTCCGCTTATGGAATGAAAACGAAGGACTATAATATAGCTTGTGAAACGATTTAACAGAGACCCACACGATCTAATAGAAGCCGTCAAACTGACAATCGTTGTCATTTATTATTGTCTAACGACATCATTTGTTAAATCTTTATTATCTTCTTATCTTCGTGGAAAGAAATTAGCTGTAAATGCCGATCCTCACTTACCCCACCTAATCTAAGCTTTAGCTTATATGAAATAGACCTGTCATCCAGCCGAACCCTGATGCAGCTGCAAATGGAAAGTTTTATCAAGTGGTTACATAATGTCTTAAGACATTTTGAAAGCAGGCTCGACAATTAAAAGGTTTTGGTATCGCAACTACGCCACTAAGAGACTGATTTAACCTGGTTTAAAAAAAGACGTAACTTTCCTTTACCGCAGAAAATTTTTGCTGCTAGTAGAGTAAAACGATAGCACACTTTTTATATGTTAGTTACTTACATAATTCAATGGGTTTGGTTATGTAACTTGAGTATATTGGTTCCTAACCAGACTGATTATTACGATTACGAAAACAACACACTCTATTTCCGATTATATTTGCCATTTGTCGTATTGCTTTAGTGGAGACTCCTCTGTCAGTGAAATATCAATTTGTTAATTTTAAGTATTTTGCATAAAATGGAACCACATCTCTGTGTGTTCCTCCCGTTTTTCGGCTAAAATTCGAATACCGCACCAAACTGAAAAAATAGATAGGGTAACAACATTAAAGCGTGGTCTCAATATTAAAACTTCTGAAATTATGTATTTTCTTTTTCTTTCTCTTCCTTCCGTCCCTTTTAATTTTTAACGAGAATAGGACGATTAGACTACAAAAAGGCTTCTAAGGGACTAGTGCTCCGGAACCATCAGCTGTAATTTAATTTTTTTACCGCTTTTAATAGATATTTTTAAGAGACCATTCTTGCCATATCAATATCATGAACCATTTTTTTTCTTGCGCCGGAACGAAAGAACCAAAGCTTCTCCTTTAAGGGCATTTTAATTTTGATAAATTGGGAACATCTCATAAACATGAAATCTGAAAAAAAGGGAAACAATTTTAAAGGGCGGTTCTACCGCTACAACTTCGTCTCCTCCTTACACACCGGCTGCTTTAAAATCTGCTATTTCTGTATAAAAGCGGAATAATTAAATCATTCACTGTGCAGCTGTCACGGTTCCCATTTTCCACTAGCTTTGTCAACATTAGAGCTGAGTTCGAGATGTGCTTGTTTATGACTATGCTATAAAATGGCTAACATGAATTCTCCCTTGTTGAAGCAAATATTATCATTCTGTTAGCTTTTCGCGACAGCACATAGGCATTTCCCCAAGGCTTCGAGTGATACTTTGATCCTTTGAAAAGAGTCAAACGAGCTAAACCTCAAGTGGCATTCATGACTACTGTATTAAAAAATGCCATCCAGAGAAGCAATAAGCTTCATAAGATATTTACTAGAACAGAATTGGACTTTGACTGGAATGGTTACAAGAAACAAAGTTAGTTAGTGTAAGAAGGAGAGCAGTTGCCTCCTACCTGAAGTAAAAAGCAGATAAAACGTAAAGGAACCAAACGAATTTTGGAATACCTTCAGGCCTTATTATGCACTCAAAAACCGAAGATCACAAAATGGAAATATGTCTTATCGAAAATCGAACACTCATCAAAGATAAGGTCGAAGTTGCAAAAACATTGAATAAATATTTCGTCTCAAGTTGCGGCTTAGTTTCAAACTTTGATGTCATTGTATTAGCAATCAGAGAAAATGTCTCACTTCATGATGAATCCTGAATAGCACAGATGTCAAATATTCTGAAAAGTCTGAATGTAAACAAAATGACTATCAAATCGTTGAGGTACGGAGAACCTTGTCTGTACTATTTAGGGGGAACTCGACGAGCTGCTGAGACATCAAGTTATCCGCCAAACTAGGAATTTCTGAAAAAAAACGGCTTTTCGAAATCGGAAATCTAAGGAAATTTCAAGAAATGTTTCGTCTGCTTGTGGACGCCTCCGTCCACCTTTTCGAATTAATAAGCCCGCGTTTGGAGCATAGAACGAGACTTACGAGAGCATGCGGCAGTAACGGCAAGACAGCAACTTTTAGTATATCTCCACCTCCTTAGAACAAATTCCTTCTATCGCCCTGCACCAGCCTTCCTTGATTCGTTTACCTTTTTTAGTGTAGAACTAGCCTGCGAATGTTTGTCCATAAAACATCGGAGGGTTTGGGCACTGTCCATGTTTGCACCAACGCCGTTTAATTGCGTGAGAAACTTTTTCCACGCTGCGTGCTTTACTTTCTTTGTCACTGTTGATGAAAGTGGCGCCAAAACTATCATTTTATGTTACCTCACAGGCTAAGCCTGAAGCCACTTTTGCTGTTTGGATAACATGCTCAACGACTGTTCAAGAATGAAATTGTAAATAAACGAAACAAAGCTGCATGTATGGAAGGGAAAGTAGCGATTTTAAACTGCATATGTTAAAATTAAACTTACATTTAAGTGGAGTCTATCGTTGTAGGAGGGTCTCAATAGGGTTAATCGTAAGCTGTGAAACAGCTAAAAGAAAATTACCCGTTAGGAGTGAAAATTTACAAATTTTAACCATTAGTCATAAAAAAATTAACCGTAAAAAAACTCTCTTTTAAAACTAACGGAAAGAAATTTGCCATTACAATTGATTCTTAAAATCCATCTCCCTACTAAAACCTTATTGTTCAGTTTTACAATTGTAATTCTAAAATTTTTATTTACACTCATGTACTGACTCGAGATGCACGTGTAAAAATTTCAGTGTGGAATATTGTTTTTCAAATCCTTGTATTTACAAGTCGGAATTTACCCGTGTAACTTACACGTGTAAAAACTGCAATTGTATTTTCTTTATTAAATTGACCCCTGTATTCAAGAGAATCGATCAATTTGATTAAACCGGTCAAAGACTAGTTTTCATTCTACTTGCTATCGAAAAAGTGTTCGAGAAGTGCCTTCATTATTATTGTCACTTGATCTCGAGGAATCTTAAGTAAGTACCTATCGGCCTAAAGAAAACATTACAGATGCTCAATAGTCCTTCTTCATATGATCGAGGATTGGAAGAGAGAGAACTCAACAACGGTAATATGATTGGCGTAACCTCCATGATCTTTGTAAAGCGTTCGATTCACTTCCGCATAGGCTATTGCTGGCAAAGTTAAAAGCCTATGGCGTGGAAAGACCAGCTTGAATTTGCTACAAATTACGTAGCACTTTTTACATTTCTCAGGAGTATGGGGAAAAACTGATTTAAGACAAGCTAGAAAATCCACATGAAAGAACATTGGATTTCCACGAGTCATTTTGTCTCGGGAGAGAAGAGGAGTCATCGTAGCCCTAATGGTACAGAAGCAAGTGAAAGAGTAACAACACAGTTTTAGATCCCTCCTCTCGCCTTGAACTCGATCGGTAGATCCCAAATGCACTGTTGCCGAAAAAAACGTGACAAAACTGGCCCTCTGCATTTCTATGAACGAACAGGTATAAACTGTAGCCCTCATAACAGAGAGAGCATTACCATCTGACAACACAGGTTTTAAATCCACCTAACTCCCCTGGAACTAGACAAGAGACGAAAAGTACCATTTAATATTGTGGATAATAACAACTCTTATCCCAAACCGTTCCAGTCTTTTGGCAGGACAAGATTATTAACAGTGTCAAGGGCCCTCTAAAAGTTATAGAAAATCACACATATGCTAATATTATTGTCTATAGATTGCCTTCGGGGGGAGTTTTAACTGCAATTTATTTTCTAACTTGTGCTGTAGAATGCCTCTTTCCGATAGAGAATGATATGCTTCTTGTAATAATTTACTGGTTGCTCACTCATCAGCTTTTAAATTTTTTTATTATACCTGGACCAAACCCTTCTTACATTTACTACATCCTTTAAAGTTTCATAAAATAATAGTGAATCACTTTTCGGGTAACAGAATACATAGGTGCAAAACTAATGGGGATGTTTTTTTCTTTCGTTCGTCTATGGTAGGTCAGCTCAATGCAGTATGACTCAATCCCGTTAAGCGAAATATCAAGATCACGCTGCCTTGGGCGATGTATTTCATCGGGTACCGGCTTGTGATTTTTTTTAATTTGCACGAAAAAATTCCTATCGTTGCTCTTCCACAGAGACCCACTCCTTCTCTAGGAGACTTTATCTGAACTATGTTTTTCGTAGTTTTCATGGCTGCACCATTTTAATTGAATCCCAGGACTCACTTTTTGTGATCCCCGATACATAATTCAAATCAAAAGTGGTCGTTCAAAGGCTGTCAAAAAAGTTTTGAAAAGAGTAAACGCATCTTTGATTTTGAGGAAACAATTTGACGAGAAAGAGCGTTAACAAGAGGGAGACTGAGGCAGCCTAGCGTGGCATGATATTGAAAACTAGAAAAAGACAGTGTCCATTCTCCAAATCTGGTTCTGATTGTGGTTTCTTATACTTGATAGCTGGGAAAATCTTCCAACTATTGAACCTTGAAATAGTCAACTATTAGTCACACTTAATATTTCAGTTGAGGATTATTACATACCACCCGCTTATTGCTCGGAAAGTGAGACCACTAGTCAATGTGGAGCAATGCAAGAAGAGCTTCAGTTAATGGGTCATGTTTTGTCTGAAAGGAGTATGGCTGCACCCGAGTAAGCAGTGGCGGACCCAGACCCCTGAGCTAAGGCGGGGGGGGGGGGGCGCGGTTTTTTTTGTCGCTTGCCCTGCCGGCTTTTCTTCCTTCTACAATTCTCTTTTTTTTCCACTGGTAAGTAAATTTGGAGGTTTGGAAAAGAAACGAGTATCAAAAAACCGAAAACATTAGAACTGGAAGTTTCAAAAGTAGTTATTAACTTATTTACTTATGCATTTTCTTACTAATTTTCTTACGTGTGATTAAGTTTGTTGCAAAGCCTTTTTCAAAGGATTTTCATGTGCGCTGTTTGTTTATTATTGCGGAAGAATTCTCATGACTCTTCAATGTCGACCAGATGCGAATCTAGCAGACTTTCTTTCGAACCTGGTTCGACCTCAGTAGTTTTCAGGGGCGCTCCATTTTTGTCAAATCCGAGGACCCGCTTCTTATCATCCTCGATACATGACTCAAACCAAAAATAGTCATCCACAACGCTTTTTTGCAGCTTAATGAACGCCAGATTTAAAAGGTTGGCTTTTTTCACTTCCAGCATGGTTCTGAGGCATCTTACATCTGCATACTGTTGAACAAAATAAAAGACATAAGGAAGAGTGATAATCATCGTCTTCTGAGAGAGAATGGTGACGAGCTTTGAGAGAAGGTGGATCATTAATTTCAACCGAAATTTTCACTTTTCTTCCAGGTTTGAATGCACAAAAATTGCCAGTGTTCTTTGGTTTGCTCACGTCGCTCTTTCTTGGAAATTGAGGGGATTACATCAAATAGTTTACTCAATGCTGCATTTTTCCTTCGAGTCTAATTTTTCTGTTCTGCTCATAAATATTTTTGGTAACGGGTTTTGACTATTAAGCTTTGGTTTAAGAGTACGGATAAAATTAAGCTTAGATAGAGTTCATGAACAAGTTTGTGATTATTTTATTCCTAAAACCGTTGCAATATTTTAGGGCGCAAATCCCGCGTGCCTTGCTCGGAGGTAAATGGCAAAGAATATTTGGAGTTTGAGAAGCTAATCAGAACGCGCCTTCGATGCCATCCGCAGTTTTAGCATACTAATATTTAGTATATATGCCCCAACGACGGAAGACGCGGTGCGCATGCGGTACATCAATAAAAACGGATTATAAGCATTGTCAGCAACAATCTTCGCAAATGTTCTTTGAAATAGTTAAACACGAAATTCATCATAAACATAATTCGTTGATTTGAATCTTTTCATTAGAAGTTTGACGTTCACACGAAGGGCGAACGTTTGTCAGAAACGGTACCTTAACAGTGATGGTGTCATCTTCAGGGTTCACGGCTATACAGGCTTTACTGATCTGATTCTCTAGAATGTAATGGTCGTACCACTTCTCGCCCCTCTTTTCCGTAAAATTGTGGAAATGAAATTTTGCTGTAGGACAGAAGAGGAAATCTCCATGAAAGTGAAAGCACTGCACGGTTTAAGGTGCTGACATTTCAAGAGGAAGGAGAATCAGTGCTCCCTTAGGCTGTTTTGGGCCAATATATTTTAACACCTCTTCGTTTGTGTCGTCAATGGAAAGCTTTCAATCAACGAAAAATCCAAAGGAAAAACAGACGTGTCCTCACTGTAGCAGGTTAATACTAGGACTAATTTTATTTTTGCCTTGATTTGATAAATTAACGCTCCTTCAGAGCTTCTTCCTGAAATTTTTACCCTTGTTGAAAGAAATCAAACCTAAATACCAAATCTTACAGACAGCAGATACCTTTGTCCTCGTTTTCGACTGCATCTGCGGACACGCAATCTCCATCTATCTGCACATAATGACCAGCCACCGGACCTCCTTTATTCTGAGACACAATCCGATGTCTCGAGGTAAACCACTGGCGGTAAATTCCATCAGTGCTCTTTTGAGGCCCTTGTCGCTGAAAAAGAAAAAGAGAATAGTAACAACTCAGAGAGAGCTGTGAAAAATAAGTTCTTCCTATTCATGCTTAAGATAAACTGACTTTACTGACAACTACAGTAATGTTAAATCGATCTGCCTACTTAAACTACTGGCGGTAACTTTCTATCACTTCTGTTTAAAGGCTCTTGTTTTATAACTGCTATAAGTGAATAAAAGGCAGAAGGAAGGAATAACTTGGAAGATACTGAGTTTGTTCTTGCACCTCAGTTTTTCCAAGAGAATGTTCTCCTCTTTCCCTCGGTATCAATAAATTAATTTACGAGGATCGCAGTAAGAATCATGAATAAATGATTCGTCTTGAAGATGTCGCTTGGAAATACGAAACGACCTCTACAAACAAATTCTGCGGTGCCGCTCTGAACTTTCTAAAATGTGTCCAGTTATTTCAATAAAATTTATTGGCAGGGCTACGAGTTATAAAATTTTTAACCATTTGCACCTAATGCCAAGGCATAAAAACTTAAGCAAGTCCTCTACCTACTAGTGACTAATCACTTGAAAGCCTTAACCTTTAAGACTTCGTAGTTACATCATAGGAAATCTTCTGTTTTCCAACTCAAAGGAATTCTTACGATAGGGGCTTTAATTTTGTTCCTTTATCTCAAAAAAAAAAAAACCGACAAAATCTCAGTTAAGCAATAAATTAGTATAATCTTATCCAAACCCCCACGAATTCCATTTACATGTGACAAAAATATAGGAAATTCTTTGATCAGAAATGTTCTCGAAAAAAATAATCAACCTGGAACATTTAAATGAGCCTGCATAAGATCCAAAACTTGTGCTTTTATTTATAACGTTAAGCAAATTACGGAACCTCAGCGACCCTTCAAGATTACTGATCATTTCACCTGTACTTTCCCCAATGTCATCTATTGCACACTTGAGATTATTGCGTAAGGGATACATCGGCGAAACAGGAATATTATTAGATGACAACGACGCATTCAAAGCCAGTCATTAATCAACTTAATCTCCCTAATCATGTTTAACAACATTAGCAGTTTACGGCCTTTCCCAAATCTAGGCAGCACGGAAAGCCGCAAAACTCTAGAACAAAAATTTATCTTTCAAATCGGCACTCTTAATCTTCACGGTATCACCGAACGCCTTTCATTCAACGGATATATTCTTTTGTTCTTCGTTTTACTAAGTCCCTGCAAATAGAGAATCTCCATCTCTATTAAACAGCACAGAACCTTCAATTCCTCAGTCCGTTCTGACGAATGGCTAACGCTCGAAACGTCAGCGCAAGAATCCCTTTCACATTATCAACATCCGTTAATATAAAAAATTTTGCTCGTAAGACTTGTAGTACCCCCACGGACGCAGTACTACAGCTTCTATAGAAACTTACCTCCCTTAATTCCATGGAATTACTGATCAATTGATGATGTATAGCCTTTTGGACATAAAAATCCCATAGTGCTTTTGAAAACCCTCTTGGCCTGGCATCTTTGTATAGCGAACAGTAGTATCCCAGAAACGTATTGTTAACTGAGGTAATTTCTCAAAACAATAAGCTTCTACAAGAGTTTCTCACAAGTAAATAATAAAGTAAATTAAGTTCAAAGTTACCGGCAAATCTAAGAACCCAGCGCCTGGCGTCTCGTACATGTATGGCATTGCTGAGATTTCTGGACACTTTTCCTCGACTTTCACAGGTTCTCTCCAAACAAAGTTAAACCTTTGTGACTGTCAAGCGTCTCTTTTTTCGTCCTTCTTCGGCGCCCGCAATCAGGTTAGATATGTATATAAATATTCATATGATTCTGATTTGGAAAGCGAAGAAAACTGCAATCGGGCAAGATTTCACACTTACAGAACGGATGTTGTCATCTGAAAACAGCCGTGAAAAAATTGTTTGACGCATTGTAGACGAAATAGAAAGAGGGATGTCTCTCATCAAGCTAAAAAAAGTTGAAAAACATCAGCATGACTCGTCATTTTCGGTTGCTGCTCGAGTTTTTCGATTCATATCAACGTGACTTTTCTTCAGAAACAAGATGTTACTGTGACTTTTTTGTTTTCATCTACATATCAAATGGGCTTGAGTAAAACTGCAGTTGCTCCTCTGATACCAAATACTATTGAAGCAAACATTCGATTATATCTTTTCCCGGCTCTCCTTCATTTTCATGATGGTTTTGTAGTCATTTGTGCTTCTTATAGAAAATGAATAAGAATCGTCATCATTTATTTCGCTTACAGTCTCACCACTGTCTCGGTGCCCGATGCCAAATTTGAGAAAAAACTGAAAAAGCAAAATAAGGAACCTTTTGTCGTACTGGGCATGGTCATGTTTCGTGTCCCAACGTTCTTATACTGTCGCAGTATTTGGTTACAATGTACTCGTCTGCTATGCAATTGTGATTTAAATATCATCAACGATTTCAAATTCAGTAAGAGATGAAAGTTTCCTCTACGGAAGATGAAGAAATAGATATTGTTCCTTTGCGTTTCGTTTTGAAAAAAAGTGCTGGTTTAGGGGGTCCGGTGAAAATTGTCAAGGAAGTACTATGCTATTTAGCCTATGTTCTACAGTGGTAGCCAGCCGGCTCAGTTTACTCCAGAAACAGACGTAAAACGCTAAATGAGAGAGAACCTGGAGTAAGAGAGGCCAAGACCTAGCAGTGTTACAACCTTTCAGCACACTTTGAAGAATGCTCAGCGTCATCAAGCAAATGGCAATTTTTTGTTGTGCGCTCGGAAAGCTTCTTATTGACTCAGTGTATAAAAGACAATTCGACTTGAGATGCAAATCATCGCACAATTTCCACTGGTGACGTCGACTCACGTGATCAAATTTTCCGTCGAAATGTAGCCCTCAACAAGCAATCTGCGTGTTGAATTTATCGTAGCGCGCTTTTCTTTCCCCTTAACGAATCAAGATCAGTATGACATTCAGATCGAATTATTGTAACTTCGAATGTCATTAACTAAGGAATACCACGAGAGTGCCTCAACAAGTAAAGAATTCCCTCCTCTTGTAATTCTACTTGACGTCATTAGAGGTGGAGATATCTGGGATAATAAAAACAAACAACAGTGCACGTTTCCAGAGTTGACCAAATAAAGAAATTTTACGAAACACAAAATTATATTGCACGTATGACAGATGACGCAACTTATCCTAGTTGACCTAGAAGACCGAACTCTCCGAGCGTCTTTAGGAAACGCCTTTGAATTTCGGTCTCATATGGGTGTTGGCCCTCATTTTCAGTTAGCCGTAGTCCATAGTTTATGCCTCATCTTGTGACAGAAAATTGACAAAGAAAATAACAAAAAGATATTTTGAAGGAGAGAGACTCAACTTATCTTTGATGAGTTGCGAGTCTCATCTAATCTTATTGAAAATGTAAGGTTGTTGGAGCCTGAGTCATAGGAAAGCGTATTTCTAGGCACCACATAGTTATTGTACAAGGATTACATAACATAATTATATAATACCAATCCCTTTTCCACATTCTCGAGAAATTTCCATATGAAATAATTGTGAAGACTAAGATTAGATTTTACGAGGGCTATGTTCACTATGGTATGTTTCTAATTTTCTCTAAATTATTGCATTGAATTCGCCGAAGGTACAGACTCTCTGGGAATTTGGGAATATCCATTTAAGTCTTATGATTAGTCGTTGCAAAGCGTTACAAGAAAAAGTTTTTGTAAATGGATCACTGTTCTTTTTATAGGGGTGAATTTCTAAGCATCAAGGAACTTTGGTCATAGTAAACACAACTGCACTGTCTTTAATCAAGAATTCATTTATTTACGCATTTATTCGCTTGCTAATTTTACTATGTATCGCCATTAGCTATTTCATGCGACAAGACCTTGTTGAAGGATTTGTCGCGTTCGTAGTTTGCTCATTACTTTGGAAACAAAATTTTGTTACCGTTTTCAATAACATAGAAAATGTGGATGCCGGTGAGAAGAGGGCTTCTCATGGTTCCGCCATTAAGACTCGCTTCATCTCCAGTAGACTTTCTTTCGAACCTGCTTCGACCTCAGTAGTTTTCAGGGGTATACCATTTTGGTCAAATCCAAGGACGCGCCTCTTCCCATCCTCGATACACGACTCAAACCAAAACTGGTCATCCAAAGGTTTTTTTTGCTGCTTAATGAACATCACATCTAACAGGTTGGCTTTCCTCACTTGTGCAATGGTCCTGAAGCCGATTACATCTGCATGCTGTTGAACAAGATACAAGATATAAGGAGAGGGGTCATAATCATCGTGTTCAGGGAGCCTGGGGAACGGTGTGTAGCTTTGAGAGGAGGTGGATCATACATTTTAGCAGTGATTTCAATTAGGGCACGAACATTTACAATTCTTCTTTCATTTGCACCAGTTTCTCTTTTTTGGAAATTGGAAGGCAATAGAACAACTGAGTTATTGGTACTTTTTCCCGTTAATTATAACTTTGCTATTTCCTATGAAAATATTTACACGAAAGGTTTGACCATTAATTTCTAGCGGCACACGCTCAAAGAAAGGCGTGGTCCGCACGTGGTACATGCGGAATGCCTGGTACATGCCAAGTGCCTGGTACATGCAGAGTGTAAGCATTCTTAATAGTAACTCTGCGAAATGTCTCGTAAAACGAAAACGCGAAAAACTTATCATAGTTGTAACTCATTTAATGAAATCTTATCGTTTGAAGGTAGACGCTTTTACTTAATGGGTGTACGTTTTCTTTGGAGTGGTACCTTAACAGTGACAGTGTCATCCTCTGGGTTTATGGCCACCAAGCCTTCACTGATCTGATTCTCCATAATATAATAGTCGTACCACGTCTCGTTCCTATTCTCCGTGAAATTGTGTAAACGAAATTTTACTGTAGGACAGAAAAGAAAATCACAATGAAATGAAAACACTGCTCGGTTTATGGGGCAGACATTTCATAAGGAAGAGGATCAATTCTCCTTGGGCTCTTCTGAGCCACTTTTCAGAACTGAATTTTTTGACGTAAAAATAACAGAATGAAAATAGTGCTTGCCTGAATGTCTGGAGCGAATACTAGGAAATTAAATTTTCTTTTTGATAAAGCATCGTTCCTTCGTTGTGTCTTACTTGAACTTTTGGCCTTTCTATCCTTGTATAAGAGTGTTGGCTGGAGCTAAAGAAGGAGTTTCTAAATAGTAGATACCTCTCTCGTCTTTTTCGATTGCATCTGCGCTCACGGTATTTCCGTCTATCTTCATGCAATGTCCAGGGACCTGACCGCCTTTATTCAGAGAAAAAACTCGATGTCTCGAGGTAAACCACTGGCGGTAAACTCCATCAAAACTCTTTATAGGCCCTTGTCCCTGAAAAAGCGAGAGAAAAAATAAGAGCTCAGAAAATATTGGTGAAAATTCTTTCCTATCTCACATGTTCAGGATGTGATTACTTTACGAGAACTGCAATGTCACATTTTCAGTAATTTCAAAAGGGATTAGAAGAACATATTTACGCCTGGAAATGTGTTTTAATAAGGAGCGCAACATCATACAAGCTTTGCCGTGTTAAGATCTCTACAATATCATGGATTGATTTAAATATTTTTGCCTAATGTGACGTAAAAACCGTATTTATTAATCCCAAATTCTGATCAACGTTTTGCAGCTCGTTGTTGTTCTGAGCTTTGGTCCAGTTTGTCTTTTACAGGGTTTGCCGAAGGGTGTGGTCTATCCTTCTGTTATCGAATTCCAAATCTGGGAGAGCAAAGGAGCCGAGTCGAAAATGATCGCTACGCTCCTTGCTAAACTTGCAACAAAAGTTAATTCATGAAGTCACTTGGAATCAGGAAAAATTTGAATATCTGTATTTTACTTTCAACAAAATTTGTCTTGCAAGTTCGGATAAATGTATGCAGCCAACTAATTTCTGAACTTATTTTTCTAAACAATAAAGTAACAAATAAATAACATACCAAGAAATGAAGTTAGTGTGCTCAAACTTACCGGCTCTTCATCCCAGTGGTAGGGAATTGACCTATCCTCAATCGGCATTGCTGAGTTTTCTCTTTAGTTTTCCTAGCCTTGTTAGGGATCGCTCGACAACAACTATCCAGTTAGCTATGACTGTCAAGTATCTCTTTTTATAATTTTTCCGAAAATCAAAATAGCATTATGATTCCGACCAGGAAAGCGAAGTAAAATGTAATTGGTCAAGGCAGAAATGATGCTGTTATCTTTCATCATCCTTGAATAAAAATCTCTGACGCACTAAAGAAGAAAAGAGAAAGAAAGCGTGCTTGGTCATTTTTCATTTTCCATTGTCACGCGGCCTTTCTTATGTTTCCTAATTTGATTATTATTTAGAGGGAAAGTTTATAAATTCGGAATTGCTTTTTTTTCTTCGCATAGACACTATTTTCAATACCTATTCTAAATAATTTGCAAAATCTATCCTTTGTGTGGAATATAAGATTCCTATTAAAGCAAAAATTTTTGAGGTGATGACGAGATGTCTAATATTTGTATGCTTTGTATTTCCATCAGAACCTCCCAGTCATTCTATCTCCTTTTCGCTAATATCTTTATATACATTTTTTTAATCATCATTTTTTCCTTGCCGTGGCAAGCAAACGAAAGGTTGAATAGTGACGTTCTTACCTGTACCGGATTTCAAATACAAGAAACTGACGCTGCTATATTTTGAAACTGAATCGCTCTTTCGTCTTGCAATCACGTGTGATGAAACTCTACGAGAGACCACTTCGGAAAGGCAGGATTTTTAAAACTTTTTCACTTTCTCCATTGAGATAAAGCAACCGCAGATGTGCCAACGAAAATTAAAGTTTGACTTCGAGAGCTTTGGATCAATCGAGAAATTTTAAGTTAATTTGACATTTTTAGACAAAATTTTTCAGTTCGAACTGTTTTTCAAAGATACTCTCCGGATGAAGTTCAACAAAATGTAGATCAGGTTCTAAAGTATATCCCTGGAATATAGCTGTGGAAAGGTGTCAATACACCCAGAAACTCGCTCGATAAACCCTTTGTGGAACCGATAAGGTTTGACCTTGTGTGCTTCTTCGTAAGGTTATGGCTGTATTGGAACAGACTACAAGATAGAACAGTTCCTGGTACGTCGAAATCAAGCCGAAAGAAGAAATCTGATCGATAAAAGCAACATCTGTGCGGTTATCTTCAAGTTCGCACTCGCCCGGGGTTCGAAAATTCATAGAATTTCGATCTACTTCCCTCATGTAGCTAGCACGTATAGATCTACGTGAGGAGCCATTTCATTTAATGGATTATTGTTCGGCTGCAATTGAAGGAGAGAAGATTACAATTATATCAAATCGTGATTTTTGAATTGAGTCATTCTGGGCGACATCAAGATATTTGTGATTAAAAGCTATGAAAAAGTTAACTTTAGAATTCTAGTCTGGTTTTGTGGGACATAACCCTGATTGAACAGTTACCAACTTCAATTTGAACTTCACAATAAGCGGCTGTCATGGGCATTCGTTCGATCACCTTTTTTTTTTCTCTTCCTTTGTATGATCTCGGTGTGATATTTTTGAATCTTCATCGTCTGAAAATGAAATTCAAGACCATCTACATCATTTGTTATTTCATTACTTCCTTAGTTCGCGATGTTATAATTTTGTTATGATTTCAGCAAAACAACTGCACTATTTTCGGTATCAGGAGAGAATTAGTCATAATGCACATTTCCTCTTCATCACCGAGTTTCAGTTCTTCAACTCAGAAAATGTAATCGTCGCAGTTTTTTCTTCAACAATCATAATAAATAACGTAATAAAACACGATCCTTCTTCCAATAAACTTTAATTAGATTCTTCCGAAGGCAAATACTGACACAGCTGTTTCTCAATCTTGTTTTTTTCCCCTTTTTTGCGGCTTCACCAGCAGTTAAATAAGCAAGAAAAGGTCGTCGTTTTATTTTTTCAATTTTTTATCGTTTTCCAGCCAAGTCAGTTTTCTTTTACTTTTCATCTTGTTATTTATTATCGGCATCACCAAATGTTCCGTCATCATTATTTTTTCGGCTTTCAGTACAGACGAATAGTAGGCGTTGTCTTAGAAAATTTCATCTAGAAGGCTTCCTTTTGGTTTTCAATGCTAAGTTTGTCAATGACTCTCTCCACCTCTTGTGCTGCTCTTAACTAGACCCAAAAACATTTCTGGCCTACGGGCGCTTGCTTGCTGGGGAGCAGGAAATCATACCAAAAACTATGGCTTCGGCAAAAATCTTATTACTGATATTATTATTATTATTATCGTTATCAGTATTAGTATTATTATTTATGGAGATAAAAGTTTTGACACGATAAAAAGGTTGTTGGCTTTAATTTTAGTGAGTTAATTAGATTGCCAACGTCTACCTTTTCTTCTTAGGGAGAGAACAAGATAACACCTGTCCTTGGTTTTTTAGCTTCTATACAATTATCAAGCGTGTGAATTTAATTGCATTTGACTTTAAAATGGCCAGCTTAAACGCGTGAGGTTTAAATTTCCTATTCGTATTTCCAGTGGGTGTAACAGTTCGCTGTCTCCTTGCGACTCTGGTTGAAGATAACAGACTGATATTGGGGACTTAAACTTCATTTTACTCAATCCCAGACCCCTCTCGTACCTTAATCCTTTCATGCTTACAACTCTAAAACATGTTGTCCAAAAATGGCGAAAATTTTCGGAAAGGATCCTTATTGTGAACAATGAGGAAAACTATCTAGTGGCTTATGGAAAATAGAGAAGCGGCGAGCAGTTACACAAAAGGATTTTTAAATGACCAAATTATCTGAAGTGCTTTCATGTTTACTACTGCTCGACCACCGGGCGCGAGTTCAGTTTGTTACGAACGTGATTAACGGTAGGTAAGATGTTGGAGTAAAAAAAACTATACAAAAACCTAAAAACAAACGAAAAAACAAGATCAAGATAGCATGCTAGAAAGGCTTTAATGCCATCTGTAGTCAATATGGTTAAAGGATAATTTTATAACCTCGATCAATTCCATTTGAAATTTTAATATTATGAGAAATTTTAAAAAAGCCGTCTATGATCTGTTGGGCCTAACACATCATATTATAAATATGTGGTGTAAAAGTGATCGATGTGCTTGCTTGAAAGTGACTGAAAACCACTGTCATTTCAGCTTGTCCCTAACGATTGCAAACAATGTTCTGGAACACCAAATACGGTGGATTGTTTTTTGAGTTTAGTGCAACATTACACGTGTAGGATCGATATGGATCGCGCAAAAATTTCCCTTATGGCTTAACAATTGATTCAATCACAAAAGTACAAGTCCAAACGTATTGCTTGAGATTGACGTCTTTGTTGCAGTTTGATTTCGTGACTTTTACTGTTACATTTTCCCCGCCATCTTGAATACCGCGTAGAGAGTTGGGGTAGCAAATATGTCACATGGTAAGCTTCGATAGATGTGATTGGCTAATTCGTAGAACATTGGGATGTGGCGGTTTCCTCAAATGTCGCGTTAATCGTCGTGCTCGCTTCGTGGTCGCGATTCTCACCGGCGCGAGAACATTTTCTCGCTATTTGGTACGTTTCTCGGTAACGATGGCGGCCGAAACTAGTCCTTTGAAGGTAACGATTATTTTATCTAAAACATGGCGATATTTTGGGGCATAGAAGACGGTATCACTACCATGTAAGAGTAATCGTAGATGAGACACTGCATGTTCGATGTCGTGGTACTAAGTTGTATTGGAAGAATCCAAATTTTTGAATTTCGAACCAAACTTTCATCTTGTGGGTGTACTTCTCATGCCGCATCTAGAATGTAATCAAGGATAACAGTATTTACGGCAACAGAAGAATATATCATGGTAACTTACGCGATTAACATACTTTCAATTTCCCGCCTTTATAACGTGGACACATTTGGCTTTCCAATAAAATAAATATAAATAAATAAATCGTTCATCTTGATGTGGAAAGTGGATTGAGTAAGAAAATCTCTGAATCCAATGTAACACTACATCAGCAGCTAAAAATTGTTGAATTGTATTTTTGTACAGGAGATCATGAATAATGGAGAAAATACCAAGAGCAATGCTTTTGCTGCAAAGAAGAAAAAACGACTGTCAGTTGAGCGGATCTACCAAAAGAAGACACAGTTGGAACACATTCTTCTCCGTCCAGACACTTACATTGGCTCTGTTGAGCCAATCAAACAGAACATGTGGGTTTATGATGCAGAGACTGATGCCATTGTGAGTAAGGAAATCACTTATACGCCAGGTCTCTACAAGATCTTTGATGAACTTTTAGGTGAGCAGATTGGATTCATGTTTTTCCATTACTTGTAGCTTAGTTTTACTTTAAAAATAAGGCCCTCGGCAAGCTATAAACTTGTTATTATTCACTTTGACTCATTAACTTATCATTATTTGCTCTAATGAAGGACTGACGATCGAAACATTGTTCAGCTTAAGAAATTCTTTAAAGTGGCTAATTTACGTTATTAAGTCAGTTGATAAAACCAAATTATCTTTTAAATTTTTCTTCTTTGGTTTGTTAAAAAAAGGAAAAAAAACTTTTTAAAAAAATTCCTGACCAAGACCATATATTTAAGAATTATGGAAAATAGTGAGTTTATGATATTCAGTAAGGTATGTGAATGTACAAGTCATGTAATAATATTATTGTGTGTTATGTTTCTTTCAATTTTGAAGTGAATGCAGCAGATAACAAGCAGAGAGACCCTGCCATGGGCTGTGTTAAAATAACCATTGATGCGTGAGTGACATATTAACAAAACAAACTATTTTTTAACAGTGACCCCATCATATGATTGAAATGATAGTTGACAGGTTCACTTACTTGAAAGTTGTCATTTCCTTGCTTTCCAGCCCCTTACTGTCCTGTTGTAAAGGATTAATTTTCAAGTAATGCTATCCTGATAGGTTTTTATTGTGCATACAATGTACCTGTTAATTATGAGGGTAATGTGTGACAGCCGGTTGGCACATCATAAATTGAACAAAGCCTATAGTTGGTATCCAAATTGCTCATTGGGTAATTAAAACTCTGCAAGTGAACATAGTTTTATTCATATTTTAAAGACTGGTAACTGTGAAAGAATTTCATTTAATCCATTTTGATTATGTAGACAGTTCTTAGATAAATGGAAACAATGACAGAAACTTTAGATTGCCTTTGGGACTACAGCTTTGTTGTCAAATGGTATGGGATTATCTAGAAATTTTTCCAGAAAATGCAACATAGGAGTTAGCCTCTGCCATATGGAGATGCATTTTTCTTTTCCAAAGTACTATTAATAGTAACTCCGAAACATTGGCGATAAGCTGGTAAAATACTATTATGTGTTAAACTTAAATATGCCTATTTCCTCTGTTTAAATTTCAGAGATAGTAACACTATCAGTGTTTGGAATGATGGACGTGGCATTCCTGTGGAGATGCATAAAGAACAGAAAGTTTATGTTCCTACATTGATATTTGGCCATCTTCTAACGTCCAGTAACTACAATGATGAGGAGAAAAAAGTCACAGGCGGCAGGAATGGTTATGGTGCAAAACTTTGTAATATCTTCAGCACAAAATTTGTTGTGGAAACTTGTTCCTCTGACTCAAATAAGAAGTTCAAACAGGTACATTTTGTTCTTGAATACATGCTAGATCTTCATGATCCTTAAAGTTAATGAGAGAATCCTGAAGAAATTTCCATGTTGTGTAAACATCTAGTGTACATTATAACAGGAAGAGGCAATTAAGTTAATGAAAATCAAAAAGAAAAGGAAAATGATTATTCATTTAAATGACTGCTTATGCTTATAGAGTATTTGAGTATAGTAGCAGAGTGTGGTTAAGTATAGTAATAGTATAGTTCATTTTAAACTTTTAGAAATACTATACCTGAATAATTTTTTTCTTGTCACCTAACACAATTCAACTTGTTCCTTTTCTTGTATGTAGACCTGGACAAACAACATGGGAAAAGTTACAGAGCCTATTGTAAAGGATTTTAGTGGAAAGGACTTCACTTGTGTTACATTCAAACCTGACCTGGCAAAGTTTAAAATGGAAAGTCTTGATAAAGACATTATCTCACTCCTCTCCAGGAGGGCATATGATGTTGCTGGATCTGTTAGAGGAATTTCTGTATATCTCAATGGAAAGAAGTTACCTGTATGTAATTTGTTGGCAATATTCATGTTATAAATTGCTCAATTCATCAAGCACCTTCATAAACAAGTTGTAGCTAAGTTATATGGTGCAACTACTTGTTTTTGTTCAGAGCAGAGATAATGCATTTTATTTTCTGGGTTATGAAATTTTGATTGAAAATCCATTACTTAACAGAAAAATCTCTGTAGTAATGATAAGTCAGTAGTACATGTATCTCTTGTACATCAGGTAATGGGGAAAAACCATCATGGACTTCACAAATCTTTCTCAGACCCTCTCTTTCTGTGCCATAGGAGTATGAATTATTGTCTTATTCAGAAATCTGTGTCCAGTTGGTGAAGCTTCATACAAGCCACAGGGTTGTAACTAAGAAATTTTGCTGCTGGCTGAAATTTCAAGTGAGGCAGCTCATCAATAGCATTCAGTATTGATTAATTGTAAGTGTCTGACCTCAGAAGTGCCTGTTGTGTTTTACTAAGTGATTGCCAGCCAAAAATCCAGCCAGTGATAGTTGCTTATTCTTGTGGCAGCCAGCACTTAGCAACAACCTTGCACTCAAACATCAGAAGTAGAATCTACATTTATAAATGATGCATTGTCTTATACCCTTTTGTGTTGTTTAGCATTCATGAGTAGGTTAAAATCAATTTGCGATTTATTTTTCATGAAAAAATTTATTTTTAATTGTCAACAGATTAAGACTTTCAAGGATTATGTTGGACTGTACTTGAAAGCCAGAGATGATGAAGATGACTTGGCATTGGGTAGTGACTCAGAGAAAAAGACCAATTCTGTCGTGCATGAAGTTGTAAATAAGCGTTGGGAAGTTTGTGTTACCACAAGCACCAAAGGTTTTCAGCAAGCTAGCTTTGTCAACAGCATAGCCACAACTAAGGTATAGTCAAGCCAAGTTCTCTAAAACTGCTTTAAAGCTGTGAAACATCAACTGTCTAACAGTTTTTGTCAAAACAGTTCAACATACAGTATTTCATTTGAAATTTTCTGACCTTTGCAAAGTGAACAATCATTCTTTTTAATCACCTTACTGACTTAAAAAAATTTTTCTGCACCCTAATTTTCTGACTTTGGAAAATTCATGAAAAGGTGAGGTGAACAAGGAGAGTGGTGAATGTAACATTGTATGGAAATTAAGGAGAGCATTAAGAAAAAATCTTGGATGAAAACAATTCGGCAAGACTACTTGAAATAAGGTGTTATAAAGGTAGCCACAAAATAGAGCAGTAATCTTGTTGGCAGTCAAGAGGTTACTATGGCAACTGAAGAACAGCCCACCTGTAGGCACAGTTCAACACAACTCTAAAAAGGGGAATAAATGCTTACCAAAGGTGGGGGGTATGGGTGGTGGGTGGTGGGTGGTGGAGAGGCATAGAGGAAAACAGCAAGCACAAAAGTAAGCAAAGTAAAGAACCTTGTAGTGCCCAAAAAAACCTCAAACTTCCTTTAACCCTTTAACCCCTTAGAATGACTATCATCTAATTTCTCCTTACAACATCACCCTTGAATCACACAAAGTTTACAAGAGTAAAAGAAATGATCGCCAACTAAGGAACCTCTTGATTGTTAGACAAATTCTCCTTGTCAGCACCTTAAGAGATGTACTGAGAACAGTATGGAGAATATACATACTGACCTTAGGGTGTATAGGATTAATAGTGCATAAAGGCAGCAACAGCTGTGTCCCAAATTTTTTAGAAATTAGGCATAGCAACTTTCTCCTGTTCAGAATAAACATAGTGTCCTGCTAGTTAGACCTTGCTGTTATTATTATTTCCTTGACAGAGAGGTAACTCAAGAACTTAATGGTAATGGTATTGATAAAAATGTCTCCTATTATAGGGAGGAACACATGTCAACTATATAACTGACCAGATCACAGAGAAGCTCATGGCTGCAGTGAAAAGGAAAAATAAAGGAGGTGTAGAAGTGAAGCCTTTTCAGATCAAGAATCACTTGTGGATTTTCATAAATTGTTTAATTGAAAATCCAACCTTTGACTCCCAAACCAAGGAAAATATGACTCTCAGATCTAAAGCGTTTGGATCCACTTGTGATTTCAGTGAAAAGTTTATCAAACAGGTTTGTATCTGTATTTATATAATAAGCTCAGTTATGCATGCATTCTGATTGGTTCTCACATATGATCTATTGGAGGACAGATGTATAGATGATGTCATTAAAACTTTTTTTAATTCTTTATTATATAAAACAAACAGATTCCAAGTTGCCATGCATCTGTTCAGTAATAGATCATGGAGGACATCAAAATGTGGTAAAAACATCAGTGACACACTTGGCTATGCCTTGTGTGCCACTTTTTTATTCTTACCACATTTTTACATCATCTGTGATCTATTACTGAACAGACGCATGGCAACTTGGAATCTATGTTAATCTCTTTGCAATTACCTTCAAGTTGTTTTCATATAACACCCAAAATTTATGTATCATAATGGAATTTTTAAAGCATGATGAAATATGTCTGTTGTAAGTCATTTTCAACCCCAGCCATTTCTGATGGCTGGGGTTAAAAGCCAAGGTCAGAGTGTTCAGGACTCTGCAACTATTGATGTCAAAAAAGTCCTGTGTTAATTGAGATAGATGGTATGTTTTGGAGTTTGATGTGGAATGAAGATGGAGGTTAAACTAGGTTTGGGCATAAGGATTTTTGAACCTATGCTAGTTCTTATTTTCATATTCCATGATCTTAAAACAGAGGTGATGTTTGAAGCAGAAGTGATGGTGGATACAGATGCAGGGAGTGAAATTGCGCCCAATACAGGCGCCAATGCGACTAAATTTTTCACTTTGGCAACCAAATCCTGAAAATTAGTTGCCAAATTGGCAACTAGAATGTTTCATCATAACCTTACTAAGAGATCTAGTGAATTAAAAAGATTTGCAAAGACAAATCCGCAGCAAACTTCCATGTAAGTTTGTTTCCAAAATGCAGCACATGCATCTCGATCGATAACTAGATGCCATCTTTGATTTAGGTGAGCTTAAACGTTGCATATCATCCATCCTAGTGTCCATTTTGTAGCACGTTAAAGATCTTTTCCCCTACTTAATTTCTAGAACGATGACAGCATAAAAAAGAGGTTTTGTTTGTCTTTGAAAATGGCGACCAACTTTTCTTGAATTGGCTACCACTTTGAAGAATTTAGGAGCCAAGTGGCTGTCAGAAAAAAAAATTAATTTCACGCCCTGAGATGTGATGTGATGTTATATCTTGTTTCCTGTACTTTTTTAGGTTACTCAGTGTGGTGTTGTTGAACATATCATGAACTGGGTGAAATTCAAGGCACAGGTACTAATTCCAACCTTTAGTAGACTCCAGGTTGAATTCATTAAACATGTCATGGTTTAACAGCAGGGTTCTCTCTGGGAATAATCTTGTGTCCTTTGAGTGGATTCTTAGCTGATTTGAAGTGGTTACAGAAAAAACGTGCTTTCTTAGTAATTGGCAAAACACCACTTAAAGAACAAGGTGAAAGAAATAACTTTCACCAAAAAAAAAATTCTCAAAATGTTACTCCTTAACTACTACATGGCTACTGGCACATGTATTAATTGTTCATGACACTTGTTAGCAAACTTTTCAAAGAATTTGAAAATGTCTGAATACATGCATCACCTCAGTTTGGATGCCCTCTTATCAAGAGGAGTCTTAATTGATAGCTTCTAACTGTTTCTAACTTGTTTTTGTACCTTATCAAGTATTTTTAAATTAAGATGTGCATTTATTTTTGGGGATTTCATTCTAGTCTCAACTCAACAAGAAGTGTCAAAAGAGCAAACACAGCAAGATTCGTGGAATTCCCAAATTGGATGATGCTAATGATGCTGGCAGTAGAAACTCAATGCAATGTACACTAATTCTCACTGAGGGTGACTCAGCCAAAACACTGGCTGTAAGTGGCTTGAGTGTAGTTGGTAGAGACCGTTTTGGAGTGTTTCCCTTGCGTGGTAAACTGCTTAATGTCAGGGATGCATCACACAAGCAGGTATGAAGTTCAAACTTCCAGTAGTTAGCCAGTGGAGAATTTGATTCATGCAGTTAAACCTCCTTAGCATACTCCCACTAACTTTAGGGAAATGCAAAGATGTGTTTGGCATAATTTGTTTTGAGCTGTTGTTACTGGATCCTGGAAAAATCAAATACACAAGTTTAAGACAAGAAGAGACCATTTGATCCCATTTGACTGATAATTCTTGGTGACAACCTTCAAAATTTTTATGTCAGTTCATAGAAGTCATCTGCTATGGTAATCAATGAATAGCTCACAATTTAGGTCAATCTGATCGAGAATAAAGGGGGTAAGTTTCTAAAGAAAGTGTGGTGCTGCATCAGTGGGAGAGTATAACAGGGTAATTTGATATTATCAACTGAGTTGATAATGTAAATTGGCTATTGTAAAGAGTTTCAATGGTAAAGTTTCGCTCTGACAAAGGGCTAAGGTTCAAAACGTTAGTTTTGAAATTCTTTACAGTGGCCACTGTATGTTATTAACTCAGCTGATAATACCAAATTACCCTGATTGAGGATACCTTGTTAAAGTACCAGCTTTCCTTATTTAACCCAGAACTAAACCAGAATTTTTATTGTTTGACTTTAGATTCTTGAAAATGCTGAGATCAATAATCTTATCAAGATACTTGGCCTTCAATACAACAAGAAGTACTCATCTGAGGAAGACTTGAAGAGTCTAAGATATGGCCACCTTATGATAATGACAGATCAAGACCAAGATGGCTCTCACATCAAGGGACTCCTCATCAACTTCATCCATAGTAATTGGCCTACCCTTACACGCTTACCTTTCCTGGAGGAGTTTATTACTCCCATCGTTAAGGTTAGTGTTATTTTTAAGGTGTCATATGTAAGATAGGTAAGCTTTAAATGGGGGTGGGGGGAAGGTGGGGTATTAAGACTACACCAACAGTTTACCTTAATCTTTAAGATGGAAACTGAAACTTCTAAGACCTGCCCAAAAGAGAGAAATTAATATCCACATATACAGAATTTTAGTTACACATTGTTTCAAACAAATAATTTGTGTCAGCTTGGCATAGCTAGCAGTGGCTTGTAAGAAAATGAATGGTGTAATCAAATTGAAAATACACAAATTTTACATCATTATCAAGGAAACTTTCATTGAAGTTATGGCAAGGGAGTATTTAAGTTACAACTAATATTTTTAACACTGTCAGTTTAAGATTGTACCAATTTTCTTGCAATTGAGAAAGATTGCAAAGAAATGGTGGACTTAGTTCGTGGCTGTTGCATTGCTTACAAATGTAAATGTAGTCTGTGCAAAATGTAGTAATTTCAGCTATAAAACCAATACGCATGCATTCACCTGGACCTTTGTCAATATGTAGTATGGTGACCTTTAACCACTTAAGATTAAGAGGTGGATGAAACACCTCCATGTATTATAAAAACAAAATTCTCATTACTCCAAGTTAAAGTCAGTTTATGTTTTTATTCAGGCATTTTTTAAATTCTATGCTCATGTAATCAAAATTAGTACATAAAAACATGGATTCTCAGGCTTGATTATGAATCCTCTGGAGACATTTGGCAATTAAATTTTGCTTGTAGGTTGATTGTGTCTCTGATATTCAAATAGTGAGTGTAGTAATTCATCATCGATGCTAACAGCTCATCAAAATTTCAGGTCAGTAAAGGCAAAGAGGAGAAAGCATTCTACAGCATTCCTGAATATGAGGAATGGAAAAACAGCATAGTCAATGTCAAGTCTTGGAAAGTAAAATACTATAAAGGTTTGGGTACGAGCACTCCCAAGGAGGCCAAAGAATACTTTGCTGACATGAGACGTCATCAGATTCAGTTCCACCATGAAGGTGCACCATGTGATGAAGCTATACTTATGGTATGTACAGCTGTATCATATAAGTCATTGGCACTATGTGGGTGATATGACTATAGTTTTGGATACTGCGATATTTTTTTTTTTAAATAATGTTTTTCTTCTTTGCTGGAGTATTGCATCTCTTTTGAGTTAATACAGCCAATGCTTGAAAACATCTGTCTAAGTGTAGAGTTGTGAGAAACTTTCATTTTCCCTTCTCACTTAGAATTAAGTGTTCCCTTGCAGTGGGTAATAAGAAAGACAAGTTTATTTCATCAAAGCAGAGATAATGTGAATCAAGTGTCACAGTAAAGGCAGTGATGAGTGAGGTAGCCAGGGAGCCTCTCAAAGAAACAAGCAAAGTCTGCCAGCTGTTAGGCTCTCATAGATATATTCAATTCTGCATGCAAGACCAAAATAATCAACAAATCTACCAGTGTTGGTATTAATTCATGTTTTTACATGATTTATCTCATAATGACATATGAAGGAATGTCAAAGGAACCAAGAAAATTATGTTCAACAAATGTTAATTAAAAACTATTTTAACCTGTAGTGGTATGAAATTGGCTTTGTTTGAAGGAAGAAAAACAACTGTGAATTGTAGACTGGATGTTTCTTTTAATTACAGGCATTCAGTAAGAAGAAAGTTAATGACAGGAAAGACTGGCTCAATCGTGCAATGGAAGATCGCAAGTGGAGAAGGCAACAAGGGCTTTCAGAGGTTGGTCAAACTTAGTTGTTTATTTGCATTCCTGGGATTTGTCCATAAGAGGTGTTGAACAACAAACTGAAATAAGTGATCAAATTTTGTTTGTGAAATCTGTCCTAAAAGAGTGTAAACAAGAAGATTATACTATATTATTTAATGCCAGTAGCTTTTTTCTTATATCACTCAGTAAAAATCACCTAGTAACTGCTTTTCTTGTCTTTCTTTCCTACAGGTTTACTTATATGAGAAGGACACCAGGTCAGTTTCATATTCTGACTTTGTCAACAAAGAACTTGTTTTATTCTCCAATGCTGATAATGAACGATCAATCCCATGTTTGGTGGATGGTAAGCAAGATAATTGAATTTAGAAATAATGTCAAAAGGCATAACCAAATAACTGATAAGATTTTGTTCCTGTGTATTTTATCAATCATTATAATTATTTTTGAACAATGTCCTTCAGGTTTAAAGCCCGGTCAAAGGAAGGTACTCTTCACCTGCCTTAAAAGGAATGACAAAAGAGAAGTAAAAGTTGCTCAACTTGCTGGATCAGTTGCAGAACTGTCTGCATATCACCATGGCGAGGTATATAATTAATAATGGTAAAAGGACTGAATGGAATCCAATTCAGTCTGTAATCATACGAGTAATTAAAAAAATAGGATGACTGCAAAGTGGGAGTCTGATTTGTTAAGCATGAGTATAATTACAGACAGAATTGAATAACACAAAGTCCTGTTACCAATTAATCAGAACTATGACAAGATTTGAGAAAGAAACTAGACATCAGTTATAAGTTTTCATTAAAAAAACAACAACAACAGCTAACTCAGGGGAATGTGAGAGAACTGTGCACGCACATGTTGTGTTCTGTCCACTTACTCAGGCATGATGTGTTAACTGTGCCTTTCACTGTCCTACTGCTGTCCAATTACAAACATGACATGTTCACTGTCCCATTAGAGCTCAACGTGGGCTGGTGATAACCAATAATGTTTGAGAATTTTCCCATAGTTTTAATGAAAGTCTATGACCTCTACTTGATGATTAAGTCCTCCAAACCAATCAGTTAGATTTGTCTACTTACATCTACATGTCCACTGCACAAAGTTATTTTAATTAAATTTGTGGTGATTCACCAACTGAATATTTACTGCTCTTCAAAATGGTGGATATTCTGCCACAGTATAATACAACTGATAAAAGTAACAATCAATAATAAGTGCAATATCATAGTTATTACATCATTCTTGGAGTTTCAAACATGAAGTGGTAACCGATAACCCATTATTTACAGAATCTTCAAGCACTAATAGATAAAGGCAAATCCTTGGCAGAATTTTTTCCATCAATCAGTCAATTGTCAGAGTATACAAAGGATATCATTTTTGCAGCAATTATTGGAGATGAAAGCTGCTGATGCAAAGTTGTGCTTGAACATTTCAAATTTCTGTTGCATTTATTTCCTGTTACAACTGTGACAAAATATCTTTCTCAATTCCTTTCTTGATAATGGCCCAACTATCCATTGGCTCATGTTAGGATACCACACTTGCAGGATTGTAGTTGAAAAATACATCAGAAGTAATATATTAAGTTAATTCTCCCCTCAGCTTTTATGCCCTGGTCTTATTTACATCTTCTTTACCCATTAAGGCAAGCCTGATGGGAACAATCATCAACTTAGCACAGAATTTTGTGGGCAGCAACAACTTAAATCTTCTGATGCCAGTTGGTCAGTTTGGCACTCGTCTCCATGGAGGCAAGGATGCTGCTAGTCCTCGTTACATCTTCACTATGATGAGTCCTTTAACAAAGCTATTGTTTCATGCTCATGATATGCCCAGCCTTACATACCTGTTTGACGATAACCAGCCTGTTGAACCTGAGTGGTATTGCCCTATAATTCCTTTAGTTCTAGTCAATGGGGCTGAGGGGATTGGCACTGGGTACAGCACCAAGGTGCCTAACTTTGATGTTCGGCAAATTATTAGTAATCTGAAGAAGATGATCAATGGAGAGGAACCAGAAGAGATGGTGAGCTCTTTATTCCCACTAAACTGTGATAGAAACTTCAGAGTTTCCAGATAAATCAAAATGTTGACATTTTTTGTTGTCAGAGTCAGAGAAATGATCAATTATGAAAGTGGAGTACCTTAGTTTTCAACAAAAAAGTAGCTTTTGGATTTAAAAAAGCATAACTTTAAATTTGTGGGCACGCTGTGATTACATGTAGTATTCCATTAGGCTTGCAGTGGTACTTTAGCTTTAAAGAAACTTCTCAATCACATTGTAAATTCACAATTGATGTGGAAAAAATTAGATATAGATTAAAATAGCAAATTTTGTATTGGTTTGTCTTTTGGCAGTTTTTGCCTTGGGCCTATTTACCTGCTCACTTGTTCTGTTAAAATTTATTTTCCTTCTGAACATCTCAAGTAGAGAAATTTTTTTCCAAAGTTATAGGTGATATTGTAATGAACAGTGCCAGTGCTCCTTAAGGGGTGGTCTGGGAATCTTGATATGTACCTTTCTTAACATAGTGCAGAGGTACAAACCAGGGAATGTTTGTGTTATTGTTTTTCCTTTCAAATTTAAGATACCATCATTCAAGAACTTCACTGGTACCATTTCTCAAATTGATAGCCACAAATTCCTTGTGCAAGGCAATGTGGAAGTTGTTGACAACAAGACCATAGAAATATCTGAACTGCCAGTTGGCATCTGGACACAGGTTTACAAAGAAAATGTTTTGGAACCAATGCTCCATGGTTCAGAGAAAATTCCTCCAATTCTGACGTGAGTAGACAAGTGTTTGATTCAAACAAACCTATTTAAGCTATGTTTTAAAGAAAGAAGTACGGCACTCACCCTCAGCAGTACAAAAGTTAGTCTGTCTGATAGGTGAAACAATTCTAGTACAATAGATGCACTATAACAAGATTATGAAACTGGATTAACAAAGGGCAAAAAAGCAGCATCTCTGAGTTGCAGGGGCAGGACTTGTAGCATCTTTGAAGTCACAATGGTGGAGTGTTATTAACTCAGTTTGTTTATAAATTTACATCATAAGTGCTCATGTGTGAATTGTGAAAGATTAACTACTGAAATGATATAATGATGTGCATGTACTTATAAAATTGTGCAGTAATTGGGATTGTCTAGCATTTTCCACAGTTTAATTTATTTGTTCAATGACTTCCAGTGACTACACTTGGGAAATTGGTCCCATCCAATCTGATGACTTTTATTTTTGGTACAGGGATTACAAGGAATACCACACAGATGTAACAGTGAAGTTTGTACTTAATATGGCTGAGGACAAGCTGGCTGAGGCAGAGGCAACTGGATTACACAAGAAATTTAAACTTGAAGCTTCAATTAACACCAGCAATATGGTGAGTTTAGCACTTATCCCAGCTAATATTTAATATTTGTAGTTATAGAAAATACTAGTTTTTCTATCTAAGTGCATTTTAGTCATTACAAAAATGTCCACACAGCAGATGTGTGACAGAGTTTGTGGCTCATCCATTTTTTTTTTATTACTGGAAATGTTTTATGGTGCTATATCAAATTTTGCAGCCATAGTTGATAGCCCTTCTAATGTCAGTTTTCTTGTGAGATGTATCCAACTAACTTTGATCTTTGGTGACAAAATAATGTCTTCTTCCAAGTGGAGGTGGTTAGTGTTGGATATTTACTAGGCTATGTATAAGTGAAATATCTACCACTGGCCACTGATACTGAGGTAAATAGTTTTAGTATATACAAAGACAGTGAGATTATACAGCAAAAAATGATGATTTTAACACATTTATTCCTGCAGCTATTACAACACTTTTGGGTTCAAATCCTGCGTGAGTTGCTAAAAGGTGAATAGCAAAGGATATGCAGAGTTTGAGTAGCCAATCAGAGCATGCCTTTAACACTATCCACTGTTTAAGTATTTTCTAATCACAGATAGTCCAGTTTAAGACATGGCTCAGTAATGAATTCAGCACAACCTCATTGGGTATAGGGAACTTCTGATTGAATCGATTTGAAATTATTTTTGTTTGCAATGTATTTCAGGTTTTGTTTGATGCCTTGGGTTGTCTGCGCAAGTATGAGTCGCCACTAGACATACTTAAGGAATTCTTTGAGCTTCGTTTGGAAAAATATGCTGTACGTAAAGCATGGTTAGATGGAATGCTGACTGCAGAATCAACCAAGCTCAGTAGTCAAGCTCGTTTTATCTTGGAGAAAATTGAAGGACAAATTATCATAGGTGAGGGTTCTATCATTGCTCACTATTTATTTATTTATAGTTTCCATTCAAATTTCCAATTATACTCCTGTAAATCTTGTGCAATTACATTGGAGGCACATTTATTTTGTTCATTTGCACCTGAATCAATGGCCGTTTTTGTGCTAGAGACATTAAAGTTGTCTAAGACGTTAAAGTCGTCTCAAGACGACTTTAATGTCTCTAGCATAAATGCATCTAATGAGTTGATCATTGATGCATTGTTATTTGATCCATTGTTATGGAGGAGCTTATCAATTTCTTGACATCCTTAAGGAAACAAAGATTTAGGCAAAATGTAATACGATGGTGTAGGATTTTCCCTATACACTAATATGTGCTGGGGACACTATTTGGTTAGGAAAACAACAGCAAAAGGAATGCAAAACAGCAAGAAGAATGAGTCATCTCAGATTTGCATTAGAACAATATTTGCACTGATTTAATTTAATAAAAAACTGACAAGGTCTGCAAAAATACTCTTATAAAAATGAAATAACCCTTTGCCATCATTGTTCAGTTTTTTACCATTTTTTTTAACAGAGACTGCAATATCATCTTTTAGTGTAATAAGTTGTGCACAGAATAATTTGATATTTATCATGTGGTTTAGAACATTATTTACTGTGGCTCCTTAACTTTTTCATCGGGAACCTTAACCTTTTTTTAAAAAGTCTGAATATGGAGTAAAAGATGGTGAAGTCTCCTGTGACTCATGAACGGGAACTTGTTATTTCTAACAGAGAACAGAACCAAGCGCGACATAGTTACCACTTTGGTGCAGCATGGATACCCATCTGATCCTATCAAGGCTTGGAAAGACACACAAAAGTCCAGTGCACCTGATGAGGGAGATACAGATGATGCTTCCAGTGTGGCAAGTTCCACGTCAAGCACTGGTGGACCTGACTTTGGGTACTTGTTGTCCATGTCTATGCTGTCTCTCTCTCGAGAAAAGAAGGAAGAGCTATTAAAAGAGAGAGATAATAAGGTCAGTGGCAGTATTTATTTGGAGTTCAATTTTCTCCTTTGTTTAAAGTTTACTCTTTTATATTTTTGGTTTAGGTGATATACAGTGTGTGTATGATAATGATTTCAAAACAAAGCAAAATAAAGTTCAAACCAAGGATGAAAATGGCCAATGTTTGTATTTTGGAATTCAGCCTTAAGGGATGACCTCAGCACAAGCCTCTAGGGAAAAACAAGAGAGTGTTTAAGTGTTTTTAAGCAATGACTCGTAGTCATGTCTTCTGTTTCGCATAGAATTTTGAAATATCAAAATTGTGAGGGGAGAGGGAAGAGGAGGGCATTCAAAGATTCCAGTTGTTTTGCAAAGGTGAAAAGGTGGTTAATACTTGTATCATAAGCAAAGGTCTCTGATGTCTTGGTAGACAAGAGAAATCCATGTAATCCTAATCAGATTCTTATTGCAACAGTTGCCTATGAGCCTGCCATTCTTGTTTAATAATCTTGTGCAACAATTTAGTTGGAGGAGCTGAACATATTAAGGAGGAAGTCACCACAAGACCTCTGGTTCGAAGATCTTGATAGCTTTTTGGAAGAGCTCGAGGTAAGGTCTTCATATCTTAACATAATTTACCGAGAACCTTACTTTTGTCACCAAGGAATATGAGGTGTCTTAAAATACTCTTGTAAACACAATTGACAAAAAGTTTGGGAAAAGTGTAGTTTAATTGAGTAGAACTCAAGGAATGAAGATGGAATCTCCTTTAATGTCTTTTAATCCTGTTCAAACTTATATTATGTGCATTTTTTGGGATGAAGGTAGTTTAGCCCACTCTAAATGACCAGAATATCGTTTTGTAACTTGTGTATAGAATAGGATGTTTTGGTGGTATTTCTATACAACCTGAGGGTGCTTATAGCATTTCCTGTATGTCATTTAACATTTGCCACTGATTACAGCGAGTTGAGCAACAGGAAAAGGAAGATCAAGAAATGTACGTAAAGTCCAAGGCAGGGCGCTCACAGCAGCAGAAAAAGAAACCATCAAAGCCAGCAAAGAAAACTGAAAATAAACCCAAGACGCTTGCTACAAATGAACAAGAAAAGAAAAACATGCAACATAAGAGCAAAGAAACAGCTCCAAAGAAAGAAAACAAGAGTGACGACTCCTGGGAGTTTGACGACATAGATGCAGGTCCTCCGGTGAGATCACTCGCTGACAGACTTGCTCAGCGACAGAGCCAGAAGTTGCCCATCTCGTTATCATCATCGTTAGCTGGCAGTGGTGCTGAGACAACCAGCAGTTCTGCTGCAAAGGGAAAAACGCAATCTTCGCTGGAGGTGTTCAGTTCAAAGAAGAAGGTTAGGAAAGCAGCAGAGAGTGATGACGATTTTATTATGGAGTTCAGCGATGAAGAGGATGGACCGCCTGTAGAGAAAAGGGCCGCTAGATCTCGTCCTGCTAAGGTTTGTGTAGTGATATACTGTTAAGTTAAATGTCGCTGGAACACGCTTCAGCGAAGTGTGCCAGTGTACCAATTGCAGTCAAAGGAGTAGCTTTGTGCCATTTGAAGGTTTTCAGGGTCGTTTGTTTGTTGTTTCAGATGTTCCCTCTTTCTTTACAAAGAGGGGTGTAGCATGCCCCTTGGGGTATTTTCCTTTCCTTTGCTATTTCTTTGTCTTAATGGGTGACTGGACTAGAAGCCAGTTTAGACGGAAATTGTTGACGAAATCGCTTAATGGGAACGTTTACACCTGTTAAACTGCCTCCTTACCCAGAATATGTTGATGGAAAAACTACCGAAAAAGAGTTCGCCAGTGATCCATGGATTTGGCATTCTATTGATTCTTTTAGTTCAGTAAAATGATATAAAGAGTATAATGTTTTTGATTTTCTTTTCTTTTATTGCTTTGCTCTGTAGACGTACTCTTTTAGTTCTGACGATGATGATGATGATGATGATGATCTTACGGTCACGGCGGTGAAAACCGGAAAGCCATCTAAGGAAGGAAGTGTTGATAGCGATGCCGAATCAGATAAAAGTGACGTGCAAGCTACTCGTGCTCTGATTCAAAAGCTCTCCCCTGCTAAACCCGCAAAGACCACTAGTTCACGGGTAAGATTTTGCTGAATTGTCAAACATTTACTAAGCAGCTGACACCTTGGGGATCTTTTGAGTGAGCGAACAACCTCAGACCGTATAATTAACAATTGTTCCACGAGCGCACATTGGATAGAGATGATAGATAGCCAACGAGGCCCGTAGGGTTGAGTTGGCTATACTCAGCTCATATCCGACAAGCGCGAGCGGAATTATTGTTATATTAAAAATGCCCCCAAATAAAGATAAATCTTCTCAAGTTTATATAGGAAGCTCGTCACTGGAAAGTGGTATTCTGTAAGGCCCCTAGTCTTTAGTAATAGAAATAAATTATGTAACAGGACTGAGTGAAAGTCAGTGCGTAATGCGGCAAACAGTATTTTTATAGTAACAACAGTGACGTGAAGAAAGATTGTCGCCTAACCAGGAACAGATGGCTGTAAGGCAAGCGTCATTCTCATTACTGGTGGTCTTCTTCACTCTCGATTAAAAGATAGCTCGAGCCATCAAATTTTGCTAGGTGATTCTGCGCAGTGGCGGGATAATTTCCCATCCTCCAATGCCTGATAAACACCCTTGGGCGGGAGTTGACGTAACCTCATGGGACTGAACATTGATATCCCCAGATCTTTTATTATTCTCGATTGTGATTTAAGGAGAAGACCATTAAAAGGGTAGACTACAAGTCAATTAGCAATTTGAGATGTCTTGAATGAATGGATTTGATGCTTTGCAGCCAAATAAACCATTAAAGGGTGGTGAATCAATTAAATCTACGAAGAAACAACCTGCTAAGACCACTACAGCAGCAGAGAAGAAACGCACCGCGACTAAAAAGGCAGCTTCGTCTAAAACATCGTCACAGGACGACAGCCCTGATGGCGAATTAGCTGCAAAGAAACAGCCAGCCAAGAAAGGCAAACGAGGAAAGGCAGTAATTCTTGATAGTAGTGACGAGGATTCTGATTCAGCCATGCTCTCTTTAAAGAAACCTACAACTGCTAAAGGAAAAGTGGTTAAGGTAAGTGTAAGAATACCAAATGTTCATTGATAAGCATCTTCCAAAGGTATTTAGATTGCCAGGAAATCTCCAAAATGGCCTCACTCAAAGAAATTCGACCGTTTTTTTTCTCTAATCAAGAGACAGTGAAACATAGCATTATTTTTCGTCTCTGAATAGCTGTATGTTCACACCAAATGATTAGAACCAGAAGCAGAGAACTTTCCCCATTGGCTTCCATCCTTGGGTAAGTTCGGAAGCCAGGATTCATTGTTTCTAAAAGATGATATGAAATACAATGAAAAGGCCTTGAAGAACGAAAATTATGCGATCAGTAGTTCCTGATTCAGCGACAGTGACAGAGGAATACACGAGACTGAAAACAGGGAATGGAAGAGACTGAGATAACTATCAAGTTACGACACAGCTCATGTCTCCAAAAACTTCAGCTTCGTCTTTAGTAATGCCTTGTTATCTTTGTCATACAGCCTAAAAAGTCGCCACCGAAAAAGGCGAAAGCAAGCGTAGAAAGCTCCAGTGATGACGAACCACTGGAAAGTGCAGTTGTTAGCCGATCAGTTCGCACCGGCAGATCCAAAGCTCCTGTGAAGTATTTTGCGGAGGAAAGTGACAGTGATGAAAAAGAGAATGAAGGCTCAAAGGAATGGTCCGGATCAGGAAGTGATTTTGATGATGATGATGATTAGTTTTTGTATGCCCCAGGCAGGCTGCACATCTGTGTCTTTCAAGTGATACGACGGTGTATTGTAGTCTGACGAACCTGGTTTTGCTCAGCGTCTGCCTCCTATAAAAACGGTTTTTTTCGAAGGAGACAGATGACAATGAAATTATCTCCTGCTTGCATGACTCCCCCACAGATGCACTTTTTATTGGCATCGTATCTGTAAATGATCTACTTACTACACTGAAAATTTTTGAAACACCATATAGAGATTCCTATTAAAACCAAGGTGAGAAGTTTACCTGACAACTCATTGTACACTTTGTGTTATCAATCCACTATCCCCTCCATCCTGGGGTTTCCTCTGCTGTATCGTATCATCCACGGAGACGCAGGGGCACAAGGATACTTTTGACTCCACCGCAGTCAGCCCCGTCAAAAAATTTTGAACAATTTTCTTCGTTTGTCTCCGAGCCAAAAGCATTACGGCAAACTAATCGATCACTTCTCTTTAAAACTAGACATGCAGTACTCGACTGATAATTTTCACTCTTCACATGAGTCTGATAGTGACTTCAGCTTAGGTCTCCGAACCGCCTAGGCGGGTCACCCCACCTATCATGTAACGTGATCAAAACAAAGTAAGAAATTATATTGACAGGCGGGTTACCTCACCTACCCGGGGTCCACCTCCATGTAAACAGGCCTTAGTGCCCTCTCTACCGTAAGTGCCCCACTTAGATTTGTTTTTGTTGGTAAGCGCCGCTATTGCGTAAGCACCTTAATTCCCAAGAGAGCCCTTAACGAATCAGCGCCCCTATTATGTTTCAGTGATGGCCCTATTAGAGTTCATGTACATTGGGATCAACCGTGGCTCAACTTCCTTAATTGCTCACTTAAAACCTCATTACATAACCAGTGATCTCAACTTTTGTTACTTGTGATTTTCAAAATACCTCACTACTGTTAAGTGAGTATTCACTGTTTATTATATGGCAAGGTAGTCATGAGGTAAATCAGAGCTTTCTGATTGGTTCCTAGTTGGTCGTTATACCCTACAGACAGCTCATGCAGAGCGTTTTCAGGGAAACAGCCCTAAGAAGAGTATTTTTTACTTCTTAAACTCCAGTTCACATTTATGATTTTCAAGTATTCACAGTTACTGATTCATTACTTCACTTCTTACGGACCAACATGATTACCAGCTCCCAGTTAGCTTGTTAGCTCAGTTGGTAGAATATTGCACCGGTGTCGCAGAAGTCATGGGTTCAAATCCCGTACAGACCTGAATTTTTTTCAGGTCTTATTTTCACTACTGCTTGTAAAAGTAGTGTTCATTAAGGCGAAGATTGCTTCCATATTCATCTCTAAATCCGCCGTTTAACTATAAGATTTTTACATGTTCCTAGTCATGGTGAAGTTTTGTTCGAACGAGACGGCAAATTCAGTTTGATTCGAGTACTATACAATAAACTACTTTGTAACCTGCTTGTTCGAACCGTATCATTGCGTGTTATTGGCCCTCAGTCGTAGCAAGGTCCGCACTGCCACGACCTCAGGCCAATATTACTCAGTTCGGCCATCACGCTCAGGTAATAAGAAGTAATAAATAAGCCTCGCTTTGGAGAATGTTTGTGCTCTTTGATTTTCAGGGTTCATACTTCGCGAAGTTTGATTCCTTTTGCTGTCTAAGCGATCTAGATGAAGTCGTATGTGGATGGTTTATTCCCCCTCACGAGAGAAGGCCAATGTGTTTACCTTGTTCTGTGCATAAGCAACGTTGATCTCTTTATACTTCAAACGTAACTGTTAGGAAAGGAGTTGTCATTATCCTTCTCGATTTCCAAAGGGACATGGTAGGCTAGGCGGGGATCATTGTGTCGACCTTGTTCTGTGTAAAGGTGACCTATCTTCCATACTTTCAAACGTACCTATTAAGAAAGAGAATGGTGTTGTCCTTTTCTATTTTCAAAAGTGACATGGTACGCTTTACTATTCTTTAGATACTGTAATATGCCGTCCCGTGGGCGTGCCAGTTACAACGAGAAAGGTCTTATGCCACTAGACTAGAGGAGCAAGGCGCACTTTCCTTCTGCCTTTTCAATCCCATTCCCAGGGTCTCACTCCCTCCTGTTCCTTAACATAATAGAGTGGTTTAGCAAGAGGACGGGAACGTCATTTCAGAACGGCGCGCGCAGCAAAAATGCCGAGAAGAAACTGGGTCGAGAACGCCGTCGCGTTGTGTTGAAAAGTGACTTAGCAGTCGTTTCAACGAACCGTCCACGTTATATTTATTCTTTTGTTTCGTTCTTGAATATCCTAACCTTGGCTTTTTAGGATCATTATCAGCTTTGAATTTACGGTTTCATAGGATAGAAGGACAACAAATTATCCTCTTCGAGAGTGTAACAAGCACAAACCGAGGATAGTTTACTACAAGTGAGTAGTTAATATGAATCCACATGGGCGGTTAAACTTTGAAATTATTCCATTCCAGTCTCGAGTCTATCAGATTTTGAAGCCCACTAAATATATTTTTTTTCTATGATTTGTATCGCTGTCATTTCGTTTCGTGCTTCTAGATTTCAGCACTACTCGTTTTTCTTCATAATTTTGTAAAGTATAATTTGGAATTGAAATCGTCGCCGTTTTTTCCCTGGTTTACTGAATATTCTTCTCAATCATGACAGTACACCTCTTTTGAGCACCACCTTCTTAGAGTTGCAATGCATTTTGAACGGAGTTATCAGAAGTTATGGCGAAAACATGTAGAGATCAAGCGACCCAACGATGGAGTTGTTTACAATGAGTTCCCGTTTAACTATGAACGAATGAAATGCACTCAAACTAGTCACCAACGAAACGGTTAGACTGAGGAATCAGACTTCGTTCCTGTTTTATTTTTGTTTTTGTTTAATTTGATTTTTTTAACGAATAAAGTCGTTCAAGACTAAATCAAATTAATAGATTTAGAAAGCCGTGCCGAAATCAAGTTGATTGTTATTTTCTTTCGTGGATGACTTTCTTGTCTTAGTTTTCACCGGCGCTGATCAAAAAATAGACGTAAAAAAGTGCGAACCCGAGCTATTCTCGAATTTTTTTTATCTCTGACTTCAATTCGCAGAACAGTTTTTAATCACGGTTAAAATGACAATGACAACAAATAACACTGAATAATATAGCAGGTAACCTTCGTGTTGTTTCATTTTGATAAACTTCAACATGAAGCAAGCTTAATTTATTGATGACATGATTCACGATAAAATTAACAGCAACCATTCTTGGAGTTTTCATACATGGTTTAAGAAATGTATCAAAGAAAAGCCCTTACGTTGCTTAAAGCCACGCTCAATTACAAAAGGTAACTGAGTCCTAAAATCTTAGATCGCTTGCTGACGATCGTGTTTCCTTTCGGGAATCCAGAATAAATGTAGCGGTAAACTTTCACAAATTCACCGAATAAAATAAAGAAAGTAACCTGGTTATATTGGAAATGAGTTCTGAAATCATTCCAAACAGCATCATCTCGTTTATGAGTGCACAATGAACGCAAATACTAGGCGTTTTGATCACGACGGGAAAACCAGCGAAATGACGTCCTGAACTTGATGGGGAGAACGGCAACGCTGACACCGGAAGTCGAAATAGAGTCGTGTCCAGATCATCCACGCGCTTTCCCGTTCTGAAATGACGTTCCCGTCCTCTTGCTAAACCACTCTATTACCTTAACCCTTTAACTCCCAGATAAAATTTGTAGTTCTGCTTACTGTCAACTATACAATTCTTATGTACTGTTATTTCAGGGAATTTAGTATCGGATCAACTGATTATCCCCAAATTGATATTTTTCTTTATTCTCATCACTTATTATACTTACAATTTGTATTGATATTGTAAGGAGAAATTCTGTCTTGGTCACTCATGGGAGCCAAAGGGTTAAAGGCGAGGAAGGACAGGAGGTGGTGGTTGGGGGGAAGGGAGGAAGGGAGGAGAGAGAGACTCTTAGAACGGGGTTGTAAAGGACTCGATTGGGAGAGAAGTTGCGTGGCAGCTCAGATAGAATGATTCCTTGCATGGTGAAACATCTTTGAAATCCCTTGCCACACTCTTCACAACAAAAAAAAATCCAGGAAGTAAGTTTGACACCAAACCCTTTTTGACATCAATAACAGGAAAACCAAATTAATTTTTAAGGTACCATAATTTTAATTTACTTAATACAGAATGCCCTTTTAACAGTCAATGTTAAATGTCAATGTTGATACACCTCGACTATATCAAAAATAACCTGAGGCAAAAATAAGTAATGTTCCTCTATCGTGCAATAATAATTATTTGATGGTACAAAGGAGACTTAAACTAATAACACTGTCAAAAGAATGAACCTAATTCACATTAGAATTGTATTTACTTTGGTTCAAAGTGATAAAATAAAACTATATTCATATCTCCTGAAAGCTAATTCAATTTCTAAATTTAACAAGCTCTTTATAAATTCTAAACATAACATTTTTGCACAAAATTGAATTTAATGGGAATGGGAAATCAATCCTTATTGCTCAAGTGAATGTCAAAGAAAATGCATTTAAAAATTAGCATAGTGGCTAATTTTTACAGTTGTTTATTTGGTTTTATGATCAACTCCCAAAAGGTAAGGTAAGAAATAAAACAATCCTTGAACAATCAGAGCATGGATATCTCTACAACCACCAAAGCAATTACCTAACTTGATGTATTTAAGAGCTGAAATATCTTCGTTTAGGAAAAAGCTGCTTCAGCTGAAATTCTAATTTTGGCAATAACTACAGACATTTGAATAGTATGGTTGGGTTTACACACAAAACACTAGTTTCACCAATAACAAGGTGCATTGACTTGAAAATGTTCACTTTATACCAGGTCCCTGTTGTTCGAAGGTTAGTTAATGCTATCCACCGGATAAATCTCTAAACAGTGGATAATGCTATCTGTTTTGCTATCACTTATCTGTTGGATAGTGATTTATCCCTTAGATAGCATCATCTGACATTTAAACAACTGGGCCCAGATGCCAGTTGCTTTTAAACACTAAAATATGTTTTGCTATTACTTATCTGCTGGATAGTGATTTATCTATTGAATAGTGTTATCTGACACTTGTATAACTGAGCCCAGATGCTAGTTGCTTTTATACCCTAAAATAGCCTGCAATGTTTTTTCTTTAGATTTCTGTCACCATTTTGAGTCCACTTGTATGACCTACTCACAAAAAAGAATGAGTATGAAATCCCTGCTACTGATAAAAGGCTTTGTCCATATTTGACAGTAGCAGTTACAGGCCATACTTAGTTGAGTTAACTTTTAGTGATTATAGAAAATGGTACACAATCAAAATCTGGTATGTCTCTTGATTTTTGGTTGAAGATACAACCTCATGAAACATGAAATAACTAATTCAGATTGTTACATCCAAGTTTTCCAACAATTAGAAGACAAATTATACTGAATTGGACAGCAACATGCACCTTTTACATGCAAATCAAATTAATAGATCAATCACTGTAAATTAACTTTTGCTGAACATAACCAATTTACAAGTTAGTGAAAATTTTATCAGACCTGTATCTGTCAATAACAGTAGTACTTCCTTTCTATATATTGATTTACCTCCTAAACAAAAAGTCCCAAACCCTTTTCACTTGGTGGTATGTAATTAATTTAAAATCAAGAGAACACTCTGGTCTGAAAAACCTTATTGTGTGATATTTTGGCTGACAACAGAGGCAGTCAACTTCTTTGTTTATTGACTGAAGACTTATTAAGGTTTACATCTACTGTTTAATGTTCATCTGCATTATATCCTTTCATTATATCCATCTTTCTCAAGTTATGCAGTATAAATACCTTTTAAAATACTGCTGCATCAGATACTCTTTTTCATGGAAGGAAAACGTAACCAAAAGCATTCACCATACTAAGATAATTTTACAAACTAGCTGCAGCACAATATGGAAGAGACATATCTAAATCAGAAATAGCACAAAAAAGCTAAATAAAATGTCCATTTGAATACAATTTAACCCTTAAAATAATTATTTGAACTCCAAATCCTGCATAAAATGTACAGTTATGAAACCTCTCATAGACACAAAGCTGGAAACTCCCCAGCCATAGAGAATTTCAACATTTACTTAGTATATTACCTTTTAAAATTATTTTGACCCAATCAGACAATTGTAAATGTTTGTAACTTGTCCAAATCAGCACACAGTTCTTAAAGATCACTGTACTGCCTTGCTGATGTTGGAGTTTTGTCAGTCATAGTCCATACCATTGGACGAATTAATACGTTTTGACGGAGGAGTAAGGTGTGTAGAAAGTTCTTCTGGTAGATCATCATCCTCTAACTTGATCTTTATTAAGTACATTGCCAAAGCAAACTCATCCTCATCAAGTTTCCCATCACGATCTATATCAGCCAGAGTCCAAATTTTACCCAATATATTGTTTTGTAGCTTAGATTTTGTCATCTCCTTCTTTGCAACAGCTCCACTAATCTTTCCACCTTGAGGATTCAAACTTCTGAAGATCTTGTCATATTCATGCTTAAATTCTTCCACCACCCAATCATCTGATCCAGCCCCCAAAGCAGCACCCTGGCAGGCTCCTGATGCAAAGGGGTTGTTGGTAGAATGAGAGACAGTAAATGCCCCTCCTCTCACAGAAGCATCAGATTCACTATCACTCTCCAAGGGTATCATGGCCATCAGACGTGGAATTTCATTTGCCAGCATGCGGTCAAGGGATTCTATCAGCTTGGTTTTCAAAGGAGAAAACTTTGAGAAGTCATACTTGCGCAACTGCTCTTTCATTTTTAGTACAGGAGGGAAATCCCCTGGGGATATGTTTTGTTCCCTTTGAATCTTCATGTAGACATCAGAAAGCTTGTTCAAAAGCTGCTCCTTCTTTTTATCCTTGCCAAACACTGCTGGCATTTGGTTTTTCAGCTCTGCTATAACATATGCATGAACCTAAAAACAGAGAAACCACCCCCCCAAAAAAAAGTCAGTGCTTAAAATTGAAGAAGTTCTCCAGCCTTAAAGATTACTACATGATACCTACATTTTGGAACCATTTTTCAGTCAAATCAAAGTACAAATCACATAATTCTTTGCATATAGAAGCCATCCTCGCAGTTATGGATACTACTCAACTGGTAGTGAAAATAAGGCCTAAAAATAAATTCAGGCCCCAGTGGGATTTGAACCCATGACCTCTGCAATATTGGTGCAGTGCTCTTACCAACTGAGCTAACAGGCCAACTGGGGGCTGGTCATTATTTTGGTTCAAAATTAACCCTCCAAGTGGTGAAAACATGACTTTAAATGTATGATAATCATATATGTGTACTGCGGTTGAAGAAACAAATATAGAAGCAGTCCTCACAGTTATGAATACTACTTAACTAGTATTGAAAATAAGGCCTGTTGGCTTGTTAGCTCAGTTGGTAGGAGTGCTAGACTGGTATAGCAGAGGTCATGGGTTCAAATCCTGTATGGACCTGAATTTTTTTCAGGCCTTATTTTAACCACTAGTTAAGTAGTATTCATACCTGCATGGATCACCTCTATTTGTTTCTTCAACCACAGTGCACATATATGATTTTCATATATTGACAGTCATGTATACATCAATCTTCATTTTCTTATCCCATTAAATGAAAATTTTTAAATCATTGGTGATCCTTTCAATCTGTTGGCTCTCAGCATCAATTTGATCATGAACAACACTAGTCTTTGCTATAAATTGTATCTTTTTTCCAGCATATGAGAAAGCAACACTTAAAAAAATTATCAAATTTCAAGGCTTGTTAAGGCAATCAATAAAATTGCTGAAAAATGTGAGATAAAGAAGCCCTTGTGCAGTAGATTTTTAAAGCTTTTGTCTCCAGAAAATTAAAAACAAAAAGAAATGGATGAATTATACTTCTTACAGATTTTGCATGAAGACAACAAGATTTCTGTAATAAAATCTTTAAACAAGGTAATTCAGAGTTGTAATTGAACTGTGTTTCATGCAATTTTGACCTGAAATCACACTTATAATTTCAAATTGAACTCCCTGCGTACTTGATTTTAGACCAAATCACAATCCACTCAGTACAACTACCGTTATAAATTATATGAACTTGGTATCTCATTAGAGAATACCCTGCAAAATATTGTTTTCACAGGTCAAAATGATCAAGATTATTGTCTAAAACACTGAAATTTTGGGGGAGTAACACATTCTTTCTCTAATCATTTTCAGCATTACACGAAATGGCAAGATTTCCCTATAGCCACAGACTATTCTCAGATAAAGCCTTGGTCCCAAGGTAATCTCTTATTCTTCCCATTTCTCCTTTTATTAAAGACCTGCATTCAAAGTGAAGTATGAGTTCACATGGAAATCTTTCTCATGAATCGTTCGTTGCTCCGCACTGTTATATCTTGTTAGCGATTTATTTAAATACAGTGCATTGTACTTAGAGAGAGCTCAACTACTTAACTCCTCATTTGTAGTTTTCCAATTCTAAAATGAAAAACACTGTGCTTAAATGTAACACAGTAATCACTTTTTCCCTTCTTTTAGTTTGTCAAGCCCCAATAACTTTAACTCCTGACAACTCAAACCTTTTACAATTACCCTTAAGGAGTTGAGTTACTTGGAGTCGATTGTATGATCGAAAGTAGTAAAAATCAAAAAATTTTTGCAAACCTTAGCCAAACGGGCTCTCTTGATGAAGTCATTCAACTTCCTCAGTGCGGCATTTCTTGGAAGGGTTTGAATATCGTTGAACAGATCACTGGCTTCACACTCGAACAATTTTCGATTTTCATCAATTTGCAAAGGTTGGTCCCAGAAAGACCCGATATACACGCGTGCAACTTCAGGAGTGTTGATCACTTTCCCCAAGGACCACATGAGAGCTCCATACACCCGCATCAGCTGTTGAGTCGTGACCATATCAGCTTTGTTGAGGACAATTCGAATCTTGTCATCGTAGTCGCGAAGAACTTCAATTCCACGTTGGAATTCGTCTGAAATGTCAAGTTTGTGCGCATCGAAAAGAAGAATTATCCGATCGCATCGTTCGGCAAACCATTTCAGAATTCCAGTGAAATCGTATCCGCGAGACACACTCTGCTTTTCGCCTGACAAAATACCAGGTGTATCTACGATTGAAATACTCTCAAGGACAGGGCTTGGAAGCTCAGAGCAGCAAAACCTATTTAGAAAGGCATTACCAAAAGAATCGAGAGTGCGGAAAGGTTTCGTGGGATCCACTATCAAAGCATTTCCGGGAATGACTTGGTCTTTCTCTCCATGCATCACCGCGATGAAACTATCCGTAGTAGGTTCTGGGCCTACGCGTATTCCAGGAAAATCTCGTTCAAGAAGATAACGAATGAATGTTGTTTTGCCAGTAGAGTACTGCCCAACTAACAATACCATGGGTTTTGCCACGAAGTCAGGCTCAGTCATAGCGGGCGAGTGGAAATCATTGAAAAGGTAAGACTCTTCCAGTGGTTTCAGTTGCTTGAAATAAAGTTTCTTCAAGCCATCCACGACTGAGTTGAAAACTTGAGGGTTTCTTTGACCGTCGTTCCTTTTCATCCACGAAAACATGGCGAGGGATATTCGAAGAAAAAGATTATACTTTGTTGAATGTTATGCCACGAGGAGTATCTGTGATTTTGATTTGTTTTTCAGGTAAGTAACGTGTGAAAGAAAACGCCACCCAAACGCTCCCTTCCGCCGCGCATGCGTGTTGTCGTCTGCGAGTCTAGCCGCTTGACTAATGACGTCACGAATCTATAATCAGAAACTGACTAATACCCCATCAACACCAGCAAAACATGTTAAGTTAACCGGATTTAACAGAACGAAAATCTGAAAAAAGAGAAATGAAAAACCAAATTTTCCATAAGATTCAAATAGTCACTAACTTGTATGTTCAATGTAACACATTTGAAGTTGTCAAACACTGGTTCAAGTAGCCTCTATGAAGAAAAAAAAAGTGTTTAAGAAAACAGCCTTAGAACCTGTTAAAGGCATGGTTTGATGCTACTCTGGTTTAAAGATTTAATGAATGCAACTGAGAAATTACAATTCATAGAAAACTTATGATAAGAGGGCAAGTCAGAGAACCAAAAGTTACTACAACAAGGAAATTATATTTTAAAGAATATATGTGTATGACCTGACAACAAGGATATAAATGTTTTCTAAAACTGTCAATTTATTTTGAATGCTATGAATTGTAACTTATCAGTTACATTCATTAAATCTTTAAACCAGAGTGACATCAAACCATGTCTGATTGTCCACATGGTTGCTACATGAACTTTAGTATATTTTAACCAGGTAAAGCTTTGGTGTGAAAGGGGTATAATTCAATATTCCTACCAGACCACAAAGCACATGCTCAATCTTTTTAGAAAGGCTGTGCTAAACTATTACCCTTTAAATGCAAATCATCTTCACTTTTTGGTATTGTGTTGTCCTCCTTGAGAGTAAATAGGAACTAGTGAGAACAAGAAGAATCTTTGATCACCAAAGGATACTTCAACAGTAGAAACATACTTCATTCATTTTTTAATTTTCTTAGATAACTTCCTTTAACAAATAGGGCAGTAATCAAGAAAACAAACATAGCAATCACAATAAATTGACAGTTTTAGAAAACATTAATATCCTTGTTGTCAAGTCATATACACATATTCTTTAAAATATAATTTCCTTATTGTGGTAACTTTTGGTTCTCTGCCTTGCCCTCCTATCATAAGTTTGCAAGACTTAACCTGAAGCCTTGATAACAGGTATAAACAAGAGATGAAATTTTGCACCCTAGATCCCATCCTTTACTATTGCCCTTTAGAAAGATCTTGTGAAGAGAAGCCAACTTATGATTGGCTTAAACATAACCCACATAAAATCTGCAGCCACCTCTACACCTGCTCAGACACATAGAGGGCTCACAGTAAACAAAAATTTAAAAAGTGACAAAGCCAAGATCATGTTGAGAAAGATATTCAGAGCCCTAGCATTGTTACACAGTTTATTGCAAATTTCTCACTGTCTTAAATAATACTAAGAAGATTTATAGCAAGATAGTTTTAATTCATGCCATCATGTGGAGGGATCTTGAAGCTTAGTCACCAAATGCTATATTAATACCAAAATGTATCCTAGCACTGTATTTCTTAAAATGTTACACAACATCTTTTAGAAAGATGCAAATTTCAAAAAATCATCTCATCAATCATTTAGCAGTTGCTAAAAATTTTTTGCCTCTAATTACAATTTTCAGTTTTCTGCATCAAACGTTAAGTGGTCGTCCTGATCAGGCAATGGAATCAAGAAGATACAGTGCTTAGAACAAGTTCTAGATGGTACTTTGGATACTGAATAGACAACAATCGCTAATCCAGAACTTAAATTTGAAAAAGCTTCTTTAACAAATAAATCTTGCCACCAACTCTGAAGATCCCCCATAACTAATTCCCTTTAAAGTATTAAAATTATTTTGTGATTTAGGAAAAGTTTCTTTCGAATTGTATTTTTCTCACACTTATAAAGCATTTTAAATTGTGCTTATATTCCACTTCCTAATTAATAGAGTTTTTGAAAGAAAAACGAAAAAGTTTGTGCTATAGGTTTCTAATAATTGAAATATTGACAATAACTAGCTGATAATCAAAGCTTCAAGGAGACATGTCTCCTTGAGCTGAATGAAGAAGTTCCTTATTCCTAATAAATTTGGTAAAATCAAGGTCAAAAAATTATTTCCTTGTCTTAATACTGTGGCTAACTAACAATAAAAAAGGAGGAGGAGGAGGGGTAGGGGTAGGAGCTAGATATAAATGGAGCAAAAAAATTACTTTCGGTAAAAATTCTTCAATGCAAAAGAAAAACAAATCTGACCAAGGTGATTAAGGTTGGTGGCTAGTGAAACAATCTATTCATGGGAGACTGTGTTTTGCTTAATTCTTGTGACACATTAATAATAAAAATATCTGGCTATTGAATTTCCTCTTTGCGAAGTTCTTGTTCAAGTTGTTTGACCTCATCCAAAATATGCTGATGCTCCTCAAGAAGATCATTGTACTCTTTTATATGTTTCTCTCCAATTTTCTCAAACTCCTGTAAAGTTAATGAATAAAAAGACAAATGTGTACACAATTCATCACTACACAATGTTTCATGGTTATTGTGATTATGTAAGAGTCATTTTTTTGGTTCTTGCTAAAACAATATACATAACATTTCATTTTGTTTCAGTCTCAATTAACACAGCTGAACTTTTACAAGGGCTCTTGTTTGAAAACATAAATTGACTTAGCTATGAAATATTTTCCTGGTTACCCTTTATATTCCAGAAAATGCCCATGTTGAAACTCCCACAGCCTTACTTGTCATGGGTGTTTTTTTTTTGGCAAAAAATAATAGAAATGTTTTAACAATGGAGTTAGTAAGGTTGTGTACATTCTCTAGTTAATTAAATGCTAAGTTTTTCTCAAAAAGTAAATATTTAAGGGAGTGAACACAGATAGAGTGAATGGCATACAGTTTGTGGCCAAGTATGCAACAGTATCACCATATCTGAAGAAAACATTACTATAGGCTTTTTAGAAGGTCCAAGTGAAAATGACACCCAATCTTTGGAAAATTGGATTAAAATAAATTGACAGACTGCTTGACTCTTTTGGCTCTACTTACTCATTCTGGTCACAACTAAGTGTTTGTAACAGAGAAAATTTCACACAGTGAGAAAGATATAGCCTGTAACTTACCTCAAGATGTTTTGCAGCTTGTCGTTCACTCTCAATGTCTAAAAAAAACATAATTGTTCCAAATTGAGGAAGAATGTTCCAGGCAAGAATCAACTAATGATATGATATTTGAAGTTCACAGGTCTATCAAATGTGATGGTCTCATGATTTTCCATGAACAAAAAGTACATCACATGGCAGATGATTACACTTGGAATTCTAATTGTTATTGAGACCTAGCTGTTCATTGAACACTCAAAAGTATTAATTTAACTGTGCCTTTTGTTTGACTGTAGAGTCACCCAATCTACCTGCACCAAGTGAATAAAGGGGGTAAGTTTCTTAAGAAACTGTGGAGTTGCATCAATGGGAGGGTATAGCAGGTAATTTAGTGTTAACAACTAAGTCAAAAACGTAAATTGACCACCGTAAAGGGTAAAAAAGCTGACAATTCAAGCATCAGCCTTTCGTCAGACTTCGCTCTGACGAAGGGCTAATGCTTGAAGTGTCAGCTTTTTTACCCTTTACATTGGCCAATTTTCAATTTTCAACTCAGTTGTTAACATTAAACATTAAATTACTTACCTGTATCAAGGAATAGTATTGTACACTCCTCAGATTTTATCAGTAAAAGAGTTAAACCACAGTTTACAGTGAAATAAGATAACAAAATAATAATTTTTTTGGGCAAAAACAGAGGAACTGCAAGTAGCAGGTACACTTCAGTGAATTCAATAAAATAGTTATAAAGTAAGAAGAAAAAGAACAGAGAAACACTCTAAGTCCCCCATCCAGAGAAAAAATTCCCACATACAAAATACTGCAAAAATGCTGCAAAAACGCTGCAAAAATGCTGCAAAAATGCACTACCTTTAGTTGAATAAAACATTTTGCATGCCTACAGGTTATGTAAAAAATTTAACTATTTAACCAAGACAATAATATCAAAACATCTACCTCTTTTAGTATAATCATAAATTTCCACACCACCCTGTAGGCCTCCCTCTGTAGTAACACTTAGCCTAATTTCACTTGCCACCATTTCTTCATCAAGATTTTTGCTAGCAGCATCTTCTGTCTGATTTGAAGCTGTCTTCTCTTCTCCCTGATTATTGGTTAAGCTTTCCTGAACTCCATGAGCAGAGTAATCCACTTCAGAGTCCACGCTCTCAACTTCCAGTTTGTTTAACATGTCACTCCTTCCAACAACTAATGCTGGTGTTGCTGGTGTCTGATTGGGTGTGGTGCCTTTAAAAGGACTGGGGGAGACATATGGAGCAGGCATAGGATTGTGACCCACATTTTCTGTACTATTGCTGGACTTGTTTGTTAAAGTTACTGTGACAACACCTCTACTAGGTATACTATTCTTTGCTCCTGAGTGAGGAAGTTCAGGTATATTCATTGGATTAAAGTTTATGACTGCAGGTACTGCAGTATTACTGAGTGTAGAAGGCTGCCTCAGGACTGCCTGGGTATTCCTACTGCTATACATGTAAGGTACATGGTAAGTCTGATTTTGCTGTTTTGTAATTGTTGTTAAACTGACATCTGATCTGACATATGGAAGAGGGATCAGAATTGGACGATCATTGTTCCTTCAACAAAAGAGAGAGAAAGTATGAAATAATTGAACAGAATAGCAAAATAAAAATTCAAAATAAAAAATAAAAAAAAAACAGAAAAAATTTTGTCTGATTGGTTTCATAAGCCCTTGGATTTACTAGTTCTATGTTTATTTAATTTAGTCTGTAAAAATGATTAATGATTCAGAGCCACCTTAACCTTTGGACAATTTTGTGTGGCTCTTAGTATCAGCATGCAGTGCTTACTCTGTTATGGATAACAATTGTAAGATAAATATCTACAAATTTCAAGAATGCTTAGTCATGCTGACATGCATACCATGATGGAACTTTCTGAAACATTTTATTAGGTCAGGTAATAATGATGTAATGTTATCAAAATAGTGGTGTTGTACATGTAAGCTTCCGGAATGTTCAAGAATACTGTGTAAAGTTAATGTATATATGTATATAAAGACTCAGTTATGAAATACTAGTTAGTAGTAGTTGTTGGAAGTGAACGACTGTTTGGAAAGCTAATCAGAGAGAGCCATTGTTCATTAAGGAAATTTGGAGAAAACTGTGATATTGTGTCAGTGGTGAGCTAAGGTATAGACTGTAGTGGGCTTAAGCAGGTTTATTGAAGATAATTACTGTACTGACTTAAGGATTTGCTCCCTATTAAGAATAATACAAATTATTTAAAAGAGTAGTTGAGTCTGTAGGATTGCAGTGTTCCTTCTATTGATTAAATTATACCATAACAAATTCAAGTCCCACAATATGAAGTGAATATGGGCATTACTCTCTTCCCTGGATAAGATACAGCTTAATTGCCAGCATTTTTTCAGGTTTCCCTCTTAGTAATTAATCATATTAATATTTGGGAATGCAATGTGAGAGTTAAGTGCTAGTGTTTCACCCAAGAAAATGATGAAAATAGCCAGAGCTGGACTCTTGTCCACTCAGACCACACTCAAGCTTCCTAATCATCATGCCACCATGTCTAACCCAATATCTACTCTTAATATCACTGTATATTAATATTCTTCACAAACTACTTTAACCTAACACTCACTCTTGCTTGTTTTCTATATCAGGAGCAGAACTAGATCCCTGTAATTCCCCATTCTTTGTCTCTCCCATATCATTTGTCTCAGCTGTATCTGTTTCCACTTTATATTTCAGATTTTTAGCAGCAGGTGCTTTCTTGGAGTACCGAGAAATCTGTGGTGTCCTTTAAAAATAATTATTCCCAGGTCAGCTTTGAATGTGATATGATATTCAGACAAAATAATATCTCCTTAACTTTGCAAGGATCTCCTTTCACTAATACACAAAAAGTACTTGACTCAGACATAATAACAATAAAGAGGTCTTGTGGTAGCTAAAAAACATCACTGAACAGAAAGAATCAAAAATTTGGAAAATAACCCCCTTCCACAAGGCTGAATTCTTCAGCCAAGTTTTAATCACTTCTGGTTAGAGTTAAGACCTCATAAAAACAACAAAAGGTAAGAAATACAGAAGGGAACAAATCAAACTAACTTAGTCCATTTATCTTTTAAACCATTATACATGCAATCAATTATTAGTCAGTTAAAAGTCAGACAGTTTTCTTACCTAAGCTGCACTGGTGCAGAAGTGTTAATATACTGCACTAAACCCTTTTTGGTATCCCTTCGACTAGGATACATAAGACTGTGTAGAGACTCTATTCTTCCCTGTACAAGGTAACACAATAAACCAAAAAACTTTCAAATTGTATGCTGTAGAGCTTCAATGTTAACATTAATTTTAATTGACAGAAACATCCTTTAAGTTAGTACATGGAAATTTCAACAATTTCACTCTGCCACTTACAAGTAATATAATTCATCTTCACAAGCCACAGGAGGGGTTGTAAAGTCTTATATTTATGGAAGTGAAAAAATGTTGCTCACTTACATGACATACTCGTTGATAGACTTCCTCAAGCCCAGCAAGCTCTGCCTGAATGGTTTGGTTTTCAACATCAGATATAATTTTATTATTTTTGGAGTTAAGCTCTGCTGGAAGCACAAAGTTATCTTCAAGATCACTTTCCTGGGGCCTGTTTGGTGGATTGGAATAAACTGTTCTCCTGGAAAATATGAACCAACACCATGATAAGAAATTTCTTACTTGCTCTACATAATCACCAAGATTACTTTAAGACTAGTGATTTACCACAGAATTAAAAGATACTACAAACAATTTTATATCCTTACCAATTAAATCACCGAAGCCTTAGAAAGTACTAGCTTAGAGCAATAACCATTTTCCAACAATAACCATGGTTAATCAAGATAAATCTTCACCACCTGCTCTGATGGCTTCTTTTGTGCAGGCTACTGAACCTTCTTGTCAGAAATAATAACCCATATGGTGTTATACAATATTGTATGTTACAGTAAGTTGATGCTTTGTTATGCACAGCTAGAATTGTACTGTGTTGATGCTGATTTTGACTGACTGCACAACTTGCAAATAATTCCTAGAAACTTTTGCTGCATATTTATAGGTTTTAAAAAAAAATTCAGCACAGAATTGCTGAATAAGGTCAACATTCTATACTGTAGGGGAATGATAAACAGTAAAAAAACACAACTTATACTATGGTACTGTTGTATTAACAACTATTGTCCAGGTATTTGCAATCCACATGCTCTGATTTTAAAATCACAAATAAAGTAAACAAGTTCAACATACTTTATACATCATCCTCTCGGGACTTACCTTGTTGAATATCTCGCATCATAGACTGGGGTAGTGACAGGAGAGGGAGTTGCTGGCTCTGTTGAATGGCATGCTCTCAAAATTCTTGGCTTAGCATGCTGTCACATATCATAACAAAACAAAAAAAAGACTTACTGTTAGTACTAATGCAATATTACATTCAAAGACATGTATTTCAAAGCATACAGGCTTCACTTTTAATGATTGACTGCAAATCAGGGCATGAAATAAGCAAAATGTGCTAAAGTTCATGAAAACTCTGAATGATTTCATCAGCACTGAACATAATTGTTTCTAACCTTAATTTGTGAAGCAGAAAATCCAGTCTTCTCTGCAGCCTTGGGTAATTTGAAAGGATCTGGTCTTCTCTTCTTTTTACAAATAATGAAACAAAATCAAGAAGCAAAATTAAAAGAGTGAATTAATAGAAGAGTTTAACCTAGTATGATTTTAGCTATCCAGAGTCCAGAAGAGAAAATCACAGAATGAATCCTGTTTAGAATGCCATGCCCACATTGTTACTAAATGTACAGTTGTATATTTCTAATACCACACAAGATAGTTAAAAAAATTGTATGATCCATAAGCAGTGCCTTACATATCGTTCATCTTCTGGTCTAGCTCTGATGCTACAGAACTGACCACGCCCCATGGCCAGAGGTGGAATTGTTCGGTGTGTTCTTCTAATCCGGCCAGGTGAAACTTCATCCTAAGATAATAGAAGACAATGAGATTTTTAAATATTTTCTGTTAGTGTTACTTTCACAGTGCTGTTATACTGTAATAAAGAACACCACAATAGAAAGTACAAATGCCAAATTTTTGGTGGTAAAAAGAAAAGCTTATCAAAACAAGAGAAGCTTGTGTTAATAGTACAGTATTTAGTCCCATAATGTTGGAAAGCTGGAGTCACTTGCCAACAACAGGATGATTGATGACTAGGATCATTTCACTAGATGAAATGTTCAAATGGTTATTCTTAAGTGCAGCTGCCATACATTTCTTATAATGTTCATGATAAAAGTAAAGAATCCAATCCTACCAACATGTCAGCCAACATGGCAGCCAACATGTCGGCCAACACACTACTGACACACTACCAACACGTTGGCCAACACACTACCAACATGTTGGCCAACACACTACCAACATGTTGGCCAACACACTACTGACGCATCAGCTGACACACTATAGACGAGTTGGTAGGATCGAATGCAGAAGACCAGCTATGTAGGAAAAGAAATCTAAATCGCCACCATTTTGAGAATGAAACACTAATACCTAGGTCATCTCCTAGTTTCTTTTTTTTTCAAGGGTTGGATACCAAAGGAGTCAGCATGTTGCATGTTGGTAAGATCGACCAACGCGTTGGTAAGATTGACCATATAAGAAAAGGAACTCTACATCGTTGCCATTTTGAGGACAAAACACTACATAGTGTTGGAGGCAAGATCAACTTCGTAGGAAAAGAAATCTAACTCACCACCATTTTGAGAATGAAATACTAGTACCTAGGTCTTCTCCTGGGTTTTTTTTTTTAAGGGTACTTAACCGAGGAAGTTAGCATGTCGGCTGACACTGATCTCACCAACATGTTTACTTTTTGTTTATTAGCATGATTAGGAAGCAAAAAATCTTTATTGATCACTGACTTTGTGGTGGCTCCTAAGGAGCTGTTTTTAATTGCAGTTTTACTGCACTGGAAACTGTTTGGTAATGTCTTCAAGCAGCTGTCTTCCAAAGTTCCTGAACCAGGTGAACTCATCTAAATAGCTCAGTATGTACTCATACAAAGTACCACACATGCACCTCAACTTCTTCTTGATCAAGGCCCAAACGCCTTTGATGGTATTGGTGTGTGCACCACTGTCAGGCTCAACAAAGTTCTTGGAGTGATCATCAATAGATGGATGTATCCTAGCTGATTGAGTGGTATGTACAGAGTGAATTGATTTGAGTAGATGGTAGTTCCAGGAAGGATGTGTGATAAGATAATGCACATGTGTCTCTCTAGTTCTGTTGGGAACACGGAAGACCAGCACTTTCTGCTACCCTTGCTCCACAACCCCGAAAACACCCATGGACCTTCCGATACTCTCCCTCTCTTCTACTTACCCTTGTCACCAAACTTGGACTCATCTATCTCCATGGTCTTTCTTAAACCTCCAAGTTTAATTTCAGCATTCAGGATCTTGTTGGAACAGATTGATCTCACTACCCACTTAGTAGGTTTTGAAAGGCTGGTAAGCCATGAGATTTTGCTCCCTGAAATCTGCATAGCCCATAGGAACATAAGATGTAGTCAGGTACTTAATGGAATGTTAGATCCCTCGATCTGTACTGTCTGTGGTCAAGCTGGTCACACTTGAATGCACTGTTTAGCTATGTGCAGCTCATGTAGTGGTGACAGTTATGAATGAAATTGTCAACAGGCACCAGCTGAGGCAGAAAATAGGAAAGAGAGCTGTAGAACAGCCAAAGTCTCCAGAAACTGAGCCAAACTATAAAGCCATTTGTAGGCAGCTGACACAAAAAAACCAGCAACTCGGCAAAGCCTACAAAACTATCAAGGCCCAGTATGATGAATTAAAAGAGAGCTGCCAAGACAAGGATGAGCAGCTAAATTAGGCCCAGCAAGATGCTGACGAGATGGCAGTAAAGTGAGGAGCGTGTTGCTGCCTACAAAGAGGAGATTAAGGAAAAGGATAAGCAGATTAATGCCCTCGAACGGCAGCTCCGAGCATTGCAGAATCCTGAGGTACCATAAACTGCAAACCAAGAGGCTTCTCGAAGGTGCACCAAAACAACCCAGCTGAAATTCATTGATGCTACGCAGTTGTGCTGTCCACCCTCTCCAGGAGAAGAAGTGCAGCCTAAATAATGCCTATAGACTGGCAGGAACAGCATGTAACACTATTAGGGACTTCCTGGGTATCGCGGAGCTGAGAATTGTCAATCAGGTGACATTTCAAAGCACCTTGGAGAGGCTAGGGAACCCCTAGCTAGCCAAAAAAACCATCAAGCAGGAATGTTGGAAGCAGCTGGGTGGACTCCTTCCAGTTGTTAAAAGACTTCACCTCACAAAGAAGCTGTTGCTGCTGGCACTGGATGATGCCTTCTATTCATAGAGGGTTTTGTCACTGAAAAAACCAGCTCCTTTAGCTCCTGGGTTCCAATAACATGACAAACAAGATGGTGGCCAAAAGGACATAATTCATTTTCATATCGCGAGTGAAAGTTTTCCAAAGAAGATGTTACAGATAAGTGTGGAAAAGGAAGGTTTAGCATTGCTTTGCATAAATAAGGCCCAAACAAAGTCAGTGACACACCAGTGACACACCAGTGACACACCACCAACACATCTTATATATTGGAAGGATAAATGGTAGCCAGCATGTCAGCTGACAGTCGGTCAACATTGAGCTGATTCGTCGGTAGGAACAGATTCTTTACCTCTACCTTTACCTATTACATAACACCTCTCAAAGGAGATATGTATGTTTTCATTTTTGCCATTGTCTGCTTGATGGTGCAAATATATTGAAGGGAGAAAATACTTATTGGTCAGTCCTGGAACTAAATGAGTTCACCGCAGATTATTTGAAAACCTACCAAGCTGACATAGTGCTTCACAGCTGATGTTGACTGTTGGTAGGGAACTACAGCTTGCACCAGACCCTTTGGTGGAAAACCATTTGCAAAGTGTACTTGTCTTGTAACACTACTTGTGTTGCTGTTCCTCATCATTATTCTTGAGTCACAAACATTAAAGCTTCCTGTAGGTTTGTCGTCATAGTTTAAAGATTATGCTGTGTGAGTTTTTTCCCAACCTTAAAGAGAACTATGGCAAAGATTAAGCAGTGTAGATGAACTATAAAACTTTGTAACATCATCATAATGACCAGGTACATCTTAAAGGTTAAAGGTTAAAAAAAAGAGGAAAACAGACAAAGTGATTGGACAAAGCCATTGTAAATTCAATATGTACCTGTATCTATGGTTAAAACTCAGCCTACCAATTACCTCTTACTAACCTAGTTCAAGGTCTGTTCTGTATGTTACTGACTAGTTTTTTTTCACTCAAATTATGGCCCAAGCACCAAGCACTCAAGCCATAAATCTGTGCAGATAAAACTATGTTCCACAACTTACTGTACAAACTGAGAAAAGGATAGTAAGATATTTTTAATATCTCTGAGTTTAGACAAAGTGGGAAATTTTCAATTCAAACAAACTTTGAATTTACTAAGCCATAGAGTACAATACTGCCTTCTAAATTGATGAACCATAGCAGATGTACTAACAGAGAGATACAACAATAACCATTATACATTGTAATCCATCAAATATTTTTGCTTGTGTGACATTGGTCTAGATGCATCACATTTGATTGACTGTACCCCTGCTCAAACTAAGGAATATTGGTTATACCCTTGGTGATATTCACCAATTTTCAAACCTTGTAACAACTATGATAATTTATTTTAAGATGAGAGAGCATTTACCTATTGATGCAAAAGAAGGGACATGTCTGTTTGTTCATAGGGTTCTACCAGAGAATGCAAAAGCAAACATCTCACATGTAGCAAACAGTTCATAAACATTTTACCAGTGTGTTGCAAAAATACTGGAGGATACTAAAAACAACAGCTTCCATTTGGTGCAAAAATATGCTTATATATTTGTTCTTAGACATTATGTTCCTCAAAGCTCACAGTTTTCCTTGAGCTTTGCTTTCAGAAAACTGTTTGCACTTTGAAACACATCATGTCCGTGGACAAATAAACTAGCACATTTTTGTGTCAAATGAAGGCTCCTGTTTAATTATTTATTTACTTTTCATTGTGTTAAACTCCATGTATGATTACAGTTATGTAGAAACTCAAAAGAAATAATGAGTGAGAAGTCATGGATGGGGAATAAAAGATCAAGAATACAGAGCCGCAAACTGAAATGTCAAGTTAAATGAGAAGTCAATATTCAGACAAGGCTGAGATGGGTAACAGGAATGCAATACATCTGTGTTCAATTGAGTTTGACTATCAAATAAAACCAAACAACTCTTCTTTTCAAATTGAGCCAGAGCAAACCAATAAGCAAACTAAAAACAAAACCCAGAAAATAAGTTTGTTTGATATCTGCCATTATTTTGCAGAAAAAAATTAAAATTCACCACAAAAGCAACTTTCTCCCAATCCTAAGAGAACATATTTACATTGAGGCTGAGCTTTTAACAAGCTGTAACTTTGGCCTGGAAGTTAAATCCTTTGTCACTGATAGTTTTATTGTCGCCTTTATGTGTTCATTCGGACGAAAGACCAATGTTTTAAATGTCAGCTTAAGTAACTCTTTACAATGGCCAATTCACTATCATTTATCAATTCAGTTGATAAAACTAAACTATCTCTCCCCCCCTCCCACCGACGCAGCATCACAGTTTCTGTAGAAACTTATCTCTTTCCATTTGCCATCATTAATAGCCAAGTTAGTTCGATAGTCACACAGAATAGAGCCCAAAAGGAGTAACAATCCAGAATTGCGCTTAATAACTGAATGTCTGATTTGGGTAAAATTGTGTATTGTTTACTGAACTCCTACTTAAAACAATACGTACGAGGTTCCAACCTATGTTTTTAGCACTAATTTTGCGTTCAAACCACATAAAATCAAAGCTAGCTGACTGAAGCTGACTATGTATATGCGTATATACACGGTGGGTGAGCAGTACAGCACATATAATTGCTTGAAAAGACTTACATACCATCTGTCATTGTTCTTGTCACCAAATAAACACTTGGAAACGGCCCGCGGAGATCATGTCAACAAACACATTTTTTACTGTGGCCGTCCTCTCAGAAATCAACATTGCTCTCTCTTGACTTATACCTTTCCTTTCTTACTAATAAAACTGTGTTTTTTTGTCTATGCGTCCTCTAGTTCGAGGAGATCGATAAGTTTAATGAGTTCAAAAGATTAAGTCCTTGACTTCGCGATCTTCGATGTGGAGCAATGCAAATAAATTTCCACGTGACGTCAAAATTGCTGAAAATCTTGTGCCAGCGGTAACAAAATATGCGGTAGTGCTCAGAACTTCTTACTTTCTCGTTTAAAATTATCACGAAATTTTCGTGAACGTGCTTTCATCGTCTGCATGGCGGGAGTCTCGATCCGCAAAGTTTGGTGATGGAAATATTGCGGAAGAGCTTTCACGAATCGCTCTCTGTTGTCTCAGAAGCAATTGATTCCGCGTCGTTCCTTGCGATTGACGCCGAATTTTCGGGACTAAATGTGAAGTGGGGAGTTCAAAATTCATTTGATACTCCGCAGGAGCGTTACTTAAAACTGAAGGAAGGATCTAAAGACTTTATCATAATTCAGTTCGGTTTATGTACCTTTGCTTGGGACAACAAGCTAGAGCTGTTTATTGCAAAGCCTTTTAATTTTTACATATTTCCCAAGGTGTGGAATCGACAGTGCCCTGATGTCCGTTTTCTGTGTCAAAGTTCTAGTATCGATTTTCTTACAGAACACAACTTCGACTTCAATAAACTTTTTTATGAAGGAATCTCCTATTTACGGCCTCATGACGAGCAGAAATTGAGAGACCATTTCATATCAAGAAACACACAAGATTCGTTTACATCGACGTCTCTTACTTCCCCCGACTCCACTTCTGAAGCTAACAGGGGATCCTCGCAGAAGGCGCTAAAGATAGTCCCCCCGGAACACCGTGACTTTGTGGAGAGAGCATGCGAAAGTATACAAGAAATGCTTAAAGATCCAGAGGGGAAGATCACTCAGGTTCCACCATGCAACGGTTACTTAAGGAAGCTGATCTACCAAACTGCCAAACAGAGGTTTAAGGCAGGTATTCACATGGAGGCTGCAATGAACGAAAATAAAGAACGTTTTATTGTAATAACTAAAGTCAATGAAGACGAAAAAAAGAAACTTGAAGATGAGAAACAGGCCAAAGAAGACGAACTGATTGAAAATGCTGTGGGATTTTCACAAGTTGTGAAAATGATATCACAGTCTGGCAAAGTGATGGTTGGCCACAATATGTTTCTTGATTTGATTCACACAATTGATCAGTTTTTGTGCCCACTTCCAGAATACCTTGAAGATTTTAAAGAAACCATAAGTGCAGTATTCCCGAAGCTTGTTGACACGAAAGTCATGGCTAACACGCAACCTTTCAGAGATCTCATTCCATCATCAGTACTGGCAGATCTTGCAAAGCATGTCTCAAACAAGCCATTCCAAAAGGCTGCAGTAAAATTTGATGAAAAGTTTTCTCACTATGGTGAAAGTGATGAGAAACCTCATGAAGCTGCCTATGATGCTTACATCACAGGGCTTTCATTTATTTCTATGGCCAACTATCTTGGTTCTTTTCAAGAACCTCCAAGGGTCAATGTCTCACCAGATTCCTCCTTAGTTGCTCCATTTTTAAACAAAATTTTTGTGATGAGAATGGAGGATATTCCTTATCTCAACTTGGCTGGCCCTGACTTGAGTCCATCCCGTGATCATGTGTTTTATTTGACATTTCCAAGTGAATGGAAACAAGGAGACATTCTTGATTTGTTCAATGACTTTGGATTTGTCTATATCTCATGGATCAATAGCACCTCTGCCTTTGTCTCACTTGCAAGAAGGGAAAATGCTCACCAAGTTCTTGATAAACTGGATTTTGAAGGGGAGAGTTATACAATAGTTTCTTATGCTGAGCATACAAAGCATCTTGAGGCTATGTACGGGGAAAGCATCGAATACAAGAGAGAAACTCCTCTAAAGAGACGTAGACAAATGGAAATGAGTGCATACAAAACTTCATCACCCCTGGAAGTACAGGCAAATAAAAGCAAGGAAAGCCCAAGCAGTGAACTAGAAGATGGAGAGATAGTGGATGATGAAGAATCTCCAGAACCTGCTAAAAAGAAAATGAAGAAGGATGACAGGGTATTTGAAGAACCAGAGGAGTGGTAATGCCACAATGGAACAGTTCCAGATAATTACACATTGACTGTAACAGTTAGCTTAGCAAGCTACACGTAGTCACTTTGTAACTTCAGTATTCTTTTTGCAGCACCCTTAAATGTGTTTCATTGCAGTATTTTAAGTTTTGGTGACAGAAATGTAAAAAGTAGCAGGCATAATAATTAATTTCCAAATAAACTTTCTAAATAGTGAGTTCTATTCAGTATCGCTTCAGCACATTTTATTTAATTGACATCCTTTTTTTTCAGTAGAAAATTAATCTTCCTGAAGATGATGATTGTTAAATATGGTTCACTTAAAATGCACATGTGAACTAAGGGAAAATGATTTGTTGTGAAGGAGTACAATTAAAACAAAAGTTGAAAATCAAGTAAGGTTATTCTTGTCAACTCAATTAAAGGAAAAATGATACCCATACTTAAAGTGTAATTGTTTTCATGACAAAACACTTGAATCTAGTTCTTAACAGCCTTTACTTAAAGTTAAATGGCTCTCAGACTAGCAGTTCAACATTCAATAAATATTAAGCAACAATTGTTACTAGCCAGTCAAAATGATTTTAACTGAGAATGTTAACAATCAATCAAAATAAAGTACAAAATTGGTGCAAACAGGTTCTTGAGCTTCAGATATGAGGCAGAAAAAGTGAAAAAAAAGAAAAAAAATCCCTAACAGGTGAGAACACAATTTTCCTCTAGTAATTTAACAACAAATTTAATGTGCCATTGATTTTGAAACTGAGAAAATGACACAGGAGTTTAAGTTCACATTTCAAGAAATGAACATCTTAACAAACAATACCTCTGCAGTTTTGGAGCACACTAGCGAAACAGGGCATATTCCTATTTGGAGCAAGGTTAAGTTTATTAATCATGACCCCCACTAGTACACATGTAAGGTCAAAGAGGCCATCCATGTAAGACTTTATCCCAATGACATCAATAGGGATAGCAGAATTGACAGTCCTGAAGCTTGGATACCCATGATCAAACAACTCGGCTGATTTATGAGGAACTATGGGGGAACACCATCTAACAACTGGAATAATAACAAGGATTGGAATGCACCAATAGCAGCATACCAACATGCTAGAAATAGCAAAACATAAACAATCGACCTCATTGCCTGATGAAGACTAGCAGTATTGCAGTCAAAACATCACAATCTATATCAAAAGCGACCCTCAAGAGACAAACAAACAAAGTTCATCTCCCATCTTACACAACGATGAACAATAAGCACATATTTTATAACAGAAATTTTAAGGACTAAATTTAACTGGTTGTGAAGCCAAAGAGGAATTACTGGTAAATGAAAAGCTTTTCTTGAACCTCACCCTGATGTAACTCTGCAGTGCGAGAATATCATTAAATTTCCTTGATTTTATTCTGCTGAAAAAACTACAACTTCAACAAATGTTCCATTGGTCGACACAAAACAATTCTGTTGTTTTAGCAATTGTTCACTCATAGATAATTTTTGCTCAAAGATATTACTTTACAGTCACACTTAAGTGCAGATGACAAAGATGACTGAGTAAATTATAAAAAACTAAAAGTCTAAGGCACTTCTTTTTTGAAGTAGAATTACAGCAGCAGTTATGGAACATCATCCAAGGGATGCGAATACATTATGCGTTTTCTCCCACTCGTAGCTTCATCTTCACTTTCTGCACCCTCTTCCAGCTCACTTGAACCAACAATGTTTTCTGAAGCTATCACAGATAGAACATTGCAGCCGAGGACTGGTGGAAATTTTTCTAGAAATTTTTTTGAGATTTGAGAACTGAATCTCTTTGTGGCAGCTTGAACACTGAAAGTGAATAGGTCAAAGACAATATTAAGTATTGGCAACAATTGGTGCCCTAAATTACAAAGTTATATAAGCAAATATGAATTTTTTTAAATCTAAAAAACTTGTTCACCACAGGTACACAGCAGAATAGTTAAAGTAAGTAGAATTTATCCTGTATCATGACACATGTCTGTGGAACTATTTTCCTTTAAATTAATTAAATTAATTTATTTTTCCCTTTACTTTTTAATTTCGCATCTGTACAATGATCTCTATTTGTTTTAAAGTATGCAAATTTCCCCAAAGAGTATATGGACTTGAGTATCAAATTTAAAGAGAATCGTTCAATGGAGATTCAGTCCTAACATACACCACTTGGTTCTTTAGTAGGCCAGTTGCTGTAAATGTAATAATTATTGTCTCCTCGGTTGCACCTTGAATTGACAACTGACAAAGCTAGCAAAGCCCAAAGTTCAACCAGAACATTTCAAACACCACAGCCACCTAATTAACTTATGCAAACCTACTGTACTGAGTGGAAAATTGATTATAACTTTTGCTACCCTACCCTGCATACAATTGATGAATAGATTCAATGTTGCCATGCATCTCCCTAGTAGAAGATCACAGATGACATCAAAATGTAGTAAGAACATTTGCACATGAGGTGCAACTGAATTTGTACTGATGTTCTTACCACATTTTGATGTCAACTGTGATATTTTACTGTACAGACCCATGGCAAAATGGAATCCATTTGTTTTAAAAAAATACAGAAGCAAAGAATTCTCAATGATGCTGTCATTTATGCATCTGTTCTCCAATAGATCCTAAGTAATGACCAATCAAAATGTGTGTGTAATTTACCTTATTATATAAATATATGTTATTTGCCGGCTGGGAGGTCCGTATGGTGAAAAACTGTGACCGAGGTCTTGAAAATACTGCCCGAGGCCGTAGGCCGAGGGCAGCATTTTCAAGACCGAGGTCACAGTTTTTCACCATACGGACCGACCCTTAGCCGGTAAATAACATATTTATTGTTTTTAAACTTGACGAAATTCTTTCCGAAAGAACCCGAATGATTTATGGCCGTAAATACGGCAAGATCTTCCATAAGCTGAAAAATTTTTGAGTGAGTAAATAGTAGTTAAAATAGAGGTGATGCAAATTTAAGAGAGATGCCTCAGCGAAACATTTTCATTTCTGTAACGATAAAGGTGATTTAAAAGGCTTCCAAACAAACTTTGAAATATTATTTTTACAAGTATCTGTCACAATCTGACACCTGTCAATTAGAGAGCGCGCAAGAAAAAAAAAAAGCGTTGGAACATTTGAAAACCAACAGAACTAGTTTGGCAAGGCTGTCACGACAATATTTTCTTCAAAATCAGTCCATGATCTAACGGAAAGTATTATTCACTCTCATCGACCATTCATTCATGTACGAAGATTTACCTCTGTTCATTAAGTAAACGGCGAGGAAAGTAATTGTGAGTAAATTCAATTTTTTTATTTTGAAGTTGTGAGAGTTTGCTCGTTTGTTTGCTGTAATGGCGTGTTTAACTCTGATCTTTCCTTCACAAAAACTAAATTCGAACGGCACACTCCGACGAGACCCAAGGGAATATATTGCGACCTTTTCTCAAAAAATTCCTTCAATTTCTGTTGTGCAATTTAAGGTACAAATGTCCAAATTGAACGGAATTGGAAAGACTCACCAGGAGCGTATATTTGTTGTAGAACTTAAATTAAAACTTCGCTCGCTCTTTCACTATGAACAAATTGCTCGAGAAAATTCAGATATTGAATGAATGAAAGTTCCATCGTTCAGTTTAACTGTAACCAAATACCTCACATTTCAACTTTCTGGGTACTTTTTGTGAACGATTAAAATTAATTGCAGACGGTTTTTAGGCCGCTTGTCAACCAACGTAATGACACTATTGTTTATACAAATTCATTCTGAAACCAATATTTTTCTGTCAACCAAAGTGATTTGATAGAGAGAAAAAAAAAGGATTCATAAGTTATTAATCGGCTTGAGGTAGTGACCGACGTGTTTGCTTAAAAATACTGCCCAGCCGGAAAACAAGGTATATTTATGAAAAATGACAACGAAAGTTGGGATGTACTCGGCGACTCACGAAAGCGTTACCGTGGCCCGTGGGCAGAGATAGGAAAATACTGACCGGTTAAAGAACCAATCAGATTGCAAGATTCGTTACCGTGCCCTCTAAAAAAACAATAAAAAAGGATATTTATGTTCCCCTACAGAGAACATACTTTGATAGATGACCTTTACTTATACACGATAATATTTTAAGCCACACGCTTGTGGGTAGTGAGAAGAAAAAAGGAAAATTAAATGTTATGTACATAAAACTTGTATTTGAACATAAAAAATTATATACAATTTCTAAGTAAAAACAAAATTGGTATGTATAAGGCAAGCAGTAGAAGCAGAAAGTATGTCAAATTTGAATTCCTTAACCCTTAAACTCCAACGGTCTCATTACTAATTCTCCTTACAGTCTGCCGTAAAGTTCTTGTGATGTTAGTTTAGAGAATTTGGTATTGGATCAACTTATAATCCCCTAATTGATATTTTTCTTTATTCTAATCACTTTTCTGCCTGATAATGTACTGATACTGTAAGGGGAAATTCTGTCTTGGTCACTCTTGGGAGTTAAAAGGTTAGAGTAGTCACTAGTGACTACTTTCAGATTATTGAGACGCGAGCGTCCAACGTCTTGTTCATAGTAGTAAACAGTGTTCCATAACACATTGAAAGCTTCTATTGCAGCTCTCTTATATTGCTTACTTTGTAACACTGTTAAAATAGACCACGCGAAGTGGAATGGAAATCTTCTTTGAGGACTCGGAGAACCCAAAATTTCCTCTTTGAAAAACGGACAATGACAGACGAATGAAATTCGAATGAATCACCGGCTTATACTCACAGACTAGTTTTGGTAGCTTGCAGCAAAGAGTCACCACAGCATATCGTCCTCATGCATTTAGTCGACTGAACTCCATGATTCTTTGATTGTACCTGTTAAATCATGAGAAAATTAGCTGAATGCTCCTTTTATTACAAAAGCAAAAAGATCAGATGATTTACCGATAGTAAACTCGTGCACCTCCGTAGAGAAGATATCGACAGTCGACAGCGAGAAACAGACGCCATTTTGAAAATTTTGACGCATGTTTAGAGGAGTCAAATCTCTGAGACTCAACCAGCTACAGTGCAGGCTCACGGAAAAAATCATGGCGGTGATTATTAAAGCGAGAATCACAGCATTAATCATTGTAGAAATAATTTCATTTTTTCCTTTGCATTCAGCCAAGTCTCCAGTAATACCTCCAGTAAAGAATATTACAAGTGATAACTGGCACCACATTCTAGAAGGGGAATGGATGGTTAAATTGTAAGTAAAGAAGATCGGAGTGATAAATTATTTGTTATGGTCTGATGTTGGGTGTTGTTAATTATGCTGTCTGCAGCTTTCTGACGCTCTGTGTCCTTCCCAGTCATCAGACAACCTTGACACGGCCGATCATTAAGGTGCTTTTCTTTGCAAAGTTAACGTAAAATTAATTTTTACGCTTCACAGGCACTAAGGCAGGCTTCAAATTATACCAGGACCGGATCAACGTTAGCTGGATCGTTGACATTCATCGTATTTTTAAGAATATTGTTTTAATCACTTACCCAGGAACGTTACATTTGCCATTCTAGATTAATGGTTTTTACAAATAATAAATCCGAATTTATTTAGTTCAAGCTTTGTATGTGATCTTAATCTCTGAGTTTCAAAATCAGACCAGATTTCATCACGTTTTTCCTAACAAAGTATCAACGCATACATTACAAGTGCTCAAGCTCAAATACACCTTTTTACCTCCTGTGGAGAGAATAACTATCAAACACTCCTCCTGGAATGTTCAGTTATGTCAACTGGTATGCACCATGCACTACCAAATCATGCAAAGTCCAAAAACGTATGAATCAAAGTTTACTTGCTTCAGATAAGCTTATTGATCAGGATAATATAATCTGGATTAATTTTTTGGAGCTTTCTCTTCTTTTCGTCATTTTTTTTTCCATGAGTTATTAAACAAACAAAATTTTTCGTCCCAGTCATATTGTTGTAAGAAAGCAGACCAACGTAAATGACTTACCTAACAATGTTTTTTGAGATTGAAAGTCATCTAAGGCCTGCCAGGACCACAACACTTTGCTTTACTATTTGCAAATGTTGCAATTCATGCACTTTATTTGCACTGTAAACTGAATCGAAATCTCTCGCCCAAAAATTTTCTTATAGACAGTATGTGTTTCTTTTTGTTTATTTTTTTGGTGTTCCTTTACAATAGTTTTGCCCCGTGGTGTCCTGCCTGTCAGCAAGTAGGTCCTGTGTGGTCCAAATTAGCTTTGAAAGCTGATGAACTTGGGATAAATGTTGGAGAAGTGGATACAACCATAGAACCTGGTAAGGTTACTGTATGCTCTTCTGTTTTTTTCACCTTCTATCAAAATAAAGTAGACTACTCTCAACAATTTTTAGCAGCTGTTTTTAAAACAAATGAAATAGTCAACCTCTAGTGCTTTGCATCAGCTGCTCCATGTTTTGAAATGCACTCAGGAAATCTGGAGAACTCCTAAGAAGCTGATTGCTCCTAATAGTGCTAAGCAACATTGTTTTAAAGTGATTGTGTAAGTTCTAACAGGTATATTGTGTCATTTATGAGACCAACAAAGTGAAGGCCAATATTTTTGCTAAGTTTCTATTGCATTGTTTTAAAGCCACAATTTACTGCAGTGGAAATCTTAAAAATGCAAATCATTAAACTTCTCTTTTAGCACTTAGTGGAAGATTCATGGTTTTATCATTACCAACTATTTACCAGTAAGTATGAAAACTGCATTTAATACACTGAGTCTGATAGATTAAATTTTTAAAAGACTAATTGTTTACTTCTTGTCTTGTAAGGGTTAATGCTGATTAATATTTATCTCTTGTAATCACTCCTCTTTTGATGCCAAGTGTGGACTACCAGTGGCCTGTTTTCTCTTGATCTGAAGCATGAGTTCTAATTGAGACAAGATTGTGACCAAAATGGATGTGTTGTGCCTAAGAAGAAAAAAGGGCTGATCCCTTTTCTCTGAATATAAAGGAAGTCTGCCGTAAGATGTCTGCATTGGATATATGAATAAAAGGGTGTGTGTTTCTGAATAAACTGTGAGGCTGCATTAGTGGGGGAGTATAACAAGATGATTTTGGTTTTATCAAGTGCATTAGTAATGTAAATCAGCCACTGTAAAGAGTTTTAAGGCTGACATTTCAAGCATTAGCCTCTCATCAAAGTGAATGGAGGAATTATGAGTAGTGTGTGTGTTTATATGCAGAGGATGGATTCTGTTTTTGATGAGATTATGGTGACAAGAAACAAAAATAAATTAGGTGAATGAAAAGAGCTTGTTGATGCCGTGGGGTCTAAAAGTGTGGATTTGAAAGATAAATTTTTGTTATAGGGTTTTGCAGCTTTCCAAACTGCCTAGATGTAAAGAAAGGCTGCAGACTGCCATGTGCTGTCTAGAATGAGTAGGGAGATTTAAGTGTCTAGCAACTGGTTAGGACACATCCTTGTCATTCCTTTCTACCCTTTGAAGATGTTCTTGGATTCAATTACCAAGTTGTCTTCCTCTTTCACCAGTGTGTATACCTTTTGGCAATAAGTTCAAGTTATGCAATTGGTGATATTGGTGGAGGTGCACTTGAAGTGATCAGTGATCTGGATGGATCTTTCAGGTCTTGACATTTTCTCTACATTATTAATGAAAGGACAAGCGTTGCATAGAGCACAAGCATATTTGAAAGTTCTCGATTAGTCAATAGTTTAATGCACTTCTGACCAAAAAGTTGCCTATGTTTTTGTTGCGTCTGAATGAAATTAGTGGAGGTTGCAAAAAGATAGTACCAGTCTCTTAGTTATTTTGTAGTGATATAAGGTTTTTAAGAATGATGGGAGGTAACTGGGTGGCTGTGAGGATTAAATGTTAAAGTGAATAGAATGCCATTAGTATTTTCCTTCTGTGATGTTGGTAGTGCTGACTGTTAATGAATTTGTTGGGTGTGGTGGTGGCCCACTTGAACAGAACATCTGATGAAGGGCTAACAGTTGAAATGTCAGTTTTGAAACTATTTACAGTGGCCAATTTACATTACTGTAATCAACTCAGTTGACTGAACCAAAAATCATCTTACATCAGATATAGTTACAGTAGCATAAATCTAAATTATTGTCATTGATCTCCAGTGTGAAGAATGGTGAGTTTCGCTTGTTCAAAGGATCAAGGTCATTGAAGGGATTTATGGCTTTTATAAAGGATCAGAAATGGAGGGACATTGAACCTTTACCTTGGTGGAAATCTCCAGGTTCATATCTGTATGTACATCTGAATTTGTTAATAATATTTAATCTCCTGGGCCAGGGTTATTCAAAGCTGGATTAAGATAACCCAGGTTTAGTGTGAAATCTGATTTAAAATCTGAAAGCTTTAAAGGAAATTTCACTGTAATTTTTTTGTGTACAATTTGATGATTGGATGCTCTAAAAAGAACAGAGAAAAATTATCCAAAGGGGAATTTGAACAAAGGAATAAAGAAACTTAGTTTAAAATTTTATCCTGGGTTAGTGCTAATTGGCCTTCAAACAACTGGGCCCTGATGGAGCAGTTTCCTGATTATTTGTGTGAACAAATCTGGATTCTTATTATTTGTGTTGATTTTGCATTATGGGTGGATGTCCTTTTTACTTCATCGGAGCTCATTGCTAGGTTACTAGGTAATCTGCCATGCAAGTAGAGTCGCACAGCACCAGGATTTGCCACTCAATTATGTAGTGTCCAGAGGTGGCTCCCAGGTGTCTAACAAACTGAACATTTAATTTACTAGAAGTAGTGTTCAGACTAGCCTTGTAAATGACTTAATTATCCAGTTCATTTGTGAGCAAACCAGCAATTATCAATTCAAAAAATGAATATTCTTTCCTCAGGATGGGATTTCTTGGACTGATGTTTAAGTTGTCTGTGCTACTGCAGGTATCTGTATGACCAAATTAAAGAACATCATGTTTTTTACCAAATGTATTTATGAGGCAAGTGTATTGTGTGGCTCACTAACTGTGTGAATCTCCCAGGAGACATACAAGGGATTTTATTTAGGAGGGGGAAAAGGGTTCATTTTTAAGAGTGAGACCATTGCCTTTATGGCTGTGATACTAATTTTTCAAATGATTGCTGGTCGAATTGAGTAACTAAATTTAATTTTTTCAAACTCAAATTCCATTCAAATGTACAACATGCATGTAGTCATAGTATTAGGAGATGTTATTTACAGCAACCAATTAAACCACAAGCAAGAATTGTACTTTCCTTACAGAACCTACATGAGCTTCTGACAGTGACATATGGTGTGCCAGTGTGGGGCTCATACACTATATTTGGTGTGGTGGTTGTAGCCACAGGACTTCTTCTTGGAATGGTGGGTGATAATTTCTACAAAAATAGTCCTAGTTCAAGCTTAATACAGGCTGACCACTTAATACAGGCTAATGGCTTTATACAGGTTGACCAGCAGATGGCTTGCATGATGTTCTTGCATAAAATCTGTGCTAGTTGTCCAAAGGAGAAAGATATCTGAAATGTGTGAGGAAATTTGAACTTAAACTACCATCATTGATTTTGGGAGACTACAGATAAACATGGAATCCATTTTATGAAACAGATTATCCTTAGTTTTATTTGAGTGGTTCTGTTTAAGTGGAAATCCAACACAGGTGGAAGACAACAAACACAGGTCATTGTGACTCAGTCAAAGGTGATCATGGCTGTTAAATAGAGGTGAAAATTACAGTAATGAAGAGGAAAAAATTTCAAGACTTTGACAGCTGACTGCTTAATACAAGTTCAACTGTGTTTTGGTACTGAATAGTGTAATATAATTATGCAACAAACATCTATAAGTAATAATTCTAAGAGTGGAAAGGTATCGTAAGATTTCCATTGTGAGATCTTTTTTCTGATACCAGGCATAAACTTACCACTGAAAGTTTCATCTGGCAAACCAAGAGACTGAGGAAGCATTTGTCTTCTTTCTGTTGTGAACAGGGTATAGTATTTTTGTCAGATTGTATTTTGGGAGCTCCCTCTTATCCAGTCCCAGTACAACCAATGAGGAAAGTGATCAAAGAAGAGCCAGAGGAAGAGGATGATGGTGATGGAGGAGATGGAAAGGAAGTAATAAAGGAAAATGAAGGAAATAAAACAGACCAAACTGAAGTGAGGAAGAGAGTATGTATTGAGTGTTGTTTTCTTCCTGAAATCTTATTGATCACACTTGCACCACATTAATTCTTGATAAGTTTTCTTAATTTGATTGTTTATCTTTAATTCTATCACTCTCTTAAGTAAGCAAATGATTTCATTAATTTTTAGAATCATATTCTTTTTTCCTATTTCAGGTGGCTGCCTCAACTGAGCAATAGTGTATACTGGTTTCAGTTTACACATATAACAATGCACACTTAGTAGAGAGTTTTCTAGTTCATTTGTTTTCTCATTCCATTTTAGAGATTTTCCTTTGTTTGTCTCTCTAAACAAAATATTATTCATGTATTCTCTAGTCAGAGTAATATTGCTGGTAGGGCAAATGCTTAGTTAAAGTACTATGTGTATTAGTGAGAGCAGCTGAAGGGTGTATCAGAAAATCACAGATTGTGTTCTGCACCGCTGATATTCTACTTTTCTCTTAATTGTGAGCCTAGAGATTGATCAAAGTTAATGGGTATCATTCATTAAATCACCCCTACTGCTTTGAAAATGGGAGTCCTAGAAACACATATATGAAATTGTACCTGCTGTTGTAAACCTGAGTATATAGAAACATGTTATAGACATGAAGATGGTTGCATCCACAATTGTGGTTGATTAATGATGATTATGAACCATTTGTGTGAAATGTTTTAAGTACATTTATGTTCATTGAAAGATGTCAGATCACAGATGATTTAAGTACCAAATTTTGACAAAAAAAATCATGCATAACAAAATGATCCAGAAAATCTAATGGTCTGAAATTTCTGTTTTGGCGAACTCACTTTTATATTCAAAGGCACATTTTCTATTTTCTTAGTGTTCAATTGTAGTTATTTTTGTATGTAGTGGAGGAAATGCAAATAGATAATTGGAGGGTCTTCATTTTTGCAATAATTATTATTCCTAGATCAAAGTGTTTCAATAAGGATAAACAATAACATAAGCTACAAGTGTACTTTTCTTGTTATTTAACATTGAGTGTTGGTTATATATAATGTAAGGGAAAATGCAGCAATAAAAGAAATGATTTCCAAGATTGATTTCTTTCACCTCTGATAGTGATTACAATGTCTTACTTTTAAGATACTTAATCATTAACATGTAATATGGATGCACCCTTAGAATATGAAGTAATGTCATTTCAAGACATCATGTCAGTTGTTTTTAGCATCATTTCACACCTTTAAGTTAAAGGTTTAACCATGAAATAAGCCCAGGTTGCTCACATTAGCCTGTTCCATTTGGTATGGTAAGTATCTAACACATAGTATAGCTACTCAATAGAATATTGACTCTCTTTTGTGTTTGGTGTTCATCTCTCTCCTTCAATTATTCTCTTCTTTCGGTTTTGATGCCTGACCGACTGACCACTTCTGCAAAAGCGGAGACAATTTGTAACAAAAAATTTTATAGGGATAGCCTTACTTGTTGAATTATACAGCACTCAACTTCCTACTATTACTAACAGAATCAATCCAAATCTACGTATATACCCCCTACCCCTCTCCTAAAAAAAATCCCTGATGTGTTTATTTTGCAGGATTTTTCCTTTGGATTGAAGAAAAAAAAACTCCCAAAAATGTCAGGTAATATCGTGATTTGTCTGTTCCAGCCCTTAAATATTGCACGACATTATACAGATGACTCTGTGACAATCGTTGAGAAGTCATTTGGTCTTGTCATGCATCAAGCCTTGTCTTCCATGGGGAAAGAGAGAACTTGTTGGTTGACAGCTGTGAAGAATAAAAAATTTCAGAAGTCAACTGTAATTGTCAATCACATCAGACAGCATAATTTTGCGACGAGTATCCTACCTGTTGAGATGGACTCCAAAACTTCGACCCTTCTCACCAAGTATATCGTCAGTATTCACAATTGGCGCCAAAAATTCTATTGGTGGTCAGCGGCTAATTTTGGCGCGAAATCTATTTCTCAAGATGGCGGACGATTCACAGACGAGTCAGAACTCTTCGCGGTTTAGTCAGTCAGATCTCCCTGAATTGCTGAATCAATACTATAAGAGATTATTTCCTTACAAGTATTTCTTTCAGTGGTTGTCGTATGGAGGAGGTCAGAATTTTTAACGAACACCAAACAATATTTCAACTTGGTTGATAAGACGCTGACCTTTAGTCTTAATCGTAGCTTGTTTTTCACTAGTTGATGTTTCCTTCTACGTTGATTTCTCAGTACCCAAGAATTATTTTCTCCACCGAGAATTCTCTTTCACGTTGAAAGATGACGTTTACTTGCGGTATCAATCATTTGCCGATCAGCAAGAACTGGAAAAGGAAATCATCAAACGAAATCCATACAAGATTGACATCGGAGCCGTCTTCTCACATAAGGCAAGTTTCTCATCTGAGCATACATGTAATTGTATTTTTCTGGTGAAAGATAGTTTATTATCGTTTAAGAAGCTGTTAAACGGTTTAAGAATAACAGGAATTAAACAAAAACGTACTCCATTCTTTCAGCCAAAGGACCACAAAATGATCAAACCTGGAGCTTTTCAGGCTGAAGAGAAGGAGTTAGTATTTGACATTGACATGACAGATTATGATGAAGTTAGGACATGTTGCAAGTGAGTTCTCTTTTGTAAAATATTAGATGATGCAAAAATTTTGTCTCATCGTTTATTTATTAGATATTGAAGAGAAACATTGCGGACAGGTCACCTGTCTGACAGTCCAGATATATATGTTATTGACCGAGCGTGAGATCAAGATGGCTAGATATCGGCCGAGTTCTTTCTTTTACGTTTTTCTGAACCGAGATGAAGACGGGAAAGATAAAAAGGCTTGGTCGATGTAGTTTATTGAGAACATAGTAAAAGTACTTGTACCAATGTCAGTGATGCCATTGTAGGCCTACTGAATGATGTGAAAGTACTGTAATCAATTAACGCGTTTGTGCCAGCTTATTAGACACCTGATTGATGAATGAAGAAAGTAGTTAAAGAGAGAGTGTCTCCATACGAGTACACAGCAGTCAACAAGGGATTTATCATATAGCAGAAAGATCATTGAAGACAATTTCAAATTTTTGAAGATTTTGAAAGACAGAAAAGAAAGCCAACTGTTTTTGTCCAAAAATTACAAGCATTGTATGTCCATTTCAAGTGATCTTTCTTCTCACACTGGATCAAAGGGGTAATCCCAAGTGGGTAAGATGGACTTATATTGCCTGCTCAGGTAGTTCAATCAGTTCACCCTTGAGTGTGAAAATGATAGACATTTGCCCTTTCTTGATTTAAATGTGTACAAAGGGGAACAAGGGAATTTCAAGATGTGTCTATTGTAAACCCACCCACACTGACAAATACCCCGTTTTCAAATCACACCACCCTATTTGCCATAAAAAGTCTGTAGCCAAAACTTTACTCAGGAGGGCTGACTGTCTACCATTTTCACTTGATTTGAAGGCTGAGGAGAGGAAATATGTTTCTAATGTCTTAAAGGCGAATGGCTATGCCAAAACCTTTCTCCATAACTGCCAAAAACCAGTTACAACTAGTAGCACTCCCAATGAGAGGGAACCAGTGACTGGTTTTGCTTTTATTCCCTACATTCAGGGTGTTACAGAACCCATCAAGAGAATTTTGAATAGCTATAATGTTAAAGTTGCTCAAAAACCTTTTCAGATTTTGGGGCATACTTTTGCCAAACCTAAGAATTCTGTCAGGAAAGAACAACGAACAGATGCTTTTTATTCTATTCCATGCAATGACTGTGATAACAAGTACATTGGACACCCAAGATGTCAGTTTGGTACACGTTTGAAAGAGCAGTTTTCTTTTGAAAAAAAGAAAATTCAGCTTTATCAGAGCATGCATGCCTAACTAACCAGACAATTGGGTGGGATAAGTCTAAAATTGTCACCAATAATCTGTGTTACCACTAGCACCTTTGTTTGGAAGCCTGGCATATCAGCTCTGCCCACAATCCTTTAAATTGTGATGATGCCAGCTTACTTCCTGATGCATATTTACACCTCATCCAAAAAAGGGCAGCTAATTAGTGAGGGTATAAAAGGAACTCTGATGACTGATTGATGTTTAGATTGATTGCTTCCTCTTTCTTTCATTTATTCAGAGGTGCAGACATTTGCAAGAAATGTTGGAAGTTTATGGTTGTTGCAATGAAGATAGTTGATAGAGCTCTTGAAGGTAAGATTAAGTATAATGTTTTTACGTAACATTAGTCATGTACACTATATTGGAGAGAGGTCATGAGGCACAGTAAAATATTACAATTTAATGTCAGTTTGTGTAATAGCCCCATTTTTGCCATTTGTACATTGTATCTTATGGGAAACTACGCAATAGAGCCTGTAGAACCACTTGATTTAACCCTTCTTTCCATCAACCCATGAGGGAAACTGGTAACTAAGAGATGTCATAATGTTTTGATACCCATCTGGCCCTGAACAAATTATGCTTGTGATATATTGAAAACAATTTCAGTTCACGATTCATCATAATTTAGTGGGTGGCAAGATGGCAATGAAAGAATCAGACCAAAATATTAGACAATTTTAATTAACAACTCCCAAAAGTGATTGATTCGTGTAACTTCTCCATGTAATATCCAAACACTTTCCAGCAAACAGATATTGAGAATACTGAAACTTACCAGGTGGAAGTTATCTTGATCTTACATCAAATTCTCATAACTTATTCACAAGTAAATATGTAGCAGCTAGAAGGGAGAATTAACAGACAGATCTGGGGTATTTAAGGGTTAAAGGAAGAGGACTGAAATGCTTCCTCTCAGCTACTGATCTCAACAATGCTAGTCCTTTTAACACATTTAAATTTCTATCAGCAATTAAAATTCAGTGAATTGATATTCCTATTCATAGTGGTCAGAGGCCTTCTAACACAAAGGTTTGCTGTAGTAGTTCTAGTAGCATTGTGTTAACCAATGTTATGATAATATAATTTTGAGATGTATGTTTCTATTTGTAAAGAATATTGAGAAGTATATCCCATTCAAGATATTTATTTTATACTGTTACAGTTATCACAAGATTTGCTTGAAAGAGAACCTTTTGGACTATCACCTTGTGTGAGAAATTACTTTTTGAGAGACTTCTATCAAAGTATTTATTATGTGGACAATTTTGAGAATGATAAAGTTTAGTGTTATAGTTCATCTTTGTGTTGAGGTCTCTTTTTGTTGGTGAAACTAACTTTGCCTTTTTTTCAATTTGAAGCATCAAATTGATTGATACATGAAGCACACAAAATATTTTTTGAGAGTTCCACCTGGCATCATCCTAAGTGGATTATTGTGATATTAAAAAAAAGCCAACAACTGAAAACTTCTTTTGTCACAATTGCGACTTAATTTGTGTCAGTTTTCTGGGTCTGCCATAATAGGTGACAAATCTGGAGATACAGTGTCTTGGTTATTTTATTAAAAGAAATTACTTTCCAAAAGTTTCTCAGCTGGCAGTTGTTTTGGCAAGCCATGAAGTAAACAGATGAGCAGTGCTGAGCTTATTGACTTCCTGCCAGAATAAAAAACTGTATTAAATTTAATACTATTCAAGTACCTAAGGGATAATTTTAACTAATTTTGCGTCAATAGTTACTCTCATTCATAATTTACAGAGAATAAAATAAGTACAGATCAATAAATACTTAGCAAAAATATATGCTTATGTGCATAATCTTGAAGAAGTGGAAACTCATAGGCAAACCACCAAGGCCATAAAATGTATTTGAACAACCAAAAGTGGCACAATGCTTTCCTTTTTTTTTTTTTTTTTTTTTTTTTCAGAAAAAAAATTAGCTTAAACGATATTTCAGCTGGATCCATCCATTTTCCTTAAAAATCAAACAGTTTTGCTGCCCATGTGTGAATTTCACCAAAATTGCTCACCAAGATATGACACTTGTCAACCCCAGCCTTGGTTACATGCCCAATATGATGCTAGGAACTGTAAAAGGGCTATTCTTGAAAAAGTGTAATTGGCAAAGTAGTTTTCCTTAAAAAATATAGAAATTAGAGATTATCTGGATAAAGTAGCATATAGTCTTGGTTTGTAAAAGTTATCTGCTGTTTGCAGTGTATCATTGTAAAAAAAATTCTTTTAATTGTTCTTAAAAGTTCCTAAAGACTTACTTTTAAAAAGCAAAATGCATATAAACCCTGAAATACCATTGGAAACTATATCAGTCAACCTTAACATCACTATGTTTGTGTGTTTACTGAGTTGTGAGCTATTCCTTTTCCTCTAAATTTGTCATTGATAAGTTGTGTTGGTTTATTAAAGATATTTTGCCCTTGAAAATACAAAACTAAAATAGTTAAAGTTACCATTTTGTCTTGCAGAGGATTTTGGCTTCCAACATAGACTGTGGGTGTACAGTGGTCGTCGTGGTGTTCACTGTTGGGTGTGTGATGAATCTGCACGGAAACTTTCACAGAATGCGCGTTCTGCTGTTGCAGAGTATCTCAGTGTCATCAAGGTGCTTATTCCATAAGCTTTGTTCAAATTTTATTCAAAGTTAATTTTAAAGGTCATGGCCTCTCTATTGTTACTGTTCTTGTTGAATGAAAATTGTGGCTCACTGTTTTTCTCATCTTGATACAGGGTGGTGAAAATCAACTGAAGAAAGTTAATCTCCATTCACCTTACCATCCATACATCAGGTATTTTGGTTACTTGCTTTCCCTAAAATTGTGCCGCCTGGTTGATAATCATCATGATGAGTTTATACCTGTGATGAAATTGCATTTTCTTTCAATCTTTTCCAGCAAATCTTTAGAAATTCTTGAGGCCCACTTTGTTGACCTTGTAATTGAAAACCAAGAGGTGTTGTCCTGCAAAGAACAATGGGAAGGAATGCTTGCTCTTGTACCTGATTGTATCCTTTATCAACTTCATTTAACTGAAGTTGGTTCTTGAGCTGCTGTTTGGTGAAGTTGTGCTATGAATTGTACAACAAATTTGTTCCCATCATGATATACTACTAGTCACTAGATCATCTGATAGTCTGCTAATTTTATACCCTCTTGGTACATTAACCCTTTAAATCCCAGAAGTGATCAACATGGAACTTCTCCCTATAATATCCTTAAATTATCCAGCGAACAGGTGATGAGAATATTCAAACTTATCAGGTAGAAGTTGTTATCTTGATCTTACACCAAATTCTCATAACTAATTTACGTGGATATGTGTAGCAGCTAGAGGGGAGAATTAACAATCAGATCTTGGGAGTTAAAGAGCTAACAGTAAAACTGTTACTTAAATTTCACAACTTGTCTGCGATTTCTTAACATGACAAGCTATTCGAAATGAACTGAACACATCATGGTCAACAACCACAGAGACTTCAAGGGAAAGATGGGATGAACTTGAAATGAAATTTGACAGTTGTAACGAGGTAAATCATTTGGTTTGTTGTTTCATCATGAATGCACTTTTTTCGGTTGTTAATTACTTAATGATTAGTAACTGATTTTCCAGCATGTTTTCTGTAATTCAGTTCCGTATTTGAATACCTTTTCAATTTAACCATTAGGTTTTTTAACTGTAATGGCTTTTTTAGTGACCTTTAAAGACAGCTTTACTAGAAAATTAGCATTAACTAATAATTTTGCAGAGAAAAGAAGTAAAAGATGAGATAATCTTCCAGTACTGTTTCCCTCGCCTTGATGTCAATGTCACCAAAGGACTTAATCATTTACTGAAGAGTCCATTCTGTGTTCATCCTAAGACAGGTCTGGAAAAACAATAATGTTATCTAACATACTGACTCATTACTTAATTTCTTGAGGATTGAAGTTTTGTTCTAGTTAGCCACAAGAAACATGCCAACACCTGTAGAAAAAAAAGGGTTTTTTTATGTGAAGCAGTAACTTAAATTTGCACAACTGGATCATGCTTGCATGCAAAGTTGGGAAGAATGTTAGTCAACTAGTAAGTCATTCTTGTAAAGATATTCCAAGCCTCTTTGTGTAATCTAAACTTATGTTTTATGAAGTAATGCAATCCCACAATGACTTCAAAATCAACAAACTGAGATTACCAAGTGCTCACTGGTTCCTACACACATACATCAGTAAATGAATTGCACTGGTTAGTCATTGAGTCAGTCAGTCACTCAGTGAAATTAGCTGATTATTTTCAAAAGTAATCTGCTTCACTTGTCCAGGTCGTGTCTGTGTACCAATCAGCATGGAAGAGGTTGACACCTTTGATCCATTTACTGTACCAACAATAAGGTATGTGTTAAATGTCCTTTTCACTCCCCCATTCCTGTGCCAGTTTCAATGGTACCTCACCAAGGTATGATACCTGTATTGCCCAGTAATTCTCTTAAACTCCAATGCAGAGCACTCCCCACTGACTTGGATCACATACTGACTTTGATTTGGTGACTGAGAACTTCTTTAAATTGTATTGCCTTCTAGTCAACTTTGCGAAGAAATTGATCAACATGATAAAAATACACCAGACATGATTGAAGATGAAAAGAAAAAGATCCCAGGTACATGAAGAACAGTTAATTGTAGCAAACTAGTAATTTCTAGGTAGTAATCAGCTGTTGTTAAAATTTGCTCACTTTTTTTTTCAACTTATGACCTGTTCCTGAGATTTCAGGTCTTCAACCTTTCCCAGTATTCCTGTTTCAAAACTCCTTCAATTTTAAATTTCCACGGCTTTAGAGGGGTAATCCTTGCAGGTCTGTAGAAATCATGACAGAGTGCCTTGGTAAAACTACCATTTTGGTGTGGTTTATGTTTCACACTGTGACAACCTATTTAATCCCTATGGTGGATAGTAAATATGAAAAATCAAAGGCTTTCATGTAAAAGGTGTTTATGTCTCCATTTAAGCCCATTATTTCCATGGTTGAGTTCTCGGGGTTTTAGAGTTTATTTGCTGCTGACCCCTGCAATTTGTTATACCAACATTTAAGTAACTGAATATTTTCATTAGCAATAGTAAACTTTATAAGCCATTCTTAATAAACATCATGGTACTGAGATTGTTATCAGTTGTTGACATACATTATGGTCTCTGAATTTTAAGCTTTCAAGAAAACCTCCCTGGTAAAGCCTATTGGTATTTTCGTGGAATTTTTGAAGAGCCTTGAAAGTGAAAATGACAACAGACGGAAAACTTTCAGAAATGAACAGGGTGAGTAAATATTACAGTGTTCACTTTTGATGTATATGCAGATATGTTGGTGGGTACTGCATGTTGCATCGTGTAATTGGATCATCAGTGATATGTTAAGTCAGGAAAAAATCAGTGAGTTTTGAAACTGGTATCCATAACAGCTTTGTCCAAGTCTTGATCTAGAAGTATCTTTCCAGATAAAACATTTAACATCTATGACAACTTGTAGGTCATTTCAATATTTTTTTTCTTTGTTTTTGTTTATTTTAGAAAAGAAAGGAGAATGGTGAGAAAGAGGAAAAACAAGAAAGAACAGTTCTACTAAAGCTTTGACCACCACACAATTATAATGACATTCCAATAATTGATTATTACAGCAATGATCAATGTATTCAGGGTCATCTTGCTACGCAGTGCTGTTTGCCCATTGTGGAACCTCTTCTCTGTAAATAAAGAAAGTTCTGATGTAGCATGATGTCCACATTGTTTCTGTTGAATCTAATTAAAATTTATTGCTTTTTGGGGGTGATTTCTAAATTTAAATAAATTAAAATATCAAGTTACTGTAATTGAACTTTTAGACCTCATCTTATTAAACAAGAGTTATGGTTATCACTATGAATCCTCCAGGCAAGAGGTGCCTTTTCAAGACAACTTTAGTGTGATACCAAAAATTACAGCCCCAAATTCACATCATTAAAACCAGATAGTGCTTTCCTGTGAGAGATCCCTGTTACGATATGAAAATGTCAAGTTTTAGTGCAACTGGTTAATCTATTTACATGATTGACCAAGTTATTTAAAAGGGTTCATTTCAGTTTCAGTTTCTGTTGCATAGAGGTTAGGTTCTCCTCCAGGTTAGTAACTAAGTCCATAACAGCTTCCTCTCTATATTTTGTCAGTTTTCCCTGATAATTGGCTATTGCCTATTTAATAACTCTTAGGCAAGGGGAGGCACACAAAAGGTTAAGAGTGTAACCTGCTCAGTAACCATCATGTCAATAAGACTCAGGAATACATTTTTAATTTGATATGGACTTTAACTTACTGTCTGCAGCTGGGACTCACAGGGGCTGCATTTAGTTAGACATTTGATTTAGAATAAATTCTCACAGGTGACTGAGAACATTTTTCAAAAAGTTGTTAATTAATACAGATGACAATGCTCTGCTGAATGAAGGTGGTACACCCGCTTAGAAATCTGTACCAAGTTGGTAAGGGTATTCCGAGACAATTTGTTGCTTAGCTTATGGCAGTCTGTGGCCTTTCCCTACATCAAGGCAGTTTTGAAAGCCAAAAAACTCTAGAACAAAAATTTATCTTTCAAACTGGCATTTTTAGTCACCACAGTGTCAACAATGCATGTTTCCACTATTGGCATAGCCTCGTCTTTCTGAATGTAAACCATTCCTAACCCTAAGCATAATTCCTCTATTTGTTCTGGGAAAGGGCTAATGCTCAAGACATCAGCTTTAAGAAACTCTTTGGTGGCCACATCACATTTTCAACTCAGTTCATACAACCAAATTTATTGCTGTTCTGGTTTACAGGCAAAAGGAGTAAAAGTAAAGAATTTCTAGGTTATCCACAAATTTACTAGATATAAATCTTACAATCTTCTCTAATTGACAGAATCGCATGTGTGAAAGAATCTTTCTCTTTTGCATAATTAGTTCATCTACTAAGTCTACCATCTATTATTAATGATGATTAAAAATGATTATAATTATAGCACTTGCAGTTGCTAAATTAAAAATGCAGTTCCCGACTGTTTCCATTTATTCAAGGCCAGCAGAATAATTTCTGGATTACATTTGTGATAAGGTAATTGTGAAGAACAGCTCCCCTACACCGACAGGCGGCCAACATCCGGTAATCTGTCAGCCAACTGTTGGCTGACAGCTTACCGACTTTTCTGACAGCTTTATTTAGGTTTTGCTGAAGGGATAACTTCTTCAGGACATCTGTTGGCCAACAGTTGACCAACTGTCAGTAATCTGTCAATAAGGTGTTAGTAACCTGTCGATAGAATGTCAGTAACTTCAGAACAATTATTGTCTCGAGGAGTTTATGATTTGCAACCCCTGATAATTGCATCGAAAAGATAAAGTGAGACTCTTAATACTATCAAACATTACTGACTCTTTATGTTAGTTTAGCAAAATTTCTAGGCAATTATTCTTCCAACACTAACTTCGATTCCTGGTATATACTTCCCAGGTATATACTTCAATGCCATAAAGACGACAAAATGGCTGACAATATTTATGTTATATGCTTTAAATATGACTTATGACTTGTCCTAGCTCACCTTATTCTGCCATGTTAAACCCTTCTACCCTAAGTGAACCATGTTGCATTAGCCCACATCTACCCTAAGTTAACCATATTATACCACGTTAACCCACATCTACCCTAAATTAGCCATGTTCTACCCCATTAACCCTCAGCCACCCTAAGCTAACCTCTGGTATCTTGAATGAATTGTGGCAGACTGTGGGTGCTGGCATGACATGGTCTTGTGCGAAAAACCAGACTCAGATTTTTTTTGTTCATGAAAAACCCCCACAAACTTTATAATTTCTATCACAGTGATGAAAAAGAGCTGTGTTAATGTATACTGAAACATTCATATTCCTTCAATCTCAATATCATTAATTTTTTAATGCAGGCTCCTTTTTCATTAATACAATAAACCTTAAAAAATTATGAAAAAGAAAAACATTTCTGGCTTTCAATATAAGCCCATTTACAAAGGCTGTGTGATTCACATCACTAGCATAAGTATGAATGTTTCATTAAGAAACTAATAAGGGATATTACTATTAAACCATCTAATCAAAAGAAAATTAATTAAATGTAGATTTCTGCTACAAGCATTTAAACATTGTGCGTACATTTAATAAGTATGAGGGGTGCTCCTCACTGTCCAATTGGAGGTTTAAGTACTTTAAGATGTATTATAAGTTAAGAGAAATATGTAGTTGACTTTCCAATAATTTTTAATTTCAACATTTTCAGGCTCAAACAGAGGACAGTTTTTGTCTCACATCACACATCTTTAAATTCATAATTATTCAAACAAATACCCTTACAATGATTTAATAATACTGCAATTTTTGCAATTATGAGGAATGCTTTCACAAAATAAATGCTACCACCTACATATATGGTAAACACTCAAATATTTCAGATTGCTGAATTGGCAAATGCCAACGTTATGGTAAGCACAGTCTTTGCAAACTGATGTGACAGCCAAAAGCTGATGTATTCAGTAAAGTCACTCCAAAAAATACCATTCATTCTGTTCTTTCTCCTAAGCTGCACATTCATAAAGGTTGCTTGGATGATTACCATCTGATTGTTGGAAAGAAATATTTAATTCTTTCATATTTAAAAAACATATACTTAAAAGAAATTTTCAACTTAGGAATTAACATTGCAGTCTTTCCAGAAGAGTGCATTACTTAAATACCCCACAAAAATAATATCTTACAACTAACTAACTTGTGTCCTTTTTAAGACAAAAATGATAATATTAACTTAATATATCAGAACTACTGCTTGACCAGACTCAACACCATTCAGTTTCCTTTGTATTAACTGTTTAGGGACAATTTTTCCACAAGAAACCTTGTGAGTAAATGGTACAGATGTGGTGACGTTCCATCGCCACTCAAACCATGGTTTTTGTCCGGATAAAACTACAAGAAAGAGCATAATTACAAAGTTCAGTGTATCAGTCAGGAAGGTGATCTGTGTTTGAAATGTCTCATAAGGGCATATGGCAACAAATTAAATCAATTAAATAAATAAAAGAACAAACTAATCTGTCTCTTTTGTAAACTAGAGTACTGAGGACTAAGTTCTCAATATTCTAAGTCATCCCATGCCCCTCTCTGCTGCCACTTGTTGTTTACCATTATTTTACAATCAAACACAAGTATTCATTTTACAGTTGATGAATTGGTGGATCAGCAGTTAGTCAGTTATAAATAGGTCACTTAACAGATCAAAGTCACCAAAGGGTAATGAAAGGATAATCAAGTTAGCACTTAAGGTAGTGACAAAATGTCATAGACTGTAAGTTCTGTCACATTTGCTCAAAATTTCAGTTAATTCTGAGCTCAGTCGTCAGGAAGTCTGTCAGAAGTCTGAACAAGTGTTTCTGTGTCTCAGTTCCCAACAGTCCATGATTCTTGTCAGTGTAAAACTGTAGGAAGGGAATAAAATCCATTACCAAAAAATGTTGTGGTTCATTAGAAAATCTCTATCACTTTTCATCAGAATTATAGTCAAAATAAACTTAGAGGAGTATTTAAAAATGTGTTCAATCAGCAAGGAACTCCTATAAAAAAGCAATTTTAAAACAAGGATGTCCTATATAGTTAACAAAGATCACTGTTTAAAAAAAAAGACCCATCAAATTTGAAGTTGTCATAATACAAGTAAAAAGTGTGAAATTCTATGAAATCCTCCAAACATTTTCACAGCAAAGTAACAAAAATTTGTTTGGTCTGAGTTCCCACACTCAACAGTCTGGACATTCCATCATAATTATAATGGTCCTTACATTTAAAGTAATAAAACGGATTTTTTCTTATTTAAATCTCCTTTAAAAAATGTGTCTCCCTATATCCTCAACTTCCTACCAAGTCTATAAACAAAAATTTACACACATTTTTGGGTTTTTCTTTAGTCATCAATAACTTACTTGGACTTGATATTTGACCCCTGCCTTCGTCAAAGCTGCTACTAACTGAGCAGTGTTCTGAAAATGTACATTATCTGCAGAAACACAATAGTAATGATTAGTACATTCTTCCACTTGACAAAAATCAGTTTTGGTTCCTTGTGGTTTTGGCTATTTTTAGATTGGTTTTTCAATCGGTTTTTGTGCCAAAATACTTTAGTTTTTGGGTTTAGTGTTCACTGTGGTATTCATTTGATTGTGAAATGGAGTTTATTGTCAAATTGTAAAAAGAACAGTTGTCAAAGTTTTAATACCAAATTAATACACAGCTATACCCTTAATGTATACTGTATCATCCTGCTACTAAGATCTCAGTCCATGGTCATATTAACATAATCAAGAACTCAAATGCTGCTACAAAATTCAACTTACCATCTCCTGTTCCATGTACCAGAAGAAAACTATCATTTTGGAAATTTTTTGCCTTGTTAAGAACTGATGATATCTAAAATTCATAAATGACAAATAATCAAGTTGTGGCCCTTCCAACAAGTCAAGTAGTATGGGCATTAGCCTTGTAATACAGAGAAACCAACTCAGAATCTCTTCCTTGCCTCTTACAGGGATTGGTTCACACATCTGCACCCAGATTGTTGAGCAGGATGTAAACTTTATTGCAACTTTAATGTGCTATTAGGCAGATACAAGTAATGTGTATTAAGAACATTACCAACTAAAGGATTTTAACAGAATAAAACACTTAGTTCTCAGGAACAGCCAACAAAAGAGTCTTGGGGCATCAGTGGGTGAATTAGCTCTTGCCTTTCAGAGGTGAAAGCTACACAGTTTTCTATTTGGAGCCAGCAAAATAATTTATCAATAAAATTACCTCATATCCCTTTAAGTTTTGTTTAGGAGTGAGCATGTAACGTTCAGTGTAAATGGAATCTGCATAAAAAAAGGAAGCAAATGACATGGTATTAGTAAAACATTTTCTCTCAACCAAAAGCATGTGCAAGGAAGGTATCATTCAGTGAGATACCCAATCTGGTTGTTAAGTTAGTCAACCTTGCAAACCTTTTTCATCATCTCACCAAAAGAAAAATGTGTTGTAAAGAGAGTTAGCTGTCACATATAGTGAGACAAAAGGTATTAATGGCAACCTCCAACTAAAAGAACCCAAAAGCAAAATGGATCAAAATCCTCCAGTCACAACTCAAATTATAATGACCCAAAGTATTCAACCTGCTGAAACAATGCACTACACTGTCAGTATTCTCAAGAGGTCCACAACATGAAATAAGAGGCATATTTAATGATGTATCTCCATTTCCATGGTTATCAGTAGTATGTTATTGAAATGGAAAGAGAAGTAATCAACATGTAACTGGTAATTGTTGTTTTATCCATTAGAGAAAAGCTTTAAAAACACTTTGTACATTGAATTTATTCAAGAGAGGCAGTGGGAATCCAGGTATGCTCCTCTCAAGCAAAGTGCATAACCTTGTTTGCTACATTCTCACCATAATATCTCCAGTCTGTGACAGGAGCAACAGCCATTCCAAGTTTAAACACCCCAGAGTTAACACTAAGAACATAGGATGTCAAGTACCCTCCATATGACTACAATACAAAATTGGATTATCATGAGAATAACACCTAAATGCATGCACATTTTAACACATCCTTTGACCAATTAGAAAATGTAAGAATGAAAAAGTGATGATTGTATATTAAACCAAAATATCACAATTATGTACAAAACTCTTTACAAAGAAGTTTCACACTGTATGTACAAAAAGAATTAAAACAATCAGAGGTAACACCAAAACACTTATTCTAACCCAGCCCCATATGGCCATCTTTGTTTCATCAACATAATCTTTCTTTGCAATTTCCCTGAAGATAAAACAAAAACAATCAATTACAACCAAAGCTAAGACTAGTAAGAAGTTGATTTATAAGACCACAGAATGTAACTTTCACAAAATCAATGACACTAGTGGTAAGACTAATCAGGAATAAGTTGTTTGCAGTTAAAAATTGTGGTGTTATCCCTTTTTGGTCCTTCATGCTCTTAGACAACTATTCTACATTTCAGTTGTTTAGTATCTCTAATTTGGCGCCATATTGTAATACATTACAGTTAAGCTATCTTTACTGCCTTCTTTATAACAAAGTTTTCCGTATGGCCATCCTCTCATTCAAAATGCCATTGTCACAACATCTGTATCAACCAATTCTTCTAACTGAACATTCCAATATGCCTAAAGACAGACATCAATACAGAAAGTGATTTACCCTGTATACAATTTGTGAGCTCCCCAACTTACTTGGCAACATTAATTGTATCTTCAGCCTCATATTCTCCCAGATGTTTATAAACTTCATGCTTAAATCTACAAGAAAAACAAAAGTTCTGTTACTTAAGTTGTCAATTTTCAGCTTTGCTTCCAAGATTAGCATAACTTGGAAATACTAAGATTGTTTGTAGTAAGTCTGCTTCATACTGATGACTTATCAACAAAACACAGTCATGATATCCTTATTTTGGTAGAGTGAACATGAAGACACAGGGACAGATACCTATTCATTGACACTTAGATGGCTGGAACAGTGAACAATGACAGGGTTAAATGATTGTTTCTAGATGTTCTTTTGATAACATTTAAAATTCAAAAAACCATTCAAAAAGAGAACATTATATCCTTCACCTTTCTCCTCTGCAGCATGTTCCTCTGGCATCAACATTCACCACAATCAAGTCAAAGTTGCTGACTAAATAACCAGTTTCAAATCCATAACCATAACTGTCAACAACCTAATGGCAAAACAAAAATGATAAAGAAAATACTGCCAAACCAGCTTCAGAAGCCGAGCTGTGCAGAAGAACATGAAAAGGTTGAGTCTTGCAGCTGGAGTCATACAAAACAAAAGTGTTCCACCTTCTCATTGACCTCAAGCTATCTAAGCACTTTATCTGGATGTTATGCTACTCCATCACAACATACCCTTCAACAATGTTATATATTTCAAAACATTTGTCCATCCTTCTGTTTGGGGAGAGGCCCTAAGAAAATGTGTTTCCCAAAAACACATCACAAAGCAACCTACAGGGCTTAAATCCTTGTGCCTTAATCCAGAGTATGCCACACTAATCATCAAGCCAGCTAGTCTCTTATTCCAATTGCATGCACATGAAACACCAATATTCCATATAACCCAGCTATTGGAGAACAAACCATGTAAACTAACAAAATCCTTAAGGCTAAAAAACATTGAAGTTGAACTGTAACTTTTGACTGACATGAAAAGTAATACTGATTATAAAAACCTTCTGTGATGCTGGACCACCATACCTGAAAGGAGTGTAAAAGTAATTTATGTTAATCTTAGTACATATGAAACATGTTAGAGATGATTGGGCTTTGCAGGATAACACAGTAGATACTTTAAATTTTCCTTGGAGTGTTTTTGTACAACATACTACTCTTTCAAATCCAAGACATCACAAAGCTCTACCAAACATCTCACACACCTCCCAAACTACAAAAAGCCTTTTTTTCATTCCTGTCTATTTTTTTGCTTTTTTTGTTTTTTTTTTTGCCATATTGAAAAGTATAGCAAGGCACTGGAATTTTCACCAGTGGGATTTACTCAGATGGGAGATACTTAAATGTCAAGTCCCACACTGAATATAATGTGAAGTAGCTTATTCAAAAACCCAAGTTATTATTAATATTACTACTATTTTTTTTTAAGTCAAAAACTGCATGGAAATTTAAGGAGGATAATACTTCAGAAGAAACTAAACTTACACTGAAAACAGAACAGCATATTTCTTTTCTGGAGTAAAGTTTGGTGGGCGATATTCTTTTACATAGAGATCTGAAGTGAGAAGACATAAGAAGTACAGTAAGTTACATGTGTCCTCCAGTAAATAGAGAACACAAAAGGAGAGTGCAGAAAATCAAATGTTGTAAGTAGTAGAGTTGCAGCTGGCAGTTACTTGGCAAGAATTCCTGAAAAACTTCAACCACTGTTCACTTTGAAGCAATACCTACTTACATCAAAGATAAAAAGGCCCTGTATACTCTTGGATCCAAATTAAATTTATGCATTTCTTGCAGATTTTACTAACCATAGCTACCACTTTTCACAATGTAATTTTCCACTATGGGTAAAGAAACTCCATCCAATCTTTCACGAAGGGCACTGTTATCTTCCAGGATCTCAACTGCCACACATGAAAAAAAAAGCATTGAAGAATCCATATTTAGAATGGCTGGTGACAAATATATTATGTGATCAAAGACTATCCAGAATCCTTGCAAAGATTATTGATTTGTAACCTCCCACTCCTCCCCTCTGATACCCTTCACTTGGTGGTTTGCTAAACCACACACTAACCAAATGTCAACATAAGTGATTATTCTATCTTTTGAACTAACCCAAACAATAATGAAAGGTGCATACTTGAAATAGAAGCTTGATACATATTTTGTAAAAAAAAATTCCCTTCTCATTCACATCTAGAAATGAGAAACATTGGACAAAGATCTGGGCAAACTGATGCTCTATGTCATAATGAAAATTCATGTTCAAGAACATGTGAACACAAATAATGAAAGGATTTGTAATATTTCAAGCTCCAAAACTTGCCATGATCTTTGCTTCCCATCATATATGATTATGTTGGTATAACCTTTTAGCCCCAAGGAGTGATTTGCATCCAATTTCTCCTTATAATATCATCTCTGAGTCAAACATGAAAGTTATGAGAATAAAGGAAATGGTCACCAACTGAAGAAGCCCTTGAGTGTTAAACAAATTCTCCTTTCCAGCACCACAGGGAATGTATTGAGAACAGTTTGGAGAATATGGATACTGATGTTAGGGTGTAAAGGGTTTAAAGTATAATGAATCAAAAACTTCATCAAGGCCTTTATGCCATAGTTTTCTCAGAGAAATCACATTCAGTAACTTTTTATGACCCTCCCTAGACATGCATGAGCCAAGAATAACAAAAATGTAACATTAGTAGTTAATGGTAGCAAAGACGTCTTGACAAAGAAATGACTTGACAGCACAGTTTTTTATATACATATATATCCTGATGCATAGGAAGGTGTAAGCCTAAAAACACCGCATGCAGCCAGGTATTTTACCACAAAGTGTCAAAATTCACCTCTACTACTCTTTGTGCTTCGAAGAGTTACTTCAGGTATTCCTGGTCCTAAAAACCAATTAAAAGAAATTTAAAAAAAGACAAAAGAATGCACCAATAAATAGGGACATCATTTGACAAATGATAAATTCAATTTAACAGTGTGACTAGATCTTAATAATTGAACATCTATAATAAGTAATAAGCAGCAAGAAAGAGAGAGAGATAGATTTGTGATTTCAATCAATTTTTTAGTCCTTGGCTAATAAATTGCTTAAATTCAAATGAGGATGTCTCATTCACAGTAAGTGGTTTGGAGATAACATTTCCTTACCATTGTTAAAAAAAACATGTCCAACTCTACAAATTTAACCATTCAAACAACAAATACAACAGCTAACGCTGTCCAAAGTGATACGTAACCTCTCAAACACAATCAATTCATTATCTTGTTTATGACCAAGCTGTCAATGACAATACAACATAACTAGTGAAGCCCCAAGAAATCAGTGGGCTCCAAGCATGGCTTGTCACTTGTCATCACTACCAAAGAGAGCCCATAACAGGATATTTCAAAATTACCTTGACAGTACAAGATATACCAGCTACCACCAAGGCTGAAACTTGCACTATAGTAGGAACACTTGTTTCCCTCTAAAGCAAAAAATTAAGACTTAAGATTAAGATCAAGAAAAATTCATTGATGAGGAACACCTTTCATAACCATTTTCTAATAGTTAACAGAAAACAGTTCCAATACAGGTCACTCTTAGAAAAAGCGAGTAGATACCAAGAAGATCTACATTCTGACATGCTGCAAACAGGAAATAAAATGTTGCTGCTGCAGTCCCTATCTCTTCACTGCCTTATCTCCTCTGATGGGCATGATTTACAACTTTAGGCTTGTTTGAAATCCTTTCACATGCCAGAGAGGCTTTGAAAAGCCTCCTTGAGGAAACTGGTATATACTGATATCATGATATCATGCTCAAACTCACCCAGCTAGCTTATGATATTAAATTTTACAACATATTATTATATATTACATATAAAGCTTGTCAATATATAAAAAGGGTCCATTTTTAAATGCATTGCACAAATTGCATGCAATTAAAATTTTTATTACTTTTGGGAAATAAAAGCCAACTGGCACTCTACATTCAAGACAAAAATACAGGCATGCAAAGCTATGCAAATGAGGATGCATGGTCTTTTAAATACCATAGCCTCTTACTTATCACTGTGGGTAGACCACAAGTCAAGCAGGAAAGCTCTCCTGATTTTATCTTCACACTGAAAATTGAACCAAGGAAACAAGAACCACAATTAAAAGGCAAAGAATTGCAAGGAATATGTGCTGGTGGACAGAAGAAAATTACACTCATCAGTTCCCTCAATCTCTACCACCACTCATGTGACATGAGTAAATATTCTCAATAATCAACTAAAAGGAGAAACACCACATTGGAGAAAAACATTCAAGACCCACAAGCAGTGAATGGAAAATTTTTGAAAAAGAAAAACACCACATTGGAGAATTGAATGGAAAATTGTACTATCAGATATCACCCTCACTAAACTTTATCCTTCAGATGAACTCCAACTGATCAAATGAGTTCAAGAAAGAAGCTAAATTGAAAGCAAACAAAGGGCTAAAACCTAAGCATATTGAGATAAATTGCACCGTTACTTCAACTTGACACTTTTACATCATTGCACTTATAAATTTCCTATGGGATCTAAGCCAGTTGATGATTGAAAGTACTTCACTTATTGTTTCTTTACACCCAAGGATGTTGCTCCTATAAATAACCTTAAGCCATTTACAAGTGTTAACAGACCTGTAGATATGACGCTGAGTTGGTGATTCCTTGGTTGCACTGAAGTATCTGTAAGTCAAGAACATTTCCCTTGCCTCAAAAATTAAAATTTCAAGTATAATTACTATGTGGAGGTACCAAGGTGAGGAGGTTAATCTTGTCAATCATTCATTTGGAGTTGTTGGTGGCTTGCTAATTCATAGAGTAACCCATTTATATTTTAGCAATTCTTCTAAAGTCATGTGAAAATGTTCAAGTTAAGATCATGGCAGAAGTAAAAATGCATAAGAACTTCCATTCAAGTTGTTATTGTTACACTTTTGGTTGAAGCACCATTTTTAAATAAAAAGGAAGTTTTTGTTCATTTTGGTGAACAAAAATGCACAAGTTGATAAAGCCTGTTCGTCATCATTGTCATTATATTGACAAATCAGAGAAACATTTCATAAACAATTGAATACTTGCGTGAAATATTTGTGAAAAATATTTGTCATTTGTATTAGAGCAATAAAACTGATGATACAAATAATTCAGTCTAATTGCACTTGAAACTATAAGCAAAGTGGTGTCTCAGACATATTCAGCAAACAAATTTGATGTAAAAAGTTGTTCATTATCTCTATTCATATCAAAAAATTGTTTTCAAATTTGTACAGATTGTAAAAGCATAGGTAATGATTTTCTAAAATATAATATCTCAATGACAGCTCCAGTGAATGCTACTAACACTATCTCATTTTTGTCATCATGAGCAAGAATCTTCACAACTTCCCAAGCTCCACTAGTTAATTCTACAGGATCTGTGTTTCCCTGAAATTACAAAAACCAGATATTTAAGTTTGGAGTCCAGTAAGCAAACCAATAGGAGAAGTCAGGCAATCACTGAAAATAATGTAATGAACTGTCATTTTTCCAGAACCTATTTAGCTCTCTTGATTGCAAAACAAACCTTTGTCCCTATCTTTGCAAGATGAATAAATTTTCCCACACCACCTGGTTGTGAAAATGGCCATTTTGTAATGAAGTAAGATCCATCTTTGGAGAAGTGAGGAGTTTGGTACTGAAAGAAAGTTGAGATAAATCCAAGATTAATAATGTCATTGACATTACCAGTCATATTTAAAAAATGAAGGTTGCAAGACCCTACATCATTATATAACTACTAAAAATAATCAGAGAATTTCTGAAAGGCACAGAGAACAACTTTTTACAAGAAAGCATACCTTATCATCCACCCAACCATTCTGCACTTTAACAACAGAGTTCTAAAATAAACAGAGACTTTCATTAAATAACAATTGACACTATCCTTACCCCTCAGGGTGAAGTTTGTGGTTTGTAACCTTATCCCTTCTGGGAGTTTTCTTTCAGACAGTGTACATGAAAATTAAGTTTCAATTGTTTATCTCCTGCCTCAGGAGTTTTTACTGACCCTTCCTGGGTTGGACATAAATAATTTCTAAGCAACAGCATATGACAAAGTCGCTTTACTGGTTATAAGTAACTCATCTTACTCAAAATAAAATTCTTCATTCATAGATATGTGATTGATGATCCATAAATAAAAAGCAGGTTGTTTAATTGACAATTAACACAGTGAAGCAGTTAAAAAACCATTTCACATCAATTAAAGACAGTTTTTAACATTTTTTTCCTTTGAAAACATAGCAAAAATGTCTGAATATAATTTTAGAACTAAAGAATACAATTTCAAACCGTGTTAAAAATAAGCAAGCATGAAAAAATGGACAAATAAACTCTTCAAATATCATGTGTTCACCTTCAAAAAGCAATGAATCTGTTTTAGGTGAAACCTTTCAAATGTTTACAATCATGCAACACAAAAAAAAGTTAATGGCATCTGAAAGATGTTTGAAGATAACCTGTTTACAGATGGAGCGCAGATAAGAAGATGTCTGCTGCAGGTCACACATATGAATAATTGCTTCATTCTGATCTCTGTTAAGCCAGGTCACAATTACAGCTGTTTCTGAAGCCCATGCAATGTTCACAACATAATGATCACTGGGAATGAATAAAAAAATTATAGTAAATTGATTAATATCAATTTCTCATTGACTATTAACTATTGCTGGATGCAGAAGATCCCCTGAAGAGACAACATCTGATTTCCTATTCACCTTTCTGGCTGCTGCCTCTCGGTCATTGAAAAAAATTTGTTGATACGACACAATCATAACCCCTTGATTATACATGCACATGTAAGTTTGACCATTCTAGACACCTGTTTTCTGGATCAAGTACTAATAACATGTGAAGAAGGTCCATGTTAATCATTTCAGAGTTCGCACAGATCTCAAATGCGGCTAATTAGTATTCATAAAAAATGGGACCAGAGAGGCAAGTCTGGATATTTATGAATTGAGGTTTGCCTGTATGCTGTTTTGCTATGTAGATGTCGAAGCCTTTCCAGTTACAATGGCTACACCTTGACCCTTTCGTTATTTTTATGGACCTAATTGAATTTGTCTCAATTTGTTTATAACATAAAGCAGAAAAGACCTTGGCCAATATGTAGCCCTCTTGATCTAACACTGGAGGAGGTATATTAAAGTTCACACGGCAACCAGGTGGACAATCAGACATAGTTTGATGCTACTCTGGTTTACAGATTTAATGAATGTAACTGAAGAAGTTACAATTCATAGACCCAATGTTTCGACACTCCTGTCTAGTGCCTTCATCAGGGGAGATCTAAACGCTGCAACAAGAGGTCCTTTTATATGATCACTGATTAGCGGCCTTTTTTCTGACGAGTTGTAAATAGGTGTCAGGAAGCAAACCGCCATCGTCACGATTTAGAGGACCCAATTGAATGGTTAGTTAGGCATGTATGCTCCAATAAAGCTGAATTTTCCTTTTTGCAAAGGAAAACCGCTTTTTGGTGCTCTTTTAACCGTGTACCAAACTGATGTTTGGTCTGTCCGATGTATTCGTTGTCACAGTCATTGCAAGGAATAGAATAAATGGCGTCGGTTCGTTGTTCTTTTGTGACAGGATCCTTAGATTTGGCAAAAATATGCCCCAAAGTCTGAAAAGGTTTTTGAGCAACTTTAACATTGTGGCTATTCAAAATTCTCTTGATGAGTTCCGTAACACCCTGTATGTAAGGAATAACAGCAAAACCAGTCGCTGGTTCCCTTTCATCAAGAGCGTTATTTTGTAACTGGTTTTTGGCAGTTATGGAGAAAAGTTTTTGTATAGCCATTTGCCTTTAGGACATTGGAAACAAATTTTCTCTCCTCAGCCTTCGAATCGAGTGAAGATGGTAGACAGTCAGCCCTCCTAAGTAAAGTTTTGGCTACAGACTTTTTATGGCAAATAGGGTGGTGAGAATCAAAAGCGAGGTATTTGTCAGTGTGGGTAGGTTTACAGTAGACACTTGTCTCTAAATTACCCTGAACCCCTCTGGACACATTTAATTCAAGAAAGGGCAAATGTCTATCCTTTTCACGCTCAAGGGTGAATTGGATCAACAGCTCTACTGAATTCAAGGATACCGCAGAAATAACATCATCGACATATTGTTCCAGAAAAAGGGTTTAACTGGAGGAGGTTTTAGAAGATAAATTGCTCACTTTGCAACTGGAAACATACTTACATTTTCCGGAAATCTGCAGGTTCCAACAAGGACACTGTGTTCCCAGTCTCCAGGTGAGTCACATTCACAATCACTGTTGGGTTTGGATATCCTGGTTTGGGATATGCAATCTTCCGTATTGAGGTATATGAATCTTTCTTATCACCATACCAAGGAAACTGATACAAGATCACTTGAGTGTCATCAAACTGAATAAAAGCGATGTACGTAGCCTCGGGGGAAAAGTACAGGGCATGGTCAGAGTTGAGTACCTCCTCTGTAAAAAGGCAAAAAATAACCAAATGTTTAAGTGCAGGAACTAACATAACTAAGAGAACTTAGGAGAACCACTTTTAAAAGTGTACTACACAGTGAATCTCGACCATGCATTACTAAAATCAGCTGTCATACCTAGCTGAAAAGAAATCTCAAGCTTTTTTAAACTGATAAAATAATGAAAGCCTCAAATATCAGTAGTTGTTGAAGGTGGTATAAAAAAAAAAACAACAACAACAACAACAACAACCTTAGTTATCATTATATAGAATGACTATTCACATGAAAAATTATTCTCTGGTTGTAAATTGTAAACTGAGCTTTCACCATAAAGCCTTAAAAAACTTAACTCAAACTAAATAAATTTAAAGTGCCTGTCACCCTTTTGTGACAGTAGTCTGATTTCCTACTGAGTCAGTGTTCTCCCCAGGTATTTTGCACCAGGCAGACCACCTGGCTTGATTCATTAAAAAATCATTGCTGCCTGGCTTAAAACTGAGTAAACATTACATAGTTTAACATTTGGAACTGGGATCCTGTCTATTGGTAAAGAAAAAAAAAACACTCAATAAAGATACAGAAACATTGCCTAGTGTTTTTTTCGTTGTGATTTCTCCAAATTGAGGTGTTAGCTCATTTACCCTTTGTGATATCATTCACTCATTTTGTTGAATGGCACAGTTAGCCATACATTCCAGGACACTTAAAGGGATATTACATGGCACACTATACTAAATTTGGTAAAGGTAAAGAATCTGATCCTACTGACGTATCGACCAACATGTCAGCCGACTGTCGACCGACTGTCGACTGACTCATTGGCCACCATTTATCCTTCTAATGTACAAGATGCATTGGTGGTGTGTCAGTGGTGCGTCAGTGACTTTCTTTGGGCCTCATATGTAAAGCAATGCTAAACCTTCCTTTTCCACACTAATCTGTACCATCTTCTTTGGAAAACTTTCACTTATGGTATGAAAATGAATGACAATGGCCATGCATTATACCATGGCCATTGTCATGGTTAACCTGGAGCCCAATTTCAATTGCTCCTTTATTAAATTCAGGAGTCTTTTTGGCTGATAAATAAGTGATAGTGACAGTCACAAACCTTGATACACCCAATCTGGGATGCCATTAAAGATCTTGTGTTCCACACCACTATCAGTCAGCCGCTTGACAGATGACCTGGGTGACTCCATGTAATAAATGTCATTTTTATACACAAATGCCTGAAATCAAATTTTAAATGCAGCTTGCAGTTAGAGTTTGTTTTCATACAAAAACATGTTCATCTGAGTCTATAAATAAACCCCACCTTTCCAATTAACAAGTGAAAGGCATGCAAGGAGGCACAATTTTCCCAATCTGATTCATTTTTGTGTGTAAATTGGTCAGTCTTGAGTGCCATCAATTTGTTTCATAAATTTCCAACCAATTGCCATGAAACCAGAGAAGGATTTGCTCATGGGAAAAACTTTTTTTTTGGAGAAAAAATTGTTAATTTGGCAGTATGCTCCATTCCCATCCTCTTTGTTTTGTTTTGTTTTGTTTTTTTAAGTTTTCATATCTGTTAGAAACATTTGCCACCATTTGAGAGATCTTTAGAGAAAGGGGAGAGTAAATCTTGATAAGAATTGACAAGTGTACAATGTAGGTCAGAATATATCATCAACAGCACTTGGAGGAAGTTGTTCTACATGTTAACAAATACCAATTATATAATAAGCTCAGTTATGCACACATTCTGATTGGTTCTCACTTATGATCTATTGGAGGACAGACGTATAGATGACATCATCATTAAAACTTTTTTTAATTCTTTATTATACAAAACAAATAGATTCCAAGTTGCTGTGCGTCTGTTCAGTAATAGATCACAGAGGACGTCAAAATGCAGTACAAACATCAGTGACACACTTGGCTGCACCTCGTGTGCCACATTTTTGTTCTTACCACATTTTGACATCATCGGTGATCTATTACTAAACAGACGCATGGCAACTTGGAATCTATTCGTTAAATTAATCACTGTACCAAACTACTTCCACTCTCATCCCACGTGGCATATTGTATTTTCTTGGCATCTTCTCCTTTCCCAGGATCAATTTGAATAATATCTCTGCAGATAAAATGAATTGAATCCTAGACTCAAATCAACTAAAGAATGAAAATACCAACAACATAAAGAAAATGCTGATGGGTGCCCAGATTTACTTTAAGTCTTAGCTAAATGTACATCCTAAACTTGTTGTTATCAAAGATAATTATTGCTTTTCATTTATTTCTGCCACTTTCAAGTTAGGTGGCTAACAATTCAAGAAAGAAATACATACCTATTCACGAGATCATACACATAATACTTTGCAAAAAATGAATATCTGTATTGCTAAAAGAAAAAGGAGGAAAGAAAGAAAGAAAATGAAAAAAGATACAACAACAAAGTTAAAACATCAATAAAAACCCTTCTTTTTCACACAACTGTTGGCTGAAGAAGTGTGGTATAATACCAGTGTGGTAATTAATTACCTTTAAATTAATAAAGATCAACTCATAACTTATGGACAACTGATGTGTAACTTACCTGTAATTGATCTTTAATATAAAGAATGTATCTTCTGTCAGGTGAAAACCAATGTTTGTGGATCCCCAATTTTCTCTAAAAAGGAAAATTTATTGATTTGTACAACACATATTGTCAGAGTTAAGTTAACTCAGAGTTAAGCTAAAAGATCATGAAGCAATATACAATAATATAATTAGCTTAAGATTTTTCACTTATACAAAACCATCATCTGATTGGCTGACTTGATAGTGCACAAGGCTGCAAGGCAAGTTTTTGGGATCTACTGAACCAGCAGGAAGTATTATGCCTTTTTCAAAACTTTTGGCACATGGTCGTCAAAGTTTGGTTGAAATTCCAGATGTTTGTGCTACAAAGTTGACAATTTTATTTTGTAGTTGTTAGTCAACTTGAAAACCTGGAAAGCATTTGTAAATTTCAGACAAAACTTTGTTGGAAAGTTACAAGTTTGTTGCAGGTGAAGTTTACTATCTTTTAAGCATCCTTGCTTTGGTAAAAAAAGACAGCCCTTTACATTGCAAGAAAAAGCAATTCCAAGTTTAGTCAGGCAGAATAATATTTTAAGCTGCTTAGGAGAGAAAAAACCACCCCAAATTTAAAGACTAGAACTAAGACCAAACCAAACCATTGCAAAAATTTTTAATGTTTTCTTAAGGGAGGGGATACTGAAGTTAAAAGGAAAGAAAGAAAAATCAAAAAACCAATAATGATGATGTTATTAATATGCTTGATACTGTTGGAAGAACAAAGCCCTGAATCAAAGCGGTGAGACCAAAAATGTACAGTAGTACACTGACAAGCTGATACTCATAATTATAAATAAAAACTCTATTTCATTGTCAGATAAAATAGCAGTGTGCCACTAAGAAAGGACAATTGTTTGTCAAACATTCTGTGAAATGCACTGTAGAGGACAGTAACTAATGAAGTCTAAATCCAGCTCAATTACAACACAAGTATCTAATAATCACCTTTGTATCAGCATCTAGTAAAACAACTGGTTTATTCATGGTTAAATCTTTTAATACAAATCCATCTTGTGTGGAAGTTATGTATTTATCATCTGTAATAAAACATAAATTTGTAAGTCAAATGTTGTTATAATGGACTCTCTGTACAACCTATTATAACCTTAAACCTATAAAACCTGCATAAGCACCACCTGAAAATGATCAGGGATGATGTTTAAGGCATTACAAGTCCACTCTTAAATATTTTGTTTAATTTATGTTATGATGAAGTGCAAATATAATGTGCACTGTCATTGGTTGAAACAGCCTGCTCTATCAGAGTATAGAACATAGAGCAAGAAAGCGAAAGCTGTCACGCCATCTGCCAAATTGCACTATGTCCCACCATTTCCTGGACTTTTCTTAAATAAAAATCAAACACAGCTAATGCTAGTGTAGTATATTTAGTTTCATATTCAAAAACAAAACAGGAATGGTGAAAAGTACAGCCAAACTGGCATAACTGTGAAATTCATACTAATCATGATGGTGTCAGAGTGACTGCAATAATGCTGAGGTCCATCACAGCTAGCTCATAATGGCAATCTCCCATCATTGCTATGAAACACGCCTCAGAAATTACATCAGCCACTTTGCGAGTAAACAACCAAGAGTTTTCTCTGATATCCTTTCCAATGCCTTCAGCGGAAGGCCACATCAGTCACAGCAGCCAAGTTTTATGGCACTGTCATCCCAAGAAATCTTAGGAGGCAGTTTAAGAGCACTCAAGAAGTGGGGAGAAACACTTGACTATGTCTTGTGTTTTTTCCTATACTTCTTTCATGCTCTAGCTGCATCCTGCGTGCTTTACAATGGAACAAAGCGCAGTCAAGGCTTCTTTATTTGTTAAATATTTTGACAAATTCCAATCAAAATAAAACATAACCACACTGCCCACAGCGTATACCTAATATGTTTCTCTTTCAGTAATAGGATATGGTTAGTCATTCACATGGAGAGAGAGAGGAGTCACTTCACTGACAGGATGAAACACTAGTTACCTGGACTCATAACATAAATCAACACAGAAAACCTCAGAAAAATATTTTGTTCAAACATCAATGAAATGTTTCAAGTTGTTTCATATAAAATGACTTGTGACAACAAAATTAATGAGAATTCTGTAAACAGTTGTCTGCAAACCATTTCACACATCCTTACTAAACCAAAATCAACCGTCTGTGAGTAAATTATTAACAAACAAAATTGCTAATGATGATCAAATAATGCTCTGGTTGCAACAGAAAGCACAAATGGCTCAAGAATGCAATGAATGTCGTTCTGCAACCACAATCACTCATAGCTGAATTATCCTAATAGAACCCTAACTGCTCATTGGTTGAATGTCTACTTGTTCCAATTTTCCTAAGAAAATCATCAATATCAACCCGAAGATTCTGAATAAAGGAACATCATCTTTCAATCTATTGTTTCCCACATTACATGAAAAATTGTTCATGGTAGACTCTTTGGTTGGGTCTCATATTTCAGCCTGTGGTAAACGTCCTCGCAACACTAAGTTCTCACTTTAAAACAGAGTCTTTGGCTTCAATTTTATATTGACTTGTACATTTTGTACATAAATTCAAATGGTTTAAAATTTTCATCAAATAGTGCAACATATATGTGTTCTTGTAGATCCAGGATGGAAAAGGACTGCTTGACACTTCAGTGAAGATTAGTTCTTTAATGCCATGGGTGGACAAGGAGCTTTTTTGTGATTTGTTTAAATATACATTTTCTGACTCACTTTTGAGTTATTGAAAAAAAAAAACAAAACAAAACAAAAACTCTATGTTAGCATATAGAGTGGTATGTGTATCTGGCACCAATCAGATCGCCATATGAGGGTATGTATCTTGCACCAATCAGAGCGCCGTTTTTGTTCTTTGGTTTGAGGGGTGTTCAAATTTCAAAGAATTAGCGTGGGATTCGTAAAATGGAATCATCAGTTAGAATAAGAAATGCTGCTTTTCTGTGTTTTTAACATGTGTTTTACTGCACTTTATGACAAATGCAATACTACTGGATGGATGAAAGACATCAGCTTACCTATCGTAAATGTGTTTCTCATGCTGTGGAAATGGTGGATGGTTGTTCAAAAGAAAATGGAGTTCTGTGCACTGTAGCATGATCATGGTTATTGTTCCTTCACAACGAGAGTAAGTGGAAAAATTTTCAATCAAATATTGCTTGTGGTGTTCATGAATTGCAACAAACATTTTGATTTTCAGCAGTTCTTTAATGGCAAGCTGTGTTGCAAGATTCGTGATTTGTTAAGTGTGCAAATTATATTTTTCTGGATTGGTTTGCTTGATGCTATCTCTAGATGAATGTCTGATTAAAATTAACAATGGGCGATTTTGTGTGGCTCCTATGAAGCTTTGTCCCCTCATGTGACATTGTGTTTGATTGATATGCAATATTAAGGGGTGTTTTCATTTAACAATGATTTTCAACAAAAGATGGTTGAGTTCTCTCTTTAATGGTTTAATTTGGTTGCAGTCAATTTCATGGTGCATTTCTCTTGGATCAGGTCTTTCGATGTTAGAAGTTTGAACAGTTGTAAGCCTATTGCAAGGTGGATTTTGTGTCATTATTGGCTGTTGAGGGAAATTGTTTGGCTGTTTCAAGGGTAATTTTGAGAACACTGGACAAATGGAAATTTTTTCAATGCCTGGAGAAAGTGATCTTGTGGATTCATTTATGTTTTGGCAAGGGCGAATTCAGATACCATCATTAGCATGTTTATTTGAATCTGTTATCTGGAATGATAATAATGATAGAGGTAAGGTAAGGTAATATGATGTGATCTACTAACGTTGAAAATATTTCAAGTCAAAGGAACAGTTTTGGTCTCAGTCCACATTTTAGTCAACAAAATAAACACATACCGCTTAAAAAGACGATAATACAGACCACATGCAAAGCTGTCAATTGTTTCTTGAATATTGCCCTTGTTACCGTAATTTCTGGCCATTTACCTGCATGGCCAATTACCCTCACCAGCCAATTATTGCATACGGCTAAAAAAAAAGTTAACAGATTACCCGCACTGATGGATAACCCGCATGCTATGTTATTCAACTTTATTATTTCAACATTAAGGTGATACATTTCAGTCTTTTAAAAGTTGTCTGATCTAACTTTTGAAAACTTGAAAGTGTCTTTGTCAAGTTTAAAGGTCAAAGAAATTAAGACATGTGCACAATTCTGTGTCAATGTTAGCATGTATTTTATTGATAAAATTATACAGTAAAAACACTAGTGGCCCATGCTCAAATCTCAACATATCATACTTAACAAAATGCAAATTTGTGGGCACATTTTGCGCAAGCGATCGTTCAGCGCCTTTTTGAAGGCAAAAGTTGAGTGTTAAAACTTGAATTATAAAGTACTGTCGGCAATTTCTGAAAAAAATTGACATCTCCGGTTCTATTGGGCCTAACAAGTCCCTTAAAACAGGAAAATTCTCTTTAGCTCAAGCCAGTGTTAAATGAAAATTTGTTACTGATGTGATGGATATCTTTGGATTATTTTTGTCACCATCAAGGTTTTGTTTTCACGCATGCCGATAGCAATTTGTTTGTCATGCAAATAATTATGCATCATGTTTTAATGCCGCTTTGTGGCACTCTTAATACAATAAAATTCATTTGAGAGGTGGAAATGCATGTTGGTGATAATTTTTTTCAATTCTACTAGTAGATTTTGAAATTGTCACATAACCCACACCTCCCTATTACCTGCAGTGGTGCACGTTTAATGCAAAATCAACAGATTACCTGTGGGTAAACAGCTGGAAATTACAGTAATATTCAATAGTGACATTTCATTTACACCTACATCTACATCTACTTTTATTAAGTTGGTAAAATCTGTACAGACATCACACCAGCCAACTTGCACGCAAAGTGATAAGACTATATGAAGGCTTGAAATTATATTAAGAACAATTTTGATCAAGAAATGGACCAGGAATATTCCACAATAGTGCACATACTTGTGAAAGCTGATCACAGAAAAGTGATTGCATGACGCTCAGTAAGTTGTAAGATGACATGTTCTCACATACCAGACGAAAAAAAAAACTTTTCATTCTCAGTCTGCATTTTGTACCCACTCTGCAGTCTGCAGTCTACATTTTGTATCCGGTCTGCACTCAGTGCATTCTGCAGTCTGCAGTCTACATTTTGTACTAACAGGTATCCCTGGCGACAGTACAGTTTATTTTTGGTTACAGTTACTTGCACAACACACACAATCAACCCCAAAATACCTGTGTGTGAGTTAATTCAACATTTTTGTTCTTTTCCATGTTAATACTCTTTCCTTTTGTAAAAATGTAGACATCACTTAAAATGTTTCAATTAATCCACCCACCCAAAAATATAACTCTTGCATGCATAGCATGCCTATGTTTAATTTTGTAGAATTTCATTTGAACAAATGGGTATTGCCTATGAATTGACTGCAGTGTGTTTACTTCATTGTGTAATTCACAAACAAAAGTGCACATGGGAATAAGAAGACCACTCCTCATGCACACCATCTCTTTGACTCCACAACTTAATTTAACCACATAAATTAATATGTTTTCAAGACTCCCACTGTAGGTTGATTTTACTAGTATAAACCAAATGACAAAACAATAAGGGCTGCAAAAATTGCTTTAAGATAAATAAGTCAAAATTAGTCAAAATCCAAGCAAATCCCCCATTATCCAATGAGTACACTATGTATAATTAAATCAAGATGCTCTGGCTTGCCAGTCTGAAATAGTCCCACAAGTACCAGGCCTATTATTTTCAAATTGTCTTATGACCAGGGCCTTACTTAATAAGCTACATTTTAAGTAAACTTGAATTAGTGAAGTTATAATACTTGATAAATAGATTAAAACTCACCATCTACCCAGTCACATGAATACATTGCTGGAGAAAAACGACCACTGAAAATATCTTGAAAATGAAACTTATCTGCACTTCGAACCATTTTAGCTGGGAAAGATTCACCTTTACCTAAAGAGATAAAAAGAAACAGAAATGTGATTATTGAATATAACATGCACAGTATAATAAATTCCTCTTACAAGTTAAAAGATTCCCAGAAGAAAGCTGTTGTGAAGAGAAGTACATTTGACGGTTCTTAATACAGTGTCTCACAATTAAAGTTTTATTATTAATTAATTATTTAAATTCTTTGTTTTACTTTTAAAAACATAGAATTGTTTCTACCTATTTCATACCCCTGTGCATTGCAATGGAAATGTTTGTAAATACCAATTCAGATATCTCTCATGCATGCTCACTGTGTACAGCATGCCTGGTCATCTCATCTTGTTTACAGTTACTCTTTGTTAAGATCTGCCACTCTGCCTTAACTTAACCTCCTTGCAGTTTTGGGTCCTAGGAGAGATGGCTCTCCATCTTTCAAAACACATTTCAATATTGGGTTCACTATTTCTGTATCTTAAAACATGTATCATTTGCATAGATAGAGACAAGTGACCAAGCCTTTTTACCAATTATTCACACTTTTCTCAGACTTGTACTTCCTCTACCATTTTTTTCCAGCTGAATTACCAACCAGCTATAAGTGTTTATCAGAGTGTATTCATCATACCATATATCTACTTAATTTCCAGACACTTGTCAGTCATGTTGATTGGCCAAAAAAATACCAGCAGTCATGTCTCATTTCTAACGTACCCACCAAAATATCAAAAATATCTATTTTGAAGTATTGGCCAATAAGGACAAAAATATCTCCTTGTATGCTCAAAAACTAATTGCTAAAGAGTATTAGGGTGTTCACTGGACGCATTTTCACAGGATGAAATTATTTCTATTTGACAGAAAACTGGACATGTGAGGCTGACAAGGAGAATGTCAATGAAACCTCCATATATTGTTTTTAGCAGATGTCACTCCCAACTCCATTTGGGGATTTTTTGTTTATGGGTGTGTGTGTGTGTGTTACTGGTCATGTGGCTGTGGACTTGAGTTTTCTTTGCCAGAGTTTTCAGCTTCAAGCAAACAAGTCAGAAAGTTACCAATTCTTGTGCTTTACCATTAAAGAAACCATTGGAGCCTCTTGCCTCATGACATTTCAGACCACATGCAAATTCAACACAGGAAAACCAGTGTGCCAGTGATGGGAAAAGATTTATGATATTCTGTTGATGTGACATTTTGTTGGCCAGCTAAAGCTGTGCACAGGCTTTTGTAAGTTGCAAGTTTTCAAAATTTGCCTTGAGATGGATTAAGGCTTGTACTCTTATTATGTTACATTCTTCTCCACATGTCTTGAGTGTGAAAACAGTTCTGGTAATTAGCATTTTGAGTTCCATTCAAAACGAATAGGGCATACGCTCACACTTCAGGTGAGGGATCTCTTGAAGAATTCAATGTCACATACAACAGCGAAGCCCATACTTATTGGTGCCTGAGTAAATTGATAAAATACATCACCATTGGGGGAAAAATACTGTTAGTCTTAGACATCTGCGGAAGTCATTTAATGCTAGAAGACTACAAATAAATTGATAATTAAAAGTACATTCAGATGCTGGAGCAACAATAAAAGAAATAAAAAGTTACTATTTCAGCTGATAAATGTGGACCGTCAGTCACCCTGGAATTTATTTTTTCTTATTTTTTGCAGTATAAGCAGACATTTAGCACATCCCTGTTTGACAAGTAGCACCATGACATAGATGTTCCACTTGTCAGCACATATTGTATATGTTCAATCACCAAATGGAGAAAAATTGAGAGAAACCTTGTAATCATAAAATTCAAAGCATTTTACAATATATTTTTATCTCATGATTTGGAAGATGATAACACTTGCTATGAATAAGGAATTTTAAACTTCTTTTGAGAGTAAATCTTCCCATCCTACACAACAATTGAAACAGTACTGTAATTGTGGGTTCATAGCAGATGTTGATTGATGTGATATCTATTTGACCTATCAACTGATGTAGATGTTTCTGTGTTATTCATGCAAACCTATGAACCCTCCTGGCAACCACAAACATCTGTGTTCACCTTTTTCCTGACAACAAGCCGCTACAATATTTCATGATTTAACTGCTAATCATTTCCGCAATTAATGTGAATATATCAATTTTCCCACTTATTAATTTGAACGCCCTGTCCATGACCAATCAAAATGATCACAAAACCAGAGTCTTATTCAAACAAACTCTCATCCTGACTAGACAGTATCTTTTAACCACCCCTTATTTCGAGTCTCATATATCTATACCTAGTTTTACTATGGTTTCTGCTAGGCGATGGTTTCTACTACTGGTGATTCAAACTCTTAAATGCTCTCTCTTCATAAAAAAGAGTTTTCTTCAAAGCTTCCATGATGTGCTGCTGTCAGTTATCAAATTTTCCACAAAGACTTTTTATAATGCGTTGGCAAGGGGCCCTTTTGAAATGATTGTGAGATATTTATTGTTGTCTGTGGCATCCTGGTAAGAAAAATATCTTCCATTTTACTAGATATAATTCCCTGATTCAAACTAAAAAATTCTCTCTCTTCAACTACAACAATTTTCTTCACAGTGTCCAGGATGTGCCAATCTCACCAAATAGTTTTTTTTACTATGAATATTTTTGTTTTTATCACCTGTCCCCTTGTAGCATCACAGCAAGCATGAAAACAATTATTTCTTCAGTTCTATTGAAGCAATTCTCTAATTAATGGTTGCTAAGGTACGCTGCTCATATCTACTTGATAAGACATATCTACTAAGTACTTTCACTTCATGTGGCTTGCTTTGCATATTTTCAGAAATTTAAGAGTCCCCAATTAGTGGTTTTATTTTTTATATGTACAATTTTTTTTAAGCATGTGATGAAATTGGCTGGTGAGCAAAAACTATGATAAGTTAGCAGGACTAAAGACTACAGCAGTGAACAAACAAACACAAGAAAGAATCAAGACAATCAACGGACAATCGGTGCAGCTTAACCACTAGTTTTCATCCAAATACAATGCCCATTGAGATAATCAATGATCATACTACAATAGAGAAAACAATTGGCTAACTCATACCTATTAATTATTCAATTGCCCTTAAGAATAGATGCATATGCTTATCTGTCAATACTAGTAAACATAGATTTTTAGGCACACACTATCAGTGTTTTATGTGCTCTTTCTATTTTGGTCCCCTTATCTTGAGCTGTATATAACTACCAAGCAATTTTGCTTGTTGAGTTTTGTTTTTCATATTTTTAGAAATTCCGGAGTTAAATATAGGGCCCCCAAAAATAGGTGGTTCAGACTTTTAGACTTGACTCTTAACAAACTTTTTTTTTCCCCAAGCAATACATTATTCAGGAGTTCAATTATAAAAATGCAATACATGGAGCTTGCAGTACAGCCACATTATCTTGATATGTGTGATGGGCAGTCTTTTGTGAAAGTTGTATTAAGTTTACTTAAACTTGCAACATAACCCTTGTTGAAAATTTAAGAAATCCTAGCTTTTTACCTTAAATTTGCATATCAAGTTGATATAGATTCACATGCAAGTTCATGATATGCTCAAATGTTATCAAGTTCTGTCATACTTTCTGAATACATGACACTGCTTAATGGCTGTCACCAATTTAATCAACCCAGAAAAAACTCTTCGAAGATATCTGCCCCTTAGTTCGTCTCAAAACTTAGATCACTCCTGCTGTAGATCACTTCTAATGTGCATCACTTCTGACGTGGATTGCCTGAAGGATCAACACTGAGATAAACAAAGGAAATGACTATTTTGCAAGACATATGATTCTCCTTCACTTCAGGTGTATTCACAATGATTATTACCAGCAACCTTTTTGACCGCTTCGAGTCATAAGACTACTATTCCTAATTAGAAATCCATAAACAAATTTTTAAAACTTCTCAACTTCTATAATCTTCACTCTATGTTATCATTATTCATGAAAATAATGAATTGCTGCAGAACACCCCCAACTTTATTTTGTATGAGCTATGAATATTCATATCTCAGCCAATTTCAATTGATTTAAGGCTGAAGTTGTCCCAGAAACGTCTTTCATCTTTTACTTCTGTATCTTTGTCCCTACTATGTAATGTAAAAATTAGCTGTAATCACTTTTTCTCTCAATAAAATAAAGTTAATCAAGTTTTTGGCTTCTATTTCTGTGTTCAAATCAAATTTACATAAACATAAAAGTTTTCAAAATCAAAAACTTCGTGACCAACGACTTTCTCGCTGATCACTGGTAAAACTAAAAAAATATGATGCAAAAAATACCAAATACTTCCCTTTCATTTTTAAAAAAAAAAACCACAAAAAAGAGGGATAGACGGAGCTCATAATGAACCGTGATATGCTGAACAAAATTCTTCTTCACAGAAGCGATGACAAAAAATAGATCCCAAAGAATTGTGTAAAGGCACTGTAAACTAATTTAACACCCCCGAGCCCCCCTTAACAAACTAATGTTATTTCGTCTTTCAGAAATGGTAACCTATCCCGGGAAAAAACCACAAGCTGCGGGTGTTGGTTAAAAAGTACTGTATAGATTCAACCAAACATGAAACTTTACAGGTAACTTCGCTAGGTGGGTTGGTGTCTTCCACTAGATCGAACTACTTTTCAGGGAACATTTTCACTCCCCGCTTACGGGATATAAAAAGCCTAGCCATAAATTAGAAAAGGAGGACAATTTAAACCACAAATGACTATTCCCTCCTACAGCAATAACTTCATCGACGAAGACAATCGAAGAGAAGGGACTCTTCCGTGTATTTCGATCACAAGTGAGTGCGTGAAAAGATCAACTTACAAAACAGAGATCAAGCCGAAATAAAATGCCCCTGGTAAAACAGAGTTAAAGAATAGAAACAGAATACGCCATTAACAAATCAAGGTTGGAATAACAAGCAAAATTTGAAGTTACACAATTGCAAATTTCTTGATGAACACCTGGCTCTGATCTTCTGAGCGATTCAATTAGCGCGGCACTATCGTTAGGTAATGCAAAACACTTTCTAAAAGCGCTGAATTTCGCATCCTAACTCAAAGATTCTCCGTCTATAACTAACGCTTACCAGAATATAAAGACACCATAACTGTTCCTACTACTAACGCTACTGCTACCGCTGTAATTCCAAAAAAGATCACCAAACTCTTCCGATTTAGACGGGAAGACTGAGGACTCTCGGACTCGTGTTCTTCATCGTTCATCAGATGCACTTGCTCTTCCGAGCCACCAGAAGCGTTTGAGTAATGCGTCGTCATTTCTCGATACTTTTGGAGATTTCCCTCCCCTTAATTCCAGTTTTGGCCCATCGATGAAGGTAAAGTAGCTCTTTAATCCGCCGCCCCCTAACTATTTTGCGTTCAAGGTCTATCCAAAACAAACTTTTCTTTGACTCTCTTGAGATGATTAACCCGTGATTTGAACCTGCGAGAAAAGAGACCAGCGGACACTTTCATGTTTGTGGCATTAGGTCAATCCATACACCTGACGTCAATCAATCCATCGAACGATATGCTGTTTGAGCTTGGTTTGAGTCAAATTTTTATAATTTTTTTGGACAAAAGCAATCACTTCTTTATTTTCGAAAATATTTCGTTAGAAAAGTTTTCCTTTGGAAACGAAAAATATACACCATTGACTTAGCTCTTGGCCTTGTAGGCCCGGATAGCCATCTAACCTGAATAACCTATTAAAAACGCTTATCAAGTTGTATCATATACCTCAACTTCTGTCCTTTCCAGAGGTGGCCGTGAAGGGAACCTCAAAAACCGGCAATATGGCCACGCCACTGATTACGTAGAGAAAGGAGATCAGAGAGAGCACAGAGATTCTTTTTATGAATCACTTGATGGGAGACGTCTTGGCATGATGGTTGACAGTAATTTTGTATTGTTTACTAAAGTCACACTACCCTCCGACTGCTTCCACTTTCTCAGAAGTATACGTGAGTACCAGCCAACTGATAAGAAAAATAAAGAAGAAGCTAAAAAGTAATGTGCGATTGAATAATATGCCATTGCGAGAGGGTGGGGTTTGCAATCCTGGTAATCGTTCCATGCTTGGGAAACTGGAATAAACTCCGGCTCGATGAATAACTAGGTTCGTTGACTGATTTTACCTTGTCATGTATTATTAGACGATTTTGCAATAACCAGCTAAGATTTTATCGAGTAAGAGTTATCACCGTGAAAGACCCAAACATTCCGACAACAATACATTGATCCCCAGTCCATGGACTACCCTGATAGACTGCCCTGAAGTGGACCAACCCTCTGAGTCTTCTGTCTTCGTTAGCCACAACATACATCACAAAATTTAAGCGATTATTTTAAACATTCAAAGTCTTTCATTTGAAACATGACTTGAAGTCATGATCCTTCCCTTAATATAGGTCTTAAAGTAATCTTTAATCATCTTTCATTCTATTTAAAATAGGTTCCATGGTGCCGCGGTACTTAGTAATAGATCACAGATTACGTCAAAACGATATGTGAAGTGTGTTGAAATTTATCGCATTGACTGAAAAAAATAAAGAAGGCACTTGCATGATATAAGTATAGACATAGCATTCCTTTCAATAGTACTCTGATTTCAAAGAGGATTTTTCAAGGCACTTCGGGGTAGTCCTTTGGCGTAGTCCATCGCGGTAGTCCATGGACTGGGGGTCAGTGTTTTCGCACGAATCCGCATGACACAAGTGATTAACATCTAACTTCTCCCTACGATATTCAGACATCATCCAGCAGATGGGTAATGAGAAAGCTGAAACCTACCAGGTAGAAGTTGTTGTTGTGATCTAACACCAAATTCTTGTAACTAATTTACAAGGAGATGTGCACGTAGAGGGCACAATTGACAATTAGATCTTGGAAGTGTCTAAAACTTTATAATTTGTTACAACGTAAGGAAAAGGCGCAAGATATGCAGCAGTCGAATTCTGCAAATATTTCGTGCATGGTACATTTGTCCAATTTTATACGATGTACTCAGGTCTCTATGAAATGTGATTGCTGACCAAGCATTTACTGGCTCAATAGCTGCGTATGGTTAATTTTGTGGGTGACCTGGAAGTAAATACCCGAGATGTTAAAATTGGTTCCTGTGGGATTAATTGATCATTAAATGCTGTGGAAACATTGTTCTAGGTGATTTGTTGCATTTATTTTCATTCTCCTGGTTACTAATCATTCTAAATGATCTGTGCATATGTTAGTGACGAAATTTTAAAGGTTTCAATCTTAAACGTGCAGAAAACTTTTCATGACCAGTCGCATGATTCGGATCAAATCTTGGAGAAATCTATCATCACTTGCCGGGACATTCGCCAAAAAGCACGAACACGATTACACTAAACTGATTACGGCCTTACCTAAAAAGAGTCCCATTGTTGCGATGGACCTCCTCCGCGCTACTATTTCTAAAAAATGTTTGTAAAATTTTATTGAATTCAACATAGTTGCAGCAACAAATCAAGAACGAGGTAGCTTTAATATCCTCGGTATCTTGGGTCGGAAGTAGCAGAAAAGATTGAGTTACAGTATCATCCAAATCATTTACAAGGTAAGGTGAAGATCTTGTTTGTTTTCTAGGAGCCGAAAAAAAAACCTCATTGTTCGAGAATAAAGAGGTTTTCTTGACTGGATTCAAAACGCTTGAAAACCCTGAGAAAATCCTGGTTGATAATTAATTATTTATAACAGCTGCTATTTCATTCGAATGAATCACCTTGTGTGATGCTGCACACTTAACGTGAAAACCTTCAAGAGTGCACTAAAAATGTCAAAAATTCCACAAAAAACTCGAAGCGCATGTTAGAAACTTAGCAAGTATACTGGACTCGTTGTAGAAAACACTAGAAAAAAAGTAGATTAACGACGGAACTCTTTGTCACGCCAATGTTTTCTTAGCTACACCCGAAGAGGTTGGCCTTCTTCCCTTCTTCCCCAAATGAATAAGACTTGACCGAGAAAAAGTATGCTGTTTGCCAGAAATCACAGGAAATCCTAAGATAGTGAACACTGATTTTATATGACATTCACTTTGAATATTTATATGCTTTGCGCTGAAGTTAGGATAGCATTTAAACCAAATGTTCCCTTCATGATGTGTCTGAGCTAAGCAGATATAACTAGTATCCAAGGAATCAAAGACTCTGCCCTGAGGCTTTTTCTTCTTCTGTAAGGGTTGTTAGCTCTTTGAAATAACTTGAATCTTAAAACAACATTTTCAAACAGCTATCAGTCAGAAAAATTTCATACAAACTCATGGCCTGTAAAGATTATTACATAGATATACTTCAAATGATTGAGTTCATTTCATCACGTTTTCGACGGTGTGGGAGAAAATTCACACATAGATTCGTCGCTTCGTGCTGAGCTTGCAATACATGAAGAGTTCATGTCGTGAATAGAAAGCTTCGTGTTGTTGCTTAATCGAATTATTTTACATGGATGAAACAGAAATTCCCCCCTTTAAAATCCTATCATTAGCTCCTGCCTTTAAGAAGACCTCAGAATCTGTACGTGGAAATATTGGCGTGGTTCTTTCATCGTATTGGAAGCCTGCAATTATTTGATTACTCTGGATTCTTTTTTTGTCAGGCAAGATCTTTAAAACTTAACTCAGTTGTCCGGCTGATCAATTTCAGTTTTGAGGAGGCCTCTGGTCTTTTCTCGTTATTTAATTTCTTTTGGAAAATGTTAAAAATAACGCGTGCTTATTTTATCGCGTGTTCTGAGGCTAGTTACAGTCTGATAGATCATGTGAACTCTTCGCATTTTTATTTCTGACGGTTACGACCGCTTTTAAATGGATACTTTTATGGCAAAATGTTACCTTCTGTAGCTCTTCAGTTGTTGCTAAACTTAAATAGAACCAAAGCCCTTTTTCTGCTTTGATTTTGATGCCCAGTTACTCGGACAGACGATATGGCATGCATGGTCTCAAGTTGCTTTCAAATCATAATTGTTTTGTTTGTCTGTATGTTTTCGAACTTTGTACTTATCGCAAACTGGAATAGATCAGCGCTGGTTTTATTCAGGAAATGGTTACGAAATTTAATTAAGGATGAATAAGTCAGTGTAAATGTTTTTTTTTTCTTTTTTGAAGCATTTTACCATCTTGTGAAACTTCGGATCAAGGTTAATCCTCGGGTTATCCAAATTAAACCTGACCTGTTTTGATTTGTCTGAATGACACAATGTTTCTAAATGAAAACAAATCTCAGATTTATAATGGGAGCTCTCTGAACTATTTTAACACTGCTGCTTCCTAAATGATGGTCGCACAATCCTTGGCACCCAAGTTTCTCTCGTTAAAGACAATCTCCGAGCCATCGTTTAATAGTTATCATCCCAGAAGGACCACACGAAATATCTAGACTGATAAGTTAACGATTATTGTATATAAAAAGTCAATGAATGATGCAATGTATTTTGAGCGTCTATCGAGTTTGTTTGCCTGGTTTGCTTAGAGAGCCCTAAACATCAAAACTAGGAGAAAAGAATGGGAGCCGATGGGCAAAGGTCTTTGAAAAAGAACTCACCCAGCCTATTGGGATCAATTCCAACGACATCTCAAATATTTTCATCTGGTTTCTGGTGATTTTAGCGTTTGTCTTTGGATAAGTTCAACTCTAATAGGACATGTTTAACCCTAATGCACTGTTACATGTTGGGGTCTCTTTAACGGCTAGAAATAAGGTTTGTTTTTTTTTTTTTTGCGTTTATTTTGAACCCCGTTTCTCAAAATAGATGATATTGTACTGGGTCAAGCTGCTCCAGACGATTTTTCTGTCTGAACATTTGCGGACTTTGCACTTCTACAGGAAATGGTTTTAAAATTTGATTAACATTAGAGAAGGTGATGCTCATTAATCAGCGTAAATGTTTTCTCTTAATTTTTTTTTCTAAGTGATTGATCAAATCTTATGAAACTTGGGTCTCAGGTTAGTCTTTAGTTTACTCAAATTTAAAGTAAAATCTTTGTTTTTTTCTGACTCGATAATACCCTCTTCTAAGCGAAACTCAAATTTTGCTGTAACCGGCTTTCTTAGTTATAGGAAAATGTTGTCGCTTTATTTTTCATTTAATCATCTTAACTCAGAAAGACGGTGACACACCCTCTTGCAGCCAAGTTCCACGAGTTCAAATAAATTCCAGATCCCACCCTGGCTTCCAACTCTAAAAAAACGCTGTCCGACTTAGGAGAAGTCGGTGGCACATAATCTGCACTCCTCAACGTATTGAAGGAACTAAATATAAAACAGAAAACCGGAAAACAGGCCAAGATGTTTACTAAAACCAATAAACAAATTAAGGAAAAAAATGGAGTGAACTTTGCTCAAAACCAACAAACCGCAAAGTTCTAGATTAATGATCCGAGTAAATGTGGACATTTAAGGCCACGAATGTAACAAAGCTAAATGTCTAAACAGAGAACTCCATTTTCATCCATAAAAGCCAAAAGGGAAAGTAAGAAAGGGAAAATAGATAAACTGCAATGGGTACAAAACTGAGAATCTTCAGTCGCCTCCTTATCCGTGGAGTGTTTGTCTATTAGTAGTGTCATCCAGTGGAGCCTGAAGTCTCCATTGACTACCCACATGACATACTGCGGCTTTGTGCGAACCACCATTTATGACAGACGAATTTTTTAAAGAAGAAATATACCAGCCTTGTTAACGACAAAGGTATCAAAGATTCCTTTTACGTGGAGCTTACGTAATCAGATCATAACTTACACTGACTCTTATTCATCAAAACTCAGTCATCCATGAAGCTGGCGAGACAAGTCAGTATTGAAGAGTTCTCTTGTTAAAGTACGAGGGCAATGAATGACTAAAAAAATCAAAACAGCAATGGTAGAAATAGCAAGAGACTGTTCTCTCTTGGAAATACTTATTGAAAAGTTCATCATCTTTTGAAACAATGAGAATGATGGGTTATGATACTTCTTTTTTCCGACACTAAGTTCTAAGTTCTAATGCGCTTTGCGATTACGAAACTAGTGCATTTGTAAATGTTTTAAGTTTGGCGCAAATATAACAGTTTCCCCTATTGCAATGTACCAAGGAACATAATTGGATTGTTGAAATTCTGAGGTGAAAAAATCAAGACTTTGTGTCTTGAATTTGATGGGTGGGGCAGCCTAGCAACGACAGGGAGGATGCCAGCAAAATTTTGACGGATGACATCGTTGAATGATGGCTTCCAGATCTGTGGCAGGTTGTCCATTACAAGGAGATCCCTTCAGAAAAGTTAGGATATAGAGATTATTTTGTGGAAAGTGAGTGCGAACAATTTTTTTCGAGTTACGATTCATCAAAATAACGAACTAGCGAGTGCAGCGAACGAGTGAGGTTTTTGATGCATCGCAACGAGTGAATAAGAATCGTTCAAGCATTTTCCATGGTATCATGGGTATGGCGGTATGATGTTTTTAATTCATACATACTGAGATATTTTCTTACTGACCGACACATTTCAAAAATTGGAAGCCATTTGATGCCTTCCAGTGTGAAGTGCTATAATTTTTCTTATCTCTGATTGGACGAACGATGTATTTTCACAGTCGTTCATTCAGTATGTATGAAATGCCTGTTTAAACAATATGAAGACTTGTCTGCAGTGGAACTGGGCGGTCGAGCAAACTCCAGTTGTCAGGTACAAGTCTCGTAAACCGCATGTTCCCAGTCAAATGAATCACTTGGCTTTCAAATACTGATTTATTTCTTTATAACTTACGATGAATTTTGTCTACTCCCATCGCTTTCATACCTTTTGGCTTAGTTGGCACCGAAGATGTTTGGTTGAGTGTTTGCCTTAGTTTAAGATTCGTCCGAAAAATATTTTGTGAATTAACATGGCATAAAATCGAGAACGCCTCTCTAGAATGAATTCCAAGAAGCGTTGATATGTTTCAGGTACGTTTCATTAACACGTTGTTCACAAGAGCAGCAGATTAGATTCAAAGCTGTCTAGATTATTCAAACAGCGGATGTATTATCTCACTGAAAAATTCTTCTTTGGTTGTAACAATCTAGGTGGCGAGTCAAATTAATGTAACCCTTAAACAAGTTAACCCTTTCACTCCCAAAATCTAATCAATAATTCCCACTACTGTCTTCCATACCATTCCCGTCATGTTAGTTTGGAGAACTTGGAATAGGATCAACTAACAATCCCCAAATTAATATTTTTCTTTATTCTCATCACTTGTCTGCTTAAGCTTGTATGACATTGTAACGAGAAATTCTGCTTTGGCCATTCATGGGAGTGAAAGGGTTAAAAATTGTTGTTGTTGTAAAAATTTACAACACCCCGTCAGTCACTCAGCCATAAAGAGACATCCCTCACATATATAATGCCTACATTTCAGTGAAGTCAGTAAACAGGTTACACTTAATCCTAATTAATTTCCACAGAATATCAAATGAATAACGAGAATAACAATTTTTTATGGCGCCACAGACGCTCTTGTTGCTATCAATAGATCACGACTTTGGCTAAAATGAAAATTGCGCACTTCTGAGATTCTTCTGCGGTTCAAAATTTAAAACAGAAAAAAAAACACGATATTATTCGCGTTTTCGGTACAAAATCTCCAAGATGAACGAGTAAATAGGCCTCGCAAAGCAAGTTTAGAAACTGAAAGATGGTCAGACCATTATAATCTCCTAATTGGGTTAACTAGATAAATGACGGTCACTGACATGGATACTGAGGATCATTCAGGGATCTCAGCGTGACCCACCATTGAAGGAGAACAGGTAGCTATTCGGCAAGATAATTGCTTGGATAAATGTTTACGGCAATTAGGGAGGACCCCAAGAAAAGCTAATCACTCAGGCAGCAATCCAACAATGAATATCTTAGTACTGAGATGGATAGAGGGCAAACAGAGTTTGAAAGCTTTAAGAGAAACTTTTTCTCTCCACAAAACTCAAATCATATTTCCCCACTGGCGCACGTTCGTCTTCATTTGTTCCATATCTTGAAGAGCTGGAACCATTTCCACTCAGAATAAATCGTTGATTACATCCACTGTCAATCGTGCTATTTAGACACTTAACACTGGAAAGAAAAAGATCTTAGAATTTGGACTCCCAAATTTACTTGGTCTTTTTTCATCGTCGTCTCCGACATGAATCAATGGAAGTTCCAAAGGCCAAATGACTTTCGTATATTTAAACAATGGAAACTCCGCTATACTAAATTGAGTGAGTGTTGAAGTTAACTCCTTCAGATGAACTTTATTTCAATCAAAGTGAAATTTCATTCAGAGGATACCGGTAAAATTTAGCGTTCATTCAACTTGTCATTCTCTAAGTAAGGTCAGATTCTAGTGTGTTAGTAAAATTTTGAAATACTCTGCTTGGTTTAAGTTTAATCACAGTATTCCGCCTTATTGACCTTGTTTACAAACTTATTATAAATAGACACCAGTAAAATTTTTTAGATGATTTAAGTGCTAGTTTCACCATTAACCTTCCAGTACTGTTATTAAATAAACGGGACTAATTGCTCGATCGATTATGTTTTTCATTGATGTATCGATCGTTTAATGAGATCAATCCTGCCAAACTTATCCGTTGCCGCAGAGGTCATGTTGCTTAGTTCTCCGAATATGCGGGTTCTTTTTATATCTCGGCTAAAGTTCATTCAGCATCCGTCAATCATAGATTAATCAACATAGAGATTACATATTTAAATAAAAAGACGTATAATCTAGAAATTCGAACCTAATTTTTAAAAAAACCTCATCTGACAAGTACGAATCTTTCCTCTCTCTTGGCCAAACAAGGGAGTCGCTTCTATGTCCACTAAAGTTCATTTAGTGACCGTCAATTATTTAAATAGTTAATAAGTAGTGACTACATAACTATATAAGTATTTGGAAACGTTCTATAGCTAATTTTTCATCTTATTTAAAGTAAAAACTCATTTGATAAGTAAGAGCTGGTCGTTTCTCTGCTCGTAAATTCATTTTGAGAAAAACTGTTTCCATCATCGCCAAATTCCAGTACCACGCCTTCTGCAAAGTCATCCGGGCATTGTAGCCCCTCGTTTTTCTGTCCAGCAGAATCTTGATGTCGTCCATGCGCCATTTTTGGGTACTCAGGACCTTCGTCTTTGGTAATATTTCTCTTGAGCTCTTGGTCCTTTGAGATTTGTGGTAACGACAAGGTGCGCGAACGTGTGCCTAAGGATATCATGAAAAAATGTTCATTTGTCAACTCGCTGTGATCAAATAAAGAGAAAGAAAGAAGAACAATTTTCTTCGTCTGTTTACGCACGCAACGGTTTCGAAATTTTTCATAGTTGCAATATGCGCAATCAATAGGACGCTTGTCACCGCTATGAATATTGTAAGTGACCAAGCGGAATGCATCGTCAATGTAAAGACTCCTCTTAAGGACTCGGATTTTATGTGTTCCACGCTCGCATCAAACAAATGAATGACCATTATTTATCTCTTCTCCAACCGAGATCAAAATTGACCATCTTTTTAAATCTATTTAAGGAGTTCTTCATGGCAAGCTAATTCTTCTGATCAATGATAGTAACCCATCTTAAATAATCCTATGTTCAGTGCCATACGACGAAAAGTTGAGAAAAAGCTTTAAAACGCTCATCTGACACGAGAGACAGGTTTTCAGGCTACTACAAAGAAGGACGAACACTGTTCCCGGCGAGGAAGGATTAGAAATAATAACATATCGTTCAAACGGTCAAAAATTCTATAGAGACCCAAAGATGATTTGTCTTAAATAAATCCCGCAAATTTACTTACTTTTCCTTGAGCATGATATGCTCCAGGATCTTGATCTCTGCCTACAAGTCTCACAAAGAAAAAGAGATGCAAACACTCGCCGATAAGCCCATCTGTACCGTGAACTCATTTTTCCGTAAATGATCGGGTTTGCCATAGCGTATATCAGAGAGACCATCCCCGTGAGGAGAACAACAGCTTTACTTGATTGGTGGCCTGTAATCAGGGTAACAATGTTGCTGATCTGAAAATAATGTGAAAACAATGATGTTTTCTTTTCGACAGCATCATGATCTTCAGCTCTAATTCTGACTTATGTGGACCATCAAGAGCAACACTAGGCCAGTATTGACTGAATAGTCTGAATGAAATCGGGAATTTCATATGTCAACTAATGTATAAACTGAAGTCTGATGAATTGCAAAAAAAAACCCATCAGCTGAAATTGTTTTGTTTTACAGACTAACAGCTAAATTTAAGATAGAAGGTGTCTGAGAAAGTTGAACCCTATGAGGTCCTCACCGCACAAGAGTTCAAGAGAGAGATTATTGCAGTTATTGGTACTGCCTTTCTTTTTGGCTTTTGGCAGACGCACCGCAAATAAAAGAAACAAATAACTCAGTTAGGAAGCTGCCATTGCAGTATATCAGTGGTTTTTATTTCTCCATTGTACGTTGACTGGATTGTTTGATTCACGATTGAAGTTTCATGAAGTATGTCTAGTCAATTGGATACTTTGTTAACGGAAATAATTTGTTTTCTCTTTGGCAAAAAAAAAAAAAAAAAAAAAAAAAACGAAACAGAATCACGAATTTTTACCAGACACTTTATCGTTTACAATGTGATTTCTAAGCTGAAATGCTTTGGAAACCGTATAGTAAAGACTTATGACTTAATCTCGATAGCCGACTTCGCTGGGTAGAATTTGTATTTCCAAGTTCAACATTTTAATACTCCAGAACGAAATACTCACCAAAATTGGCAGCCAGCTAATGTAGTAAAGAAAAACAACTAGGGCCATCATAAGTGACAGTCTCTGAATCTCCCTCACTCCATGCGTGCTACTCTTTCGTCTTCTTTTCACTCCCTCGCACCCAGGATCCTCGGAAACTGACCCGCGAGACAAATTCGTCCCGGCACTTTTGTTTTTTGTGTCCATTACTGTTTGTCGCTTAATAAACTGCGTACTCGATGTTTTGATCGCAAAATAACATGCTAACACTAGTGCCAACAATATGAAGGATGCAGATACGATAAGAATAGCATAGGCTTTTCCTAAATGCGTTAAATGATAAAAACATCTACCATCTTCATAACCCGATTTTCCAACTCCTAGGAATGGCAAAGAGGCGAACAACACTGCATTCAACCAAGTGAACATGACAAGTTTTTTCACACGCGAAGTTGTAATTGTCGTGTGATATTTGAATGGAGACAAAATCATAAAAGCTCGTTCGACAGCTATCAGCGTGACCGTCCCAGCGGAGGCAAAGCGAAGCGCATTTACCACCACTATATAGAAGCCGCAGAGAAAGGGAGTCCACCTCCTCTGGACAAAATAGTTCATGAAAATCAGAATTTGAAGAGGGACAGCTCCGCCAATGAAATCTGCCGTTGAAAGGGACAGAAGGAGAATATCTGTAATGACCCATTGTTTTTGAAATTTTATCGACAGCAGCACCAAAAGATTTCCAAGAGCAACTGCCAAAATACCTGCTTCGAGGAATAAGCCAAGTGCTAATGGACTCAGAGAAGTTACTGCATTATCTCCTTCTTCTTTCACCGTAAAAGCTGATGTCGTTATGTTTGTTGTATCGGCATTGGTAACCACAGATGTGGAGGCCATTTGTATTCTCACGAACGCACAGTTTTTGAACTTTAAATCAGTTCGAGGCTCCTCGAACTTCTCATAGCCTTGGCACGCGTCTGTTGGTCAATTAGAGACAGAAGACAGCAATGAATGGTGAGGTTTAACCGCAGGTTGTTAAATATCTTTATGAGAGTCCTTGACAGCTTTAATTGAGTGTAACTTGGAAGTGCCCTAATCTCTTAATCGCAGAAACCAATTTACACGCAGACTGAAAGGTACTCCAACGAAAATAATTTGTTCATCGACGAGCTCTGTCTGGAATCCACACCTTTCGACATCAAAAGGGATCTAAAGTGTTGAATTGCACTTCACTATCTAATTAGTACAGAGCTACGAAAGAGAAAATTTTACATATTGTATTGAGATATGACAAATGCTTTCTTTGTTTTACCCAGCTGAGTGAGGTTCTTTGGGCATTACATAAAGGCAAAACAATATATAATGACGCTTTTAACACTCCGTGAAATTGAACTTTGTAGCTATCCTGTGTTTTCTCCAAAAAAGGTAGCATATGTTATTCTTTGCTTAGATGTAATTGCAATAGCGCGTGCAGATAAAAGTTGTTTTGAAAGCTACTTTGTGTTTGGATCAGCGTGATCTATCTTCCATTGTCGATGAAAATTCCGGAAATAACAGTATTATGAAATTCGCTTTTTCTTTCTTCTACTATCTTCAAAATACAATCAAGTGAATCCACTGCCCACTGTGAATGGAAACAAATTTTAACGAGATGCAAATAATCACCTGCCGGGTGTGAGACCACAAAAGGGATCAGTTACCATGACACCAAAATAGGTGATTTAACATTTGTTTCATTCATACAAAAGGACTCTCATTGTCGATGAGTACTTCTGAGCGAAGTTTTATTTTGGGAGCCTTAATCAGGGATGGAGACCAAAAGTCCTACCTTATTACAAGATTAATTCAGACACATTTTAAGTATCTAGTATGTGCCATTTTTAGAGGCACGCGAACACGGCGTTGCGTGTTCTGCGCGTAGAAAAAAGGGTGCGCCTGGAAACCTTTTACTTTATGAGACCTTAACTTTCTCAGATTTTCTCCGCATGCAAATTCAAGAGGAGAAAATTACATTTCGCGCAGAAATCACCATTACTATGAAAATGCAAGAATAGTTATTGCGGCAAAGAGTGCTGTCATTTTGCGAACAAGGAAATATCTGTGCTAGAATTTTTGCCGACAAACAAAGCCATGAAACTTCCCGGGAAAAACAGTTTTAGTTGTATTTTGCAGTGATTTTAGAATCTACCGATCCTTGCTTTGTTTTCGGATAACAATAGCGTTTAAGTACACACGCTTTGATGGTGTTTGGGTAGCGAAGAATCGAATGTGATTCCAAAAGCAAGAGCTGGACTTAAACTTATCAAATCCATAATTTTCTCGTTTTCTGGTGAAAACGAGAAAATTCTTATATGAAAGACTCCGGAACAGACCGGAAAAAACACTTAACTGCTAATCACTCTTAAATGTATCCGTTATAGATGGTTACTCATCGATCATGCACTTTACTCTTAAGTCAATCGCTATTCCTGCCAGCGAAAGACCAGTTAATCCACTCCACCTAAATCGTTCAGTGCTCCAGATGTTCTAAAAATAGAAAAAGTACTACGAGACGCTAGCGACACGTGTAGGAGTTAGGGCCTAACATAACCAAGAGATATCCACTGAAAAAAAAATGTCCAAATTGTGATACCTAATAAACATCTGGCTCAGTGGGGGAGGAAAAGGGGGAAAATGTGGTTGATATTCGAAATGGCCACATTTAATATTAAGATATAAAACTGCTTCGAAATATGAAAGAAATTATCATTTCATTGTAAGACTGATTTCCCATGTTTTAAACGTTGACATTGCGTAAATATGTGTTATGTTGAGGTTTATTGACTCATTTTTCTTACTTCTTTTTCAGTAGAACTCCGAGTTTTTTTGTGAAACGAGACTTAAACCTGTTCCCCCTTGCTGTCTCGTCCACTCATCGTGGGTTTAAAGCAGCAAGAACTTCAAAACCTTGAACTGCGACAAGTTTGGCAAACAAGTCACAGGATCCAAATAGCAATGAAAGGGCATGAAAATAAATACATTCAATGTGAACAGTGTCGTTCAGTGCAAAAAATTTAAAACGGAGACTCATGGTTATTCTAACCACGTTTCCGTGTTGGTGAGAACGAAAAGATACCAAGAAGCCGCAAAGAATGGAAATTTGTGATCAAAAACACTTTCGTTTCTTTCCAAGTTGAAACTGGGTTAACGGTTTCTGTAGGAATCTAATCTAGGAACAACAGATCTTTTACCAAGCTGATTAAATCCTGAGGCACGCTTCCGAGTAGCTTAACCCTGGGTTAACAGCCTCTTCAAAGATTCCATGTATTGTTGTATTGTCCTCATATTTGAGAAAATGTCAATCATCACCCCGATCTAAAAAGTCGCAAACTGTATGCCTTTGGGCGTGGTTATGGCGAACCTCATGGACGGTTTTCATAAAAAAGGCTTATAGTGGCTACGACATACTCAACTTTCAATTTTTTTAAAGCTACCGCTCTATTTTACCATGCCTCTATGTCCTGATACAAATACCAGAAGTTCTAAGAACTAGCAATTATTATATTATCGTGTTGAAAATCGTGTTACCCAAAATTTAAAACTGTTTCGACATACTGAAACCCTTCACACTTGTACGAGAGAATTTTTTAGTTTCGTACAACTTTCACCTTGATATTATTACTGTACAAGGCACCTTTATATTCCTGGGTCGGTCATGGATGCAGATTGTGTTGGTGCTTGCAATCTCAGCTGCCATTCAAGTCTTTAAAATAAGGGTCTTAAATTACGATCCGCTATCAGCTGTAAGGTTCAAAGTTGTTTCAACTGGTTTTCATCCAAGTTAATGATTTAGGTAAGCATAAGATTGTGACCTCTGGGAATAATTCCAAAATGAAACACGCAATAAGTGTTTGTAGTTTTCCTTTTCTGTGTCTTTAGTTTAAACTACTGATAGAATTGAAAGAAAAAGCACGAACATTAACTGTTGGTGTCCCTCCAGTAATCGCCAATGATTTGATGTCGTGCATGTGCCTAAAAAAAGGCGTGTCACCCATCATAAGTTTACGAGGGTTACATGTCATAAATAATAACGCTGAGTTTTTGTCACTCCAATCTGGCTTTCTGAAGCGATTATAGAGAAGCCTTTTGAAAAAGAAATGTTACGCGGGAGACCTTGAACTGATTTTCCGGGCGCTGAAGTGGTCTCAGCTAAACTCAACCTCCGATTTAATCTTGGCCCCCTGGGCGCCTTAACTACCACGACTGAAAATTTTACACCGAATTAAAAAGGTGTCTTACCAGAAGGCTAAATATCCTCACACAGACACAAGACTTAAACAATACTTGGCGCTTACTCAAGCTAAGAAACAGCCAGTGGCTTAGAGGTACAAGGTGCAGGCTATAGTTATTGAAGAACCAAATCCAAAGTCCTTCTTTACCCTTCATTTATCAGAGCAAAGAGGGAATTGAGCACTATTACGATAAACATTTTAGCTGTATACCTGACGAAAGAGTTTTCCATGCAGAGGTTCGGTAAAATTTCCTGAAGTGCATTGGCTTTCGGAAATTCAACATTGCTTGCTTCTTTGAAATTTCACTCTTGCTCCGTGTTATTTTCATTGTTGCGATCAGAGTGATTGAAGTCGGAGATTTCTTTCTTAACAAAATAGATGACTTGTTTGATTCCTGTAATAACCACAATATATCAAATGGCTTAGTTATCAATTGAACAATATTCGATGGTAATTTCAGACTCCAATACTTAGCAAATATGTTATATTAAAAACATTCACAAAAGTAAAGATATTACTGATATCAAAACACTTTACACAAACGACGACAACGCACCATCCTAACCAGCACTTTTAATCTCAATCATTTTTTTTTTTTCACCTAGCTCATTATGTACATAGCTGAGTATTATTTGCTCTTTCACCAAAAATTAATAAGATTCCTCCACCCATTGTAATAGCATTAAGATGTAGAAGTGTTCTGTGCATTTTTCAAAAACTTGAAGTATGCTCTCCACCCTTCATAAAGATGGTTCGGGAGTAAAATTGTAAGACAATTGAAGTGACATCCTGAACGGATTTCGTAACCGCATTTGTGCATAAGAATCTCCGTATCGTTCATCCGCATATCGAAATGGTAAAACCAGTTTATTAGTGAAATAGTGCAAAATTTTTATTGTTGAAGATAACCCATATCTCCCTGAGGTTTCAAGAAGATTGATATTTGCATATCTCAGCCCAGCATAATCAAAACAAAATAAGTCAGTCTTACCGAGAGCCAGGACATTCCATGAGAAAATCCTACAAGTTTAAAATTGTGAATTTGAGGGGCTTTATAAAGTGCCTGCGAAAGTTGGAAAGTGATGAAGAACATTACAAACAAATACCAAGTCTTCGTAAACCGATCCTTCACCTCATCCAAGTTCGGGTCAAATGGCTAAACATACTCACTGAAAAATACCTCTGAACACGCATGGGGATGTTAATCAAATCCCAAAGAAGAAATGAACATTTTTGGAAGCATTTTTCGAGTTTTTTACATGTTTTTACAACTTTTATCTTTTCGCTACTTTTTAACGTTTTACTTTGTAACACGAGATATAATTTTAATCTTCGAGAGACTACTTCTATAACTACTAAACGAAAAGAGGGCGTGGAAAAAAGCCATAAAAAAAGCGCACGGAGGAGGTCAGTTAAACAAGAACTCCGACACAGAGCATCGCGATAAAACGAAGTGGAAGTCATAACCCAGGTTAGAGAAGACTGCAGGGGGAATGTGTCACAGGGATACACCATATGTGGTCCCCTCACCCCAACATCTATCAGTATGATTATCGTAGCCAAGTAAACGAACTTAAATCAATCCAATTGGATTTTTTGCTTAAATTACATTGGTTGGTGATGAGCTTAAGTAAATACAATTTATCCGGATATTTTTCCAGATTTTTCGACACAGAAAGCTCCTTTGGATGTTTCATAGTAAGATTCTTTTGTTAGTTCAAGCAGCTATGCTATTGTAATTACATTTCATACAACGATACGGAAATAAGAAGAGGGAAAGAATATAAGAGAATGGATACGCAGACATTCCAGATACCAATTCTTTTCCTTTACTCAAAGGCAAAGTTAGCTAATATTTCAACTTTGATTTAGCCATTTAAGGCCTTCGAGGGAAAATAAACTGATGTCTGTTTCCTTTTCCAGGATTTCCGGAAGCATATATCGACCAAAATTTCACTACTGAGACATGGTAATTACACAGGAGGCGTAAGAAATGTCGCATTTTTTAAATAACACAGCTGTGGCCACAAATTATTTAAGACTTCCTCAGTTGAAAAGAAACAATTGTCATAATACCCTGCAAACTTTTAATCAGACAGTTTATGAGGGATTACGCCAATGGATTATCACATACTTTAACAAAGCTTCCTAATGTCTCTGGCACAAAGACATGAACGAGTCGAATTCAAACAGAAAGGAAGAGTATCACTTTGATAAACAAATGACGGGTGCTAAAAGTTTAGAGATCCTTCCGCCTTACTTATTCAAGCTCGTTAACTTCATCGAATTGTGAGAAGAACATCATAATTGAAAGGATAAAACGATTTATGCCAAAGGGTGTAACTTTTGCTAATCCTTAGGAAATTAGGGAATTTAAGTGGAAGTAAATGTCTGATTCTTGCAGAAGAACTCTCATCTCCACCATTATTTTAAAAACCGTTGGGCGTTGAAGAAATATATGATTAAATTTTTCAAAACCAGGAAATGAATGTAGTCACTTTGTATGCTTTTTACTACACGAGGATAAGGTGTCAGCCCTTTTTTGATTTTATGCTTTTTGTGGTTCAAGCTCGATTTTGCTGCTATTTATTAATCTACATGATACTGCGCTTGTAGCTTTCGAATATCATTAGAGAAAACTCTCCCTGCGCCCTAACAAGAAAATGTGAGTTTTGCCTTGCACATTAAAAGGCTCCGAAACTAAGATGAAATCTAAGTAAATTTACAATTCAGGGATAGCTTTTGGCAGACTATTGCTGCAGAGCACGGCATGTTACCAGCCGAAGCGTTTTCGTAATATGAGATTATGTATTTTATATTTTAGCAAATTATTACTACATACTACAGAACACGGCATGGTGCCAGCAGCAGTGTATTTGTAATACTGTGGAGGATATCGTCTTTTAGCAAATTATTGCCACGTACCACAGAACACGGCATGGTGCCAGTAGCAGTGTATTTGTAATACTGTGGAAGTTATATAGGATATCGTCTTTTAGCAAATTATTGCCACCGACTGCAGAGCACGGCATGGTGCCAGCAGCAGCGTTTTTCTTTGTATATAAACGGCTTAAAAACGCAAACCACGTTTTCCAAATAGGATAAATTTTCGCAAATTATTACAACGTACGCAGTAGAACACTACTGCTAGTAGCAGTTCGTTCGTAATACAGTGAAGTGTATATAGGATATTGAATTGTTGTGCACTTCACTCTTACTATGCTTAACTGAGGGATGGTTCCAATTAAGAGAATAGCATTGGCATTGTAAAGCAATGATCTGTGAAAGAATTGTGTTTTAATGCACTGTGGTCAGTTGTTGATAGAGCTTTGCAATTTACGCTAAACATGCTGGCATGGTGCACTTTATTACATTTTCGGTAGTTCGGTGAATATATATATATATTCTTTTTCATGGGCATTGAAATGCAGCTAGTCTGTTTGAAGCGTGGTGCAGTACATCACAGTATAAGATGTAATGCGATTTTCTTTATCTAAATCAACAAGTGTTCCAAAATTTCAGTAAACACTCATTATCAATCTCTTCAACATTCAAAAAGCCTGTTTTGTTTTGTCAGTGAATTATGTTAACAAGTTGTGGCAATAAATCAAAAAAGGTTATAAAAACATGCATCACATAACTAGTACATGCACGTGGCCGGCGCAATGACTACCTGTGTCATCAATATAGCGGTCAATGACGCCAAAGAGAGACCTAACTTACAGGCAATTTTCCACTGTTAAGTTACCTCATATTTCCAACCATGTTATTTACTCAACCTTAATTACGCAATCCTACAAAAGGCCCTAACTCCTGCTATGAGGGAACCCGTCAGATTGTCTCCATGAAATTTTTTTTTTCAAGAGGTTTAAAATCCTCTCATACCTACGGATTAAATTGTGGTTAAAACTAGATATCCTCAGTTATTAATAAAAGTATTGCTTATGAGTTTGATAATACAAAGGTATCCTTTAGGTGCGAAAAGCAACGATTTCGCATCTAAATTTTTAATTCAAGATATTGAATCGTTCTTGTTAACACTGTTATTTTGCCATTTTCATCTTTGCTGTAAA